TGAGGGTCATATGGTTGTTATTAATTTAGCAATCTCTTTAGGCCAGGATAAAGGCTGTCAGCGAGAAAGGTATCCATCTGTGAAATCATTCAACGGGCGACAAAGTGCCTCAATAGAGGAGTGGCGCGTGCCTCAGAAGATGAGGGGACAATTCAGACTGCTGATATCTGTCATGGCTTCATCAGTCACAGTCCACGTTGATACTTAATTTGGCCGGTGGACCAGAATTTTTCCTCCCTTCTCCTGAAAGGCTTTTTTAAAGATAAAAGATAAGCATTGGGAAGGATTTAAAAAAAAAAGTTTTATAGCCAGCTGCATAATGTTTGACTCCCCTCAATTCCGATCTAACGTGAGATTGATGTATTAAAGCCAAAGTCTTTTTAAATGCTTGATTTCATCTTTTTGATTTTTATTCCACAGAATCTTGAAAACGCAGACTCATCTTGTGAAGCGCTGCTCGGTCACGTTATCGCTGAGCTCTCGAAGGACAAGAGTGTCTACGAGGTGAACGCTGAAGAAGCATTGATGGTGAGCCACTGGAAGGAGCGTTTGGTGCTTCAGCACATAACCACCTTCCCCACGGAGCCCCTCATTCTACGCTTTGCTCGGCCCCTTTTTCATTCTCTTTGAAACAATGGAACGGCCATTACTGTGACAGACTGGGATCTAATGTCTCCACTAATCCCCAGGGGAGATATATATATCACAGTGTTATCAGCAAGCTTCTGGCTGGTTATTGATCGAGTGCTCCTGTTATTTCCCTCCCCAGCTGAGCTCCAGTGTGTGGTCTCCACAGTCTATCGAGTTCAGCCTTCAGCAGTTCTGCCTGCCCTTCCTGCGACTCTCGTGCCTCCTTCAGCACCACCTCTACGGAGACGACCTAACTGGCTGCCCGGTAGGTTTCACAATCAGTCCTCCGACGTGCTGGAGCGGCTTAAACCTCTCATGAGTTTGACATGAAACCAGCGTGGTTGACGTCTCGACACAAGAGACGTGAGACCTTTCGTTGGTAGACTCCAGTCTGGATCCTTTTGACTTCCTAAAGCTGTTTTTACTTTTTTGGCGGCGTGTTCTCAGGAGGAGGAGGAGTTCATGTCCCTGGCTGTGTGTTTGGGGCTCTCCCCCTCGGCCCCTCAGCCTCCCAACGTCGTGCACAGTGCCTCATATCTGAATTGGGCGGTTGGCGCCTTTGACTTGGTGACACAGTGGTGCGCCGAGGTCACGGGGCTCTCTCAGATGCAGGCTGACCAGTCATTGGTATGTGTGTGTGTGTGTGTGTGTGTGAATTTCTGACCAGAGAAAATGGAATATTTATCTCAGATATTTAAAACTTATTGTTCTTTATAAGTAACCCGGCAAAATAAGGGTCATTACCTCCCCATATCAATCGCTAAGCCAAATATATACAGGGGGAAATTGCATTTTAAAGATGCAGTATTAAGGGGGATAACTCTTATTTGGCAGTTAGCTGAATGTGATCATAACTTCCTATCCGGTATGACATTAACAGGGTAGTTCCAAAATCTAAAGGTCATTTCCAGTGGAGTTCATTGTGCAGCGTGTGTTTCATTTTAGAAAATATCAGTTCATAGTCAAATGAGAGTATTGAGCTTTAAAGAAAGTTTAAATACCCTCTATGCAATCAAATATTCAAACCATGTAATTTGGACTTGATGTCCTGTAAACGATTCATGCACCTCAAGTGCTTCTGACACTTTGAAATGAGTTTCAACCTTGTTTGACAAGGTCCGTGGCTGTTAAGCGTCTCTGAGGACAATGACTGATAACTGGCCATGTGTCTCATGCCCTCGTCCGCCGGTACCCTTGAATCTAGTGTCTTGCATGTCAGTATAGTTTGCCAATAACGGAGAAAGTTATTTATTATCACTTATTATCACGCCAAAGGAAGTCATAAAAAGTTGTAAATTTTATTCCATGCATGCTGACAGCGAGTCTGCGTTGGGTTTTTTTCTTAGAAAATCTCTTGTGGGCAGCCAGTATCTTTTTAATTGAGCGTTTAAACATGAAATGTATTGACTCCAGTGAGCAGTGTATGTAGGCCTGTGGGGTCTGATTTAGATAAATGTTTTACAGTTGTGTATTTCCTCTCCTCTGAAGGCCCTGCTCGTACAGGAACCTCAGTGGACGGCCCCCCGCCTTCTGCAGCTGCCCGACAACTACAATATCATCTTCCAGTACTATCACAGGAAGGCCTGCAGCGCCTGCAAAAAGGTGCCAAAAGATCCCGCCCTCTGCCTCGTATGTGGCGCCTTCGTCTGCCTCAAAGGCGTGTGCTGCAAACAGCAGGGGGTCTGCGAATGCGTTTTGGTAAGTTCCTCGCTGTTTCCAAATCACATCACAAAGTCACATTCTGTTTTTATTATTTGGTATTCCCTGCGAGTGCTGACACCTTCATTGTGAGATTAACGACATTGCCTTTTTGTTTTTTTGGACAGCACTCCCAACATTGTGGCGCAGCTACGGGCATCTTTCTACTGATAAATGCCTCGGTCATCATCATCATCCGGGGACATCGCTTCTGCCTGTGGGGTTCTGTTTACCTCGATGCCCACGGGGAGGAGGACCGCGATTTACGGTACAGCTCATCACACACACACACACACACACACACACACACACTTATAAATGCTGCACAGTAGCATGCAGTTGCTTTTATATAGTTATTAGTAATATTTTCATAGTACTGTGCGCTTCTTTCCGCATTGCATTTTTTGGACAATAGTGTATGTAAATAGCACACTACAAAGAAGGAGTTATCATAACATCGCAATGTCATGCATACACACTTTTGAATACTTTTCAACACGTTTTCTCAATCTTCTTGGAATTCGGACCTAGAATGAAACTAGGGCATAGTTATTTTTAAATACTTTTATGCAGCGGAAACGCATTTCTAAAGCTTCTTTCCTCTCGTTTTCCCAGCCGTGGCAAGCCTCTCTTCTTATGTGAAGAACGGTATCGAGTGTTGGAGCAACAGTGGGGTTCACACACCTTCGATCACATCAATAAGCGTTGGGGGCCCCACTATAATGGACTCTAAGATCTTCCAAAATCCACTGAAAAACAGCAACCGTGATGATGAAGTTCTTTTTTTCCCCATTTTTTTTTTTTCAGACTTATTTGTCTCCCTCGATCAAAATATTTGAGAAATCTTAACGTGATGATCACCAGCAGCCCAGTGAGGGTATTGGTGCCATAGCCTTGGTTTATGTGAAGTTTGGTGTACAATCATGCCTAAAGATTAACACGTGTGTGTGTGTGTGTAAGTGATTTATTGTGTGGTTTTCAACAGAGAAAAATAGAATTCGGTAAGATCAAAGGGAAAAAGCTCAGTTTTGCCCAGGAATTGAATTGGTGTGGAACAGGGTTTCAAAGCCCTTCATATTTATTGGGGTTTAAAAAAAAACGTGCTGGATATCCCTGTAAGGTTTGATTACTTTTTGCACCACTTACGATGACGTTAATGCATATCCCTTTTATTTATCGAGATGTGCTCTGCTGTGCTGGCATGAGTTTCAGGCTCCTGATGAGTGTAGCGATGTTCTTGCAATGGCTGCTCATTATCTGCTGACATGTGAGGGTAGGCAGGACAAGTCCACCCATCGACACACTAGAGTTTTTTTTTTTGCAAACCAGCAAAGGCTCTTTTTATGGGTCTAGTTGCAATCCATCCTCAGGAATTTCTTTTGTGTTTGCTGTTTAAGATTCGTTTTAGATATTTAAATAAATGCTGCTGCTCGTTGTTCAAGTAAGTCATTTTAACTTTTGTGAAGATTTTCTTCCCTTTTTTCTTCTTTTCTAAGGTTGTGCTTTGAGTTTACAGGAGATGGCTTGGAATGTTGACTGGCTTTAATGTTTAAGGAGGCCTACGGCCCCCTCTTTGCGCTCACTACAGGCCGTGGTGTCCTGCCCCATCGCATTGCTCTTTTTGTTTCTTGTTGGTCGCGAAGGAAAAAGACTCTTAAGGCCAACTTCAATACGGCTAAAGTTACAGCTCGTCATTGAGCGATCGATTCGTTGTCATTGCGTCACAAAAACCAGAAGTCAAAAGAATTTTAAGTAGCAAACATTTTTAAAGGAAAATCATTGCACTGAAATAGTGTTCTGCTGTGCGGGCGAAACTGATCTTTATGGCTTCTGTCAAATTTTCTCAAGATACAAAGCTCTATCAAAATCATGATATTCTAGTTGCTTATGAGAAGGAATGTCAATGCTCTTCTACTGGTCTGTGATGACGTAAAAATGTTTTTCCCTCTTTGATTTTGATTATCAAATCCTAACTGCAGCACAGAGCATTTATCGTGATGAGCCTCCCTCACTCTTCCATCATCTAGTTGTGATTTGTAGTTTCATTCCAGGATAACAACATTATCAGATGTGAGAACACTGTGCATGAAATCCTTTTAGCCACCATTTGTTAAATTGGCTACTTCATTTTTTGATGATCGTCTTTTTCCTGGAAGGGAGGAAATTTATCCAGCTGTGCCTGCAACGTATTTTTTTGGGCGTGATAAATGACACATTGCTGAAATCAATTACTGCCGTGTGCTGCATCGAGAGTCTTTAAGGAACAAGTTAACACTTGAAAAAATAACCTTCCTCTTGAATTCATGCAATTATTTTTTTGTTTACCGAGTTTCTCCTCCCATTTATTTTTTCAGTACCCACTTGGTAAATGACCGCGACCAGGTAGCCAATAACTAAATGGGTGTAAATTGTAACTGAAAGCTCTTGCGTGTTCTCCTGTATGAATGAAGAGAGAATACAGTACATTACTGTAGGTGCTGGCTCAAACTGTCTTAAGTTTGACCAGAAAGTACAACTTGGACATTTAATGCAAAATGTAACATATGTGAATAAAATATAAACTCACTTTTTTTTTGTCTCTTTTGGTCTTTAGTTGCTCATTTCTGAGCCCTGCATGACTACTACTGACTTTGACATCCCTGCTGTACGGGGCACAGAAAAAGAGGCAAAGTACTGTGTGTCATACTTACTTCTGTTCGTTATTAAAACCCTACATCTGCCTTCGTTTTTTAGAAGAAAACAAAAATATGTGTGCATATATGACATATTTCTCTCCCACGGGCTTGTTCTCAACGGACAAGACTGGAACCAGGATTTCATGCCTCTACTATCGTCTCCGCTGCATGAAGCTAGAACGTTGCGCTCTGGGACGACCTTTCTCCCGTCTCAATCCACTGAGCTCCAGAGGGGGACGGCGGCTGGTTGGAGACAGACGTCCACCTGCAGACGGTGTCCACCAGGGGTCTCAGTTCACTGGAGCCCATCAGATTGTAACCTCCACAGACGCGTCCTGTGACTTCTCTCGATGTGTGTGATGAGTTGTGTGATTTGAATTTGGTTGGTCGGTTCTTTTTTAGAGAAGACCATAGATAAAAATGTATTTAATAAAACTCAAGGAAATGTACTCTATTTAATCCAGTTTATTGTGTTGATTCCTGAATAAACTGTTTATCTAACTGCCTGTTTCAGAGCACCGGAAAGGCCTTTTATTGCCATGCGACTGAGCGCTTTCAGGATAATTGGGTCAAAGTTTCATACACAAGGGAGGCCTTCTAATGACCAATGCCCACACAAAGCCTGCCAAGTAGGCTGAACGAAAGAAAAACAAAACTATTGTTGACCACCCGAGGAATTCTCTCGGGATTGAAGCACAGAGGATGTGTGGTTATTTCTGTGCAGAGACGTACTGGCGCCGCTGCGAGCATCTCTGGACATTTTACATATTTGCTTCCTGTCCAGGTAGGTACACTGGGGCCCCAGAGAGCATGAATAGACTATTGATGTTAATATTGGTCAGATGAAAGCTTCCGGTCTGCAGAACAACATGCTCGGGTGTCTTTAATGTTAATAATTAACACTGCTCGCTGAGTAAACAGGGAAATCAGTTCGGACATGTTGCTATGGACGGTAAGCTGCCTGTAAAGACGTGTTGGTTAAAGCCAGAGACGGTGAGGTTTGTGTCAAAATGTCTGCGCTGTCGTCTGTTTTGACAGGATGGATACGAGACTGAGCAGTGAGCGGCTGGTTGTCTGAAACACTTTCCCCTGTCTTGCAGATTTCGGAGATGGAATTACGGAGGCTGCGTACTCAAGGTAATATTCACCTTGAAATATCAGGCGACACGCAAAATACAAACATCTGTGTATATTTAGGATTAACACAGCGGCATTGAGTGAATTTTGACTTTGCATTGTTATTGTATCACTGTATTGTTTTAGTTTTTCACTTCAATATCACTACAGTTCTTTCTCTTTCAAGACATTAAATAGTTTTAATCACTAAAAGTTTTAATCTGAAATACATAAATAAATTCAACAGCAATGATTTAATGCCGGAAAAGATTCAATAAAAAAAAATCATAATTCACATGACTGTAACATTCTCTTAATACAAGGAAAATCTCTGACAGTACTTCAAGGGAATGCATCAGATTTTAAGTTTACTGTAGAATTGTGTATTTTGAGGTATGAATAAGAAGTTATTTGGAGTTTTTCATTTAGAAACCCTGTTAAAAAAAACGAGACAGCGCAATCACAACATTCCAACGTATTGAGGTTATTTTTTTATTTTTTTAATGTTGCCACATTTTTGATCAGAATAAAAATGTCAGAATTAATATTTTTAATAGTTTTGGTGCATTAACTCATTTCACTGTACTGTACTGCAGCATATGTCACAGCTGGAGCTTCAAAGGCCATGACTGTTGTGATTAGATTAAGATTCCTTTCTGACAGTAGTTCAGGTTGTGATGTTGACTATTGTTAATTACATTTGTGGTTTGTGTATTCGAGGATGTCATATGGAGATTTTAGTTTGGAGGACTTAAACCAGAAAAGGTCTTTGTTCCTGGTGGAGTGAGGCTTTGGTCGTCCAGGGTGAGAACAAGGGCACAGTGCTTTCGGCCTGGCTAGAGGAGGTTTACTGCAAAGCCTCCTCATATCCCCTTTAAAGGGATTATATATTTTCTCTCAACAGACTTACTAAAGCGTTTACCAAGAGGAGTTCCCGCAAGGCTTTAGTAGAGAGGGACGCATTGTGAGAGTTTGATGGAAGCAGAAAATTAGATTACTCCCTCTTACTTTCCATTGTTTGTGCTGCAGCTGTTCGCATCATCTGAAGCGATCGCCACCTCTGAACAATCACTGAACTCACGTGGCATTGATGCAAATGTTTGGGGAGGGGTTGTGTTGTTGTGCACAAGATGCATCTGGATTTACTAATCACCAAGTAGCACCAAACCCACACAAACATATTCTAGTTTGTTGATAATGAAAAACATTTAAAAATCTGTTTGTGTGTCGCAGAGCAGCTTCTGAACCTCACACACACACGATATCCCTGTTCAGGTATACTGACGGTACAATAAACAAAGGGTAACCTGAGCGCTGCCATTGAGGACCAGTGGTGTCCTGTTCCACAGCAGCAGGGAAGTGTCTCTCTAAGGGAACAGCAATTGCTTTATGTGGATAAGAACTAAAGTTGAGTAACCGTAAATAGACAACGGTGCTCTGATGCTAGCAAATCTGTCAATCTGCCTCAAACAGCAGTAAACAAAGAAATAAAAAGCCCCTCTTGCCCTCCTATTGAGTGGTTTTCCATTCTTTTAGTTTGAACGCTCCTTGCTGCCCCTTGGTGACAGTTTGCAGATCCAGAGGAGTGTCCTCATCGAGGAGGAGACTGAGGATAAAAGAAGAATAACCTGCAGGAGAAACCGTTTTATCTCCTTCCCGCCTAAGAGGCCACATGTTTGGCAGAACTGCTCTACTTCATTGTGCACATCTGGCAGGAGACACATTTGTGTGTAAATAAATCCACCATGAATGTTGTATTTTTACAGTTTCGAAAAGACATCCTGTCAATAGTCTTAATCATTTCAAAGGAATCCTTGTGTTACTATTTGCAAGCGTTGTTGGAGTTGATCGATCATTTAGGTGCAGGGGAGGCGCTTATGAGCGAGGGCTGGAGTTGTTTATGGCATCCAAAGGAGGAATGAAGTTTTAAAATGTAAGAAAATTTGAAGAAGATGTAAAGGTTGTTTTTTTTAAAGCATCCAGTTCTCTCGATGTTGGAGGTGTTTCCGGCTGCTGTGGTTATCTTCCACTTAATTAGATCCCCTGGGGTTTTAAACTCCAGCAGCAGCAACATCCAGTGTTGTGGTCCATCGTGTGGAAGAAGTGACATATATCTAGATATAGATGCATTGATAAGGATGCCTTATATCATCAGTATTATTACGTTGTAAACTAACTACAATGAGTTAACTTTGGAGTTCTGGATTAGTCTTTGACTTGCACATATTACCTAGTGGAATCCGTAACACTGACTTACACTATCTGCACAGATGTGGATTATATTTTTATAACTGGTTTACAAGAAACTAAAACAAAGCTCGACTATGAAGTAGAAACAAGCTTGGGTTTAATTAACATTATGCACAGAAGGGGAGGCCGACAGGTCACATGACCTGGCAACTATCACAAACTTCCTGGTAACCTGTGTGCAACCTGAGATGCTTCATATCAGCCACCATTATGAGTGGATACATCTGCCACCTGAATATTTAACGTTGCTGCCGATCGAGTTGCAGATTACTGGTGAATTATTAAACCCCCCCGTAGATTATCCTGAATTAGACTGGAGCGTTTTGTTGTGAGGGGAGACAAACACTTTCACAGAAACAGGTATGTGTGACTTTTGCCGCTCCGATCTGAGCTTCATTGAGCTTTGAAGATTTATTTGGATAGTTTTTTGCCTTTCAGACTCTGAGTTAAACGCCTTTTTTGGTTGTTGTTCAAGCAGAAGGTGAGATTACGTTGTTCTTGACTAACGCTGATCTGCTGTTAAAGTCTGGTTGCCGTTGTGTACCTTGTACGATGTGGATTTTTCAGACTCTTCTTGACTAAAACAGCCATTATTTTCACGTGCTGCCCGTTTTTATGTTTTGAAGCGAGCGTATGAAAGTCAGTGATGGTGTCTTGGCGACAGGTGATGTGTTCAAGGCATCGCGTGGATGCAGAAGAGAGTAGACACGTGTTACACAACTGGACGACAGTTATAAACGGCGAGTAAACAGTTTGGGCTGTTTGCTGATTAATAAGGCGTCCGGAGGACATTATTCACAGACAGTTTAAGACGGGCGATTAGCTTCAACACATCAGTGATTGATTATTAGGCTGAAGATGAAACCAAAGTTGTAGCAAAGCAATTCAGTATTTGATGTGTGTAATTATCTTGTACATTTATAGAAATAGAATGAGACACTTTGGCTAGTGGTGCTGTCACATGTGTCTCCCTGAAGGACACAGGGAAGGACATGAACGCATATCCATCCAATATCTACCCGGATGCCGTTGCTCAACCTGCACGCACAACAAATAACAAATCAGTCCTCACGTGGGAGTCGCCGCGGCTCCCGAGGGTTAAACATCATTCACGTTTTGTCTTTCTCCACATCCCTCAGCGTCGCAGTGTGATGCATAACGCGTTTATAACAAGTGGCGCGGGTGTGAGATGATGCACAAACGTTCATCTCCATCATGCTGATCTGGAATACGTGTTATTTTGAAAAAATAGGACGCTCCAACATGGCAGCATCAGTTCCGCATCCATCATGTCGCTCCAGTTAAGCTGTTTTGACGCTTTAACGCATTGCATCGTGGGACTTTTGGTGCTGCTTCCACCACAGAAACCTCCCTTGTGGACTTAATAAAGGTTGATTAACATTTTTCTTTTGCATCGCTGTTAATCATCAGCCTTTATAACCGGCATGTAATGTAAATCAACTTGTCAAACAGCGCACACAGTGATCATTTCACAAAACAGTGCTGTGCCTCTTGACCGCACACCCAGGACGACGCTTGTCCAGTTAATCTCTGTCCAATCCGATTGATCCTGAGGAGATTGCACTTCTTAGCGAGCAGGTCCCGGCTGATTCAGTGTCTCCGTACTCTGGAGGAAGCTGTTGCTGTTATATTATGATCACAAGAGACTCTTTAGTTGTATTTCTTTCCCGGCCCTGATGAGTCAGAAGAAAATAACACTTGCCATGTAAGTACAGTACGGCCCTCTTCGCCAACAGCTGCCTGCTCTGTTTTTACCTGGATTTCTCCTGCTTTAAACCCGTTAAGTGGCTCCCTTGGCGAATGTGGTCTTTCACTGAGCTGAATGAGTCGGCCCGTGGGACCAAATGTACTGCTGTGTGCCACACACACACAGCTCTACACACTTTGTATTGTTATTTGAATTACCTGCTCCTCTGTGATGTTAACTGGAAGAGTTGTTCTGTCTCGCTGAAACAGTTTTAAAGTCTGTCTGGTCTATTCAGGAGAATGCTTCTTATTGTTGGACAAAGTATGAGGTAGAAATGTATTTAAATGTATTTTAGTTGATATTACTGTTTCCCCTTCCATACAGAATAATTTCAACAAATAATTCATTCTAGCAAATTTTAGCTTTATGTCTTAGTATATTTTGTATAAAAAGATGCTCATGTGAGGTTGTGTTTATCCCCCCCAGGAGGTCACTGTATGGACTGTACCCGTATAAGTACAGCATGATGGGCATGGAGAACCTGGGCGATCCATCAGCTAACTGGGATATAGTTGAGACCATTGGTAAAGGAACATATGGGAAAGTCTACAGAGTGACCAACAAGACGGACGGGAGTCAGGCGGCAGTAAAAGTCCTGGACCCGATCAATGTGAGTCCATTTCACTGTGGAACCGGACCGCTGCGGTTACTGAATGTGGCCTATTGGACATTTCCGCCAGTTGAGTTACACGTTGACAAAATAACAAAAGTCACCTTGCAGACATCAAAAGCAATTCAGCCTAGAGGCGACACTACGGATGCTGCAGAAGCAGCTACGGTTTCACTTTAAAGTGTCTTAAGCTCTACTTGTAAAGTCCACCAGTATGCAGAAACCCATTTACTCAATCATTCAATGCAGCGTTTCCAACCTTTTTGACTTGCAGCCCTTTGAATTGACCTGTTGTTCGTCATTAAGATTTCCTCTCTTTGTGTAACGCGTAATAACTACTATACAATTGAGCATTTTCCATGTGTATTGCCCAATAATATGTTGTCCTCATGACACAACGTTCATGCTCAGCTAATCTGTCGTGTATAAATAAGTCTTATGAATAATATGGTAATACAACTGACAATTCATTTTAATTGATGACTTGATGGACAGTTGTTTATCGTTTTTCTGGCTAAACTATATGATTCACACACCAATCTGACGGTGCCTCCCTAAGTGTTAGTTTGAGTACCACAAAACCATTATTTTGACATTTGTTAATGATTGCAGGAATAACATTGTGACAGAAGAAAGAAAAAGCAAAGACTAAAACCATTGTGTCTTTCTTTATAACTATGTGACTTGTCTCAGCATGCGAGCCATTCAAACAGAGTAAGTTGCCAGTACTTTCTCCTCCTCTCCATCTTGATGCAGTTGTACCAGTGATGTATATCAACGTCTTCCCCCTCTTTATTTATTCCCTGTCATGATAAGTTTAACACCCCCTCAGCAGTTAGTGTAGTCTGTGTCCTCTCTGTGTGCCCGTTCATGTCTTTGTGTAGCCTCCGCATCGCCGCCGCATTGTGCTGGTTAGACTCGGTCTTGGGCGCGGCTGCGATTGTGTCAATGGAACAAACCCCATCCTGACGGTGCTCTCCACCGTCCGGCTCCCCTGATGGCCGTGAAGATGGAGCTGCCTCCTCTCTCATCCCTCTCCCTGATTAGACTGCTGACACTATCGCTCAGACATCCGGGAGGAGAAATTCTGCCTCTCTGACTGGAGCGCTTCCCTTTCCTCTGAGATTTACTTTGATCGAAAAGCACAGCCAGAAATAGTTTAACACCCGGGCCCGTTCCTCTCCTTGTTACTGACTATAACCCTTATCTGTAGTAGTTTAATTATAGTCCGCCTGTTACTTTTTCTGCTGTTACGCAACCTGAAACCTGGAGGCATAAATGCTTCATGACATTTCAACATGTTATTTGCTCTGCTACATGCATTGCACTGGGGGTTCTATGTTCCACGTTCTGCCTGTGTTCATTTTGCTGTTTAAAGGATGTGGACGAGGAAATTGAGGCTGAATACAACATCTTGAGGTCCCTATCCAACCACCCTAACGTGGTGAAGTTTTTCGGCATGTTCTACAAGTCTGACAAGTTATCAGGTGGACAACTCTGGCTGGTGCTTGAGGTGAGCCCCTCTTAAACATTTAACATCACAAAAAGAACCTATTTCTTTTTATTTTATATCAAAATCCAAAAATATTGCAAAGGCGGGAAAGGAGACTACTATCAAATGTAAGCGAATGTAAATGAGTCAAATATTTAAATGTCCTCTGAGGTGGACACTGCACCGGATCCAGACTGTATTTGTTTACATGCCTTTTATGCTTCACGGCATTTTTCTGAGCGTGATCCCCAATTTCTTAAAACTTAGTTTACTAAATCAAAACACTTGAATACTTTAGTTGTTTTCCAACAGCAAATCTTGATGCTATCAGACTGCCTGTGATGACTGTGATGCTGCATTGCTTCCTCTGCTCTCCACATGAATCCTAATCTAGAGGGTTGACTGATGGACGAGTAACCAGAGTTCCTCTGTCTCCCTCCCAGCTGTGCAACGGCGGCTCTGTCACAGAGCTCATCAAAGGCCTGCTCGTGCGAGGCCAGCGTCTGCTGGAGCCGGTTATCTCGTACATCTTGTGCAGTGCCCTGTTGGTAAGACGGCCCGCCGCAACGCCGCTAACGTTCCGGAGGAGGTGGCGTGCGAACGTGCAGAGAGCGTGCTGAGGATTTCTTTTTCGGTGTGGCAGTCTGTGATGAATGTCTCTCGCTCTTAACACCTCTGGGAGTTCTTTCATACACTCTGCACTGCAAAACCTTTAGATGCATCACATTCTAATTCATACTGATGACAAATGACGAACAATGGGATGGTGATTCATGCGGAGCGCCTTGTGTTTTTTTGTCCTCCAACTTAAAAGGGTCTTCAGCATTTGCACAACAACCGAATTATCCACCGTGACGTCAAAGGCAACAACATCCTCCTGACAACCGAGGGAGGAGTCAAACTGGTTGACTTTGGTAATGGTCTTTGAAAGAGGCAATTTTGGCCAATTGAGGAAAAGAGAATGAGGCAAATGCATCGAGGTCTGAAAAATGTCTGTCAGCTTTATATTTGTCTGTGAGCTAGAGTGCGTTTTCAGGTACGTGGGGTATTTCTGGTCTTTGAATGATCCATTGAATGGTCAGCAGCACGTCTCAGAAATGTTGTTTGTCAAGTCAAACCAAGCACTGGATGAATTATTTTATGTGCTCCGCACTTTAGTCCCTCGCTCACCATAACATATTTTTATTTTATGGACCTAACCTTAACCCAGGGCTATTATTGCTCATTTAAATTGCATCATTTGATCCTTTGCATATTAAAAGAAAACTGTTATGGTGAATGACTTTGAGTCACCCTTAGGCGTGTTTATGTCCTCGCTGTCATGGAGATGAAGTGGACTCGTGCTGATAAAAATCTGTCCTACATAATTTGAAATGATTATAGCCCATTATTATTACGGCTTGGCAGACTGCCACATTAAATCATCTGCCAGGATATATTGATTAATTCAAACATTTGGTCATTAATTGCACTTAATTCTTAGCAAATTTCCACTAATAAACACACTAGTCTTAATTATTACAAGAAGTGTTTTTATTTTGCGTCCTTTTTCAGGTGTTTCTGCTCAACTGACCAGTGCACGACTGCGGAGGAACACATCAGTCGGGACTCCGTTTTGGATGGCGCCTGAGGTCAGAGCCTACGCTTCACTTAACGCACATGTTGTAATACCGAATTGAACATTTGGAATGTGCAACATCTCTTATATGTGCCAGAAAAAGAGAGGGAGAGAGGCTCGGTTATGTGACTCTCCCCTGTGTCATTGTGTATTCCCCTCCACGGGTGCAGCGCTCGAGGTTGCCTCAAGGTTAATAGCCGGGAGTCTGTGGCCCCTCGGCTTTGCTCTTTGACAGGAATGAGGTGCAGTGATTGGGCTGCTGGGGAGAGACCTCAGGGGCAATTAGAATAAACTCAGCTGTAAAATGTAGTGTCAGTTATAATTATTGACTGTGGAAAACAGAGACTCATAACTGACCTACCTTTTTAGTATTTAAAAAGTCCATGAAATTAGACATTTGTAACTCTGCCGGTTATAAATTAAGATACAATAAGTGTTACATTCAGCTTTAAGATCATTATTTCCTTTAAATTATTACTCAACATCTCCCCGGTGCTTTATTTCACCTGCTTTTTAGGACCAATCAACCGCTTGAATGAGTTGCTCAGGTGGTCACTGTCGTGTCGTGTTACCAGGTCATCGCCTGTGAACAGCAGTACGACTACTCCTACGATGCCCGCTGTGATGTGTGGTCGCTCGGCATTACAGCCATCGAGCTGGCAGATGGAGACCCGCCGCTGGCTGAGTTGCATCCGGTTAAAGCCCTCTTCAAAATCCCCCGGTGAGTCCACTAGAGAGCGCTCCTGCCACGTGGGTGGAGGCTGCAGGACAACGGCCAACTGAATTGAACGGTACAGGTGATGAAAAGAAAAGATACCTGACGTTCTTGACTATTTAAAACTAAAGAGAACCGTGTATATTTGGTTTAATGTTTTTTTTTTGGCATTGTCTTATCTGAAAGGAAGCATCTGCCGAAGAATAACTGTTTGAAACGTGCCAGTGTTTGGCCTTAAAATTAATGCAGCGATTCAATCTGTAAAAATATTCGCTGCTGGAGACGGCGTGTGTCTGATGATCATTTGAGAGCTTAGCGGCTACACGCGGTTGACCTTTTGTTATCAGCACAATCGCGCAATTATCTCTCAGTTAGGTAGAGATATGCCCTTCTGATTGCAATTTGCATTGGTGATTAGCTCCATTCACATTGAGATGAGGCTGTCACCTCCTCCCCGTCACAATGTTATCTCCTCCCTGCCAAGCCAGAAGAGCAACATGGATGCTTTGTGCGGTAGGAATTATGGGGCAAACGCAGCGTTTCATCAGCACCAAATTCAGCCAGAATTTCAGATAATTACGAGAGCGAGGGCGGCCCGGGAGAATGAATGGCCGCTTATTCAGAGTTAGGTTTGTTTCAGAAACTGGCCTCGTAACACGTCCCCTTTGCGGCGGAGTGGATGTAGCTCAGAGGTTCTGTTAAGGGACATCTTGAAGGGGGAACCTGGGACAGGGTGAGCGGACACGTTCCCTCATCAGAAGCAGCTATAAAAAGAAGGGGCACATGCATTCAGCGTGTCAATGTCCAATCCTGTCTCATCACTGCAGATCTCTCACTCTCTTTGGCTCCGGGGAAAACTAGGACGCTGATAGAAATGGACGAGTATCTTTGACGGACATTCCCACATCTCTGTTCCAATCAAAATGGATATTTAGCCGTTTTGGTGTGAGCCGGGACCTTACAGGCTCGGGTGGTTGCCGTATGAGTCACAGCGAATGTGTTGAACCATGAGAAATGATTCTGTTAACATGTCATTTATCTCAAATATATATTTTTCCATCATTGCTGCTCGGCAGACAAAATCACAAGGAAACGTGGTGTAAATTATGACTCCTGTATGAATTACCCTCTATAGGGAAATGCGTTTCACCTTTGGGCTTTTAGCCGCGGTGAGAGTGATTCATGATGAAATCAGAGAGATTCATCTTCGCAGGTTTTGATCATTGCAAAGGAGATTTTTTTCCCCCCCTATTTAATATGTCATAAACCCGTCACAGTGGAGCCTTTTCTGAAGTATTGTCCTTGGAAAGTACATGTTTTATGAAACCATACAAGCACTCAAACAGGCAATAAGCATTTTCATCGTTCTCATATTTTACGGTTGCAGTGAAGCGTTTCTAGACTTTAAAGGGTTCGGTGTCATGTAGTTGATCTTGTAGATATCATCCACCTTATCAATCCTCAGTGATCCACGCATAAAAGAAATATGTAACATGTAATATTAAAAGGGTTAATTTGTTCTTATACGTTCATGTCGTGCCGCTACTTCTCCATGATGCTCTCTCTAAGCTTTTGCTGAACAGGTATTCTTGTCACACTAAACATTTCCTGTTGAGGAACGAACAAACATTTGTGGAAATCACCACGTTGACCCCGGGGGCCAGCAGCAGATGGCCGTTATGTCACCGGTGGGGTTTTGATGGGGGAAACCGGAACAGGTGGAAATGCCCCAGCAGGCTCCAGACGATGAGAAGAGATGATATGTGTCCGATGGGACGCCGATGAGCTCCATGAATTAGGGTCACCTTGGTGCGTCGTCTGTTTGTGCTTCGAAAATATCTGATAGTTGATGAGCTGTGAAGTACGGCTGATTTATGCATATATTTTAATCTCAGGTAGCTAATCCTTCCATTTTTTGTAGTTTTCGTTAAGTCCAATTTGCCCTACGTTGTGTTATTGAAACTAATCGAGTGTATTACGTACATACGACAGATACGTGATGTCCATGGTGACCATGAATGAAGCTAACGGAGCATTTCAGAGGGTAAAGTTGTAAAATCTTCAACTGCAAAATCAACTGCAGACTAACTCAAGACAAAGATGATCGCTGGTATTTAAAACACAAGAAGGTTGATCACTGGAGCCGTTTTTTTTACTTTGCAGGCCTCGAGTGTTTATGTAGAGTCAAAGCAAAGTGTGAGTAAAAAGCGTTGTAACGGTCGGATTCAATTGGCAACGGCGTCCAAGGTTGTGTTTATTCGGCCAGACCCCTGTAGATGTTATCCACATATTTAACAGTACACGCATCTGTCTGAGCGGAGACCGGAGCAAGCGAGATAGAAGACAAGTCGTAAATGATGGCCTGTCGGAGGCAACAAAGGGTAATCAAAAGCTGAGGCTGGAGAGAAATCCTCACCAGCGTGGCGGGAAGAGACAGCTCCTCGTGGGACGGAGTTTAAATCTGTGCAGCCGAGGGTTAGGAATATTTTACCTTTATCAATCTTTTCAAGGAGGTCAGCAATAAAGTCTAGAGTGAACCAAAGCTGCGTCTCGCCTGTTGAATGATGCGTTGAATCCACGCATTACTGAACCGAGTAGAACAACAAACAGATTTGTTTCAATTTACTTGACATTTATTTTAAGCCAACAATACAACCGCATTCTCTTGAGCAATGCTGCCAACATTGGGCTTTTCTATCTGTCCCTCGTGAATGTCAGAAAATGAAGCTGATGTGGAGTCTGTGGCTTAGATTTACTTCATTCCCATTTTTTATTTAAAGGTTTGTATCAAAGTTTGAAAGCAGGGACATGACCATACCTTAATGTCGCCGTGTTCACAATATCAGACCCTGGTGCTGTCTTGAACCGTGAGAGAGATCATTGGCTGGTTGGATGATTTTCCAATCATGGCTTTAACATCTCCCTTTTTGATGTTGTTATTTTTACTGTGCGGAGTCAAGGACTGCAGCTTTTGGCAATGTGGCCACCAGCGACATGATAAATGCAGCAGGACCTCTGCGTGCTCATGCATACGTACGCAAAGAAGTGCTGGGGCTCCGGCTGCAGTGATGGATGAGATGAAATTTTAAGCAGGTGGTCCATTCACTGAATAAGTCTTTATTTTAGACCCTAGTAGTCATTCTCTGGTCCGTCTGGATGAGCGCCGGTGTTTCCAGAGAAACACATGAATATTTCGCTTGTGATTTCAAATCTTAAGCGCTGTTTTCATTTGTTAGTAAATTTGCAGTATGTCATTTCTCCCCACCAAGAAGGTTATGCGAGGTCACTGTAAGATGGATTCACGGTGTTTTTCAGTTTTTTTTAATTAACCTGGAGACCCAGAACATGCTGGAGGATCATATCTCCCAGCCGGCCCGGAGACGCCTCGCGGTGCCCCAGAACGAGCTTGGGAACGTCAACTTCATGTCGACTTTGTTGAGATCTGCAAAAAGAAAGACTTTCTGCTCGAATCTTGATAATGATAATTATTCAAAACCTCTACTGTGTTGATTGGTATGTTTTTCATGTGAGCTGCATGGACAGACTTTCCCTAAGTGAGCACTGACAATATTGAGTGTCACAGTGCATGTGGGAAATGGGGGAATTATAAATTCTGCATATGAAATATTCAAATATTACATTGGCCTGATTTTTGTCTTCCTTCATGGCTTAGTTACAGCCGTCAAGTGCAGCTGACACCTCTGCGATTTTGCCTCAATCCACTCCGAGGAACGTCTGACAGTACAAGCTCTGCCTGGACCTAGATTTGAATAAGCCATTTGTGTTTACAATATGAGCCTGCACTCGCACAAATACAGGGAGAAATAAATGCCTGCACAATGAGAACACTTGACAGTGTTATCGGCAGTGTGCTGCTGTATTGACTTTCCAATGTATAAGCGGTATGGTACAACATCAAGGCCAGAACGTGTCTTCGGGCTCATATTAGAGGTTGCATTGAAGCAGTCAGTTACTGGCTTTGATCTGCACTTTGGAAAGGATTGCCTGTCTGAATGCTTATCAAAGACTCGACTAACTTAGCTCTCTGGCAAATGACAGATTTTTTTTTTTTACCCCAACATCCTCCTCTCTGTGGAGGATGTTGGGGTAAAAAAAAGGGCAAAAAGAAACGCTGTTAAATATGTTGTCACTCAGCTGTATCTACCTCTGGGTTTGTACGTAATAAACAGAATTCACGTGTTTTTTTTTGTTTTTTTTCTCCCTTCCTTTTCCCTCACAACGGGTGAGCTAATTAGTCCAGTTAACAAAAGTCTCGACCGGGTCGCTCCCACGTCGGCCCGACGGGGACAAAAGGCTCCAGCCTCCAGCTGTCAGGCCGTGAAGACGACTGTACTCGGGCCGCTGCAGCCTTGGCTCCTCACGCAGACCTGCCTCCTGTCAACGTGCACACTTGAAAAGTGTTGGCCTCATTATGGACGGCCTCAGTAAACGCTGCTGACAGAGCTGCAACCGGCTCCCATAACTTTTTGCCTCCCAACGGCAGATGCTTGCCGCCAGTCTGACGGTCACACGCCGCTTGGCAGCGATCATTAGTCAGCTTACTCGGCAGTCTTTCCTTTTCAAAGATGACCGTGATGACGTTTAAATGTTGCATTTTTCAAAGTGTAAGTTGATTTTTGTTTTCTTTCAGAAATCCTTCCCCTACGTTAAGAAATCCAGAGCAGTGGTGCAGAAGTTTTTGCCATTTCATCGGCCAGTAAGTGTCCTCTTACTTGCTGATAACCTTTGACCTCACGTATTTGAATAAATACAATGGCAGTGAAACCACACAGCAACACGTGTGTTCACAGCCTATTTTGAAGAATATGAGGCTAATGAGGCTTCTTAAAGATTGGTTCAATATTGATATATGGTTAGATATTTATTCATTTATTCATTCAACTTCACTTCATTAAATATAATATTTTTTGGTCTAATTTTACTTCTACAGAAATGAATGACATTTGAACTGTAAATGCCACTTTTTATAAATAATAACTGTGATTCACATATAAAAGTATATTAAATGTAAAAATGATTAATGAAGAGTAAACATCAAATGTACAATGCAGACTGTAAATCATTTATAACATCAATTTATTTGTTAAATCAGTCAACGAGACATTCAAATCCTTGACAGTACTCTTGAACGCTTGCTGCTGATACTGCGTACAACACTTTGGATGATACACATTAATCTTACTGAGCTCTTAGTCTTGAAAATATCAGAAGCCAATTAAGAAAACATGTTTACATAGCATGAAATTATAAAACTATATAAAGAACATTAGCTCTAATACATTTTCAGCAGGCGGGAATGTGAATGAACACATATTGTTATGTTTTATAGCCAGATTATATCAGCCCTCTTGTCCTTCTGTTCATTGACTTTCATTTGTGTAAATCTGCCACAGAGGAACAAACTAATTCACCTGAGTTATCAGTTCTATCTGAGGCCCCGATAATATATCATTTCCTTTTCGCTGCAAAGCTAATAATGTCAGGGGTGGCTGGTAAATGGTTGCCCAGAATATACAACCTTTTTAAGGTTGTATAGAGCAGAGGCTGACCCATAATGAGAAAGTAAAATTCAATTTGTGTGGCCGTGGTTTCCAGCTAACATTTATGTTGAAGGTTTGAAATGAACTGCATTGAATGTAAAGAAGTAATTGAAAAAAAAAACAACCCACCATCTGCGTTGAAGGACGGCTGTGTTTTTTATGTGTCCCTTGGATATCCACTGGTCAGGATGCAATCAATGCACGTCGCCCCTTAAACCAGTCAGCACGCGTTCTACTGATATTAGTTCTTTGTACTCTGGTGGTTTTTACAAGCAGTAATTGCAACGGGTTTTTATTTTTGGATTGCAGCTCTGTGGTAATGGGTCTTGTGATGTCACATCAGAAGTAATCTCCCCGCACAAAGCCCAGCAGTGTTCAATGTGGGGGGGGGGGGGGCTGGACAATGTTATCAACCTTCGCAGGCTGTTTGTGAAGCGTCTTCCACGCGGTCACTCCTGTTTCTGCCTGTGTGGGTAGAGGAAACTAAGGTGGCGTTGGGGAGGGAGGGGGGGGGGGGGGGGGGGGCAGTCGGGGATAATAAATCCATCAACCAGCGTCTGTCTCTGGCTTGTGCAGCCAGAGAGCTGACTTCTGTGACAAAGTGGCCCGCCGCTCAGCATCCCGGCAGCACAGCCCTGCTAATAGCAGCAACCTCTGCTTAATGTTCTGACGCTAATGAATTCATGGAATTAACTTTCAGAGCTGAACAAACTGATAAAAGAAACAGAATTCCAGTGTAGATTAGGTGGTAGGAATTAGATTGGTGTTTTTCTTCTATCTCGCCTCCCCTGTAGTGCTTATACACACACAAAGAACACACACACACACACTCGAGAGTCCTTAGCTGAGCAAGTAATTGAAAAGTAGAAACGTGGATTGTCGACGGATGCATCATCACTTTCAGGTGCGGATCTGAAGAATTTTATTTTCATAGTCTTCGAGCCACAAAATAGAGAACTGGGTGTGTGGGGCTTCAACAGTCAACCGTTTGTATCAGCATCTATCTGATGCAGAGTTCTGGCCCAGTAGCACAAAGTGACACCTCCTATTGGCAAACACGCTGCACATCACAGATAGGACCTGCCGCTGCGCCGTGGCGGGGCTTGTTTGGACTCCGGGGCCATGGTGATGGTGTCCATGTGGTGCTCGGACAGCGAACGTCAGACTAGAGAGCCTAGACATGAGAACACAGGGAGCTCTTTGCTGGGTGCAAGTGTCCGTCTGAACTGATCGCTCACAAACCAGCTTTCGACAATGTTCAGGTGATAACGCGTCTCATCCTCAGCAGTTCAATGCTCTCTGATTTTTTGAGATTGAAAACAAGCAGATTGATACCTTTGCAGGCTTCGTCTGACCGGACGTGCTGGAAGCTCAAAGCCTCCTCTATTTCTGTGATTTGTAGGTGTCTGATTAAGGATTTTGAAGCACGTCCGTCTGTGACCCACCTCCTGGAGCATCCCTTCATCAAGCAGGCCCACGGCAAGGACGTGGCACTACCGCAGCAGTTAGCTGCTCTCATCCAGGAGCAGCAAGACCTGGGCTGCAAAACCAAGACCAAGTGAGTCCCTTTGATTTTACATTTCTAAAATTGCAGAAGAATAAGCTGCAGCGACAAAGCTGGTCGCTTCGTTTGTGTGCCGTCATGAGAGATTTTGTTGCAGCAGAGGGCCGCTGACTGAGTGGTGGTAAACTTTCTGCCCAGTAGGGGGCAGCGTCCCTTCTTCTTACACTCACCACTGAGGATGAGCCCCAGTAACGGACACTGTGATTAGAGAGAAGTTATGGGACTGTTGCTAATTCAGAGGGATTGATTGTGCTGACTAAAGCCAGATTAATAAACGGCATTTAGGCCAGTCGATGTAGCAGCCGTCAGATGGGAAGTCCTTAGCACAAAGCACTGAACCAATCACGCGTTAAATTTTTATTTCAAGATTGATTTACTTGAAAATCAGTGTGATTTCAACTCCACTGCCTTTCTTTTTGAATGACGCCGATATTCTCCTTCCAGATTAAAATGGCAGCTTGTAAACAATTCAATCAATAAACAGATGTATAGATACGAAGAGACACGGCGTGATTTCATCAGCTTTTATCCTTAAATGTGAGACGACAAATAGTTCATCCAGATGCCGTCGGGGCTGCAAATGTGACAGAGCAGAAGCCTCCTGTTATTTACTGCAGAAATACTGACTTTGGCGCTGCCTAATCTTTATTATGAAGGAGTTCGCTGAACCTACCCTTGACTGAGAGTCTTGATGTTGTGCCAGCTCTGTTTACTCCCGAGAGTGTGCCTGAGCCTGATCCCAAATTCCTGTCCACAGTGAAAGTGGATAATGGGATTAGGAGCTTGTAGGGCGAGAACTGGGCTCGCCTAGTTTAGTCTCTCATGCCACAGATCAGCACACAATGACTCCAGATAAGAATAAAGACATAGAGAACTGAAAAGTCGCTGCCGCAGGTGGAATAGTGAGATTTACTTCAAAGCAGGAGGGAGGTAGAGGTCTGAAGACACTCTCCAAAGGGACACGAGTCCTCACTTCAGAGGGACCACGTATTGAGCATGAGACCTTTTCTGTGCGGTTCAATTTATTCAGAATGCAAAATGTATTCAAAGGCAGAGAAGGAAACAATTCCTAACCCGAAGCCGTAATATTTTTATTCATGGTATGATTTATCATTAATTATGATAGAATATGGATGCATTTTGTTTAAAATAATTCTTTGATTATTTTGCAGTTTTGAGGAATGTGAAAACTCATCAGTTTATTGTCAAGGGCAAGGCTGAAAACAATTCGGTCAAATAATTGTACTCATAGTTTTTTTTTTTTTCCACAAAGTAAGTAACAATGCATCTCTTTCAGTTTCATTACCAAAAAATGTGTTAATCCCTGGTGCATTTTGTTGTGGACCATTTTTTAGTTAAAGAATGTTGCCAAATAAAATAGGTTGCACCACATAAGCTTCTTCCTAAATAGCAATTAGTAATCCCTAAATATTCCCACCCAGCAGCTGCCAGGTGTAACTTTAACTAATTGAGTCAAATGTAAAGTTAGCTTGCATATGTCACACAATGTCATTAAAAACAAAACGGTTCATGTACAATGTTAGTGAAATTACAAAAAGGTTGTGCTAATGTCGTTGGTTGTTGGGAGTAGATTTCTCTCTATTCTAAACTACATAAATGCAAATAACTTTATACTCTAACAAAATTGTAGCTAGAAAATTTATAGATTTGATTAGCAATACAAGTTTTCTTTAGCAACAATTGCATGAATGACTAAATGACATTGATGCAATAGGATTTTAGTAAATCACTAGTTTGAAACTAGCTAACAGGTACTATCTTTAAACATACTGATGGTCGCAAACAGCTGGTGCAAACCAATCCTGTTGAGTTGTCTATGTGATAGAAGCAATATTCAACATGATGCTACTTAGTACAGTTGTGAAGCTGGTGTGTTTTTGAACAGTGGAGTTGAAGGAATAAGATCAAGCACTGACTACACACAGTACATGTTAATAGGATTAAATCAGTGTTGGTTTGGATGTTTGGAGGAAGCCTAGAATATCATCAACCATGTCCCTTTAAGTTTCATAGAGATGGCTGGTCCACTACACACTGGTCTATATTATGCATATTTAAACGCACATATAGACACAGAAAGCAAAGGGGACTCACAGACTCTCTTTTGCTCTTTTTCACACACTCTAGTGTCCCCTGAGGTTTGGCACAGCCCCTCTTAGGCAGCTGGCTCTGCGCTGACCTCTGCCCACAGGGGCTCATTGGAGAGCGATAGGTCAAAACACAGATGAAGTGCAATCACAGCGTGTGATAATGGGAGATGTGTCCCCCAGGAGAGCTTTAAGGGCTTCAAACGAACCGTGGAAGTGACTGGGTCTTCACATCCAGCCAGTCACGCTACTGTTTCTCCTTTGGTGGTCACTTCATAGCTTTCTGAGGCTTCGTCATCTCATTGGCTTCACACAGGCACGAGCGGATCAATACCCGTAAAACCCTGATAATAGAGAGCTCGCCCGATGATGATCTGGTAAACTTGGAGTTCCTAGATGAGGTAAGCTTTATCCTCTTTTATCTCACCTCGCATTGATCGGTCCAAGGCACAATGTTCTTGATAATATGTGTGTGTGTGTTTATGATGTTCTTCCACAGGAGATAATAATCAGCCATCTCCAGAAGAGATATGACGAGCTGCAGGTGTACACTTATGTTGGTGACATCCTCATTGCTCTCAATCCTTTCCAGAATCTCAGCATCTACTCTCCCCAGGTAGGTTATGCACCAGTTACACAGATGTTCCCAGTGGTTTCCCAATCGCAATGGAAGACATGAATGAAATGGTCCGGCCATTGTGCATCATGTTTAGTGCTTTTCAAAGTCAGTGTTAACAAAAAAATATTATTTCAAACCACTGTTGTTGCTTAAGTTGTGGCATATTTGTATATATTTTATATTTGTCAATGTGAGAATGCTATTATGCTAACGTTAGCATTAGACAATAGCGTTTTAGTACAACAGATGAACAATTTATTATTTTTTTAAATAGCACGCCTTGTGTATTTGTCCGTCTCCTCTTAGTTCTCTAAGCTGTACCACGGTGTGAAGCGGGCCGATAACCCTCCACACATCTTCGCTACGGCAGATGCAGCCTATCGAGGCATGGTGACGTTCTGCAAAGACCAGGTACTCTGCACAAAAACAACCCGGTTAGATAAGTGAAGGCTCGGATTGTAAAATGTATCAAAATGAAACGGATTAAGGAGATTAAAATCGGTAGTATGCTAAACAAAGTTCTATAAGTGTTTGGGTGGGATGTAGAAGAAGAGATTGAATAGTCTTTTTAAATAAAGGTGAAATGGATGTAGTATAATATGAATATCCCTTTCTTAATGTTTTACCTTTCTAAATATTTACTTGTTTCAGTGCATCATAATCAGTGGGGAGAGCGGTGCCGGGAAAACGGAGAGCGCTCATTTGATCGTCCAGCACCTCACCTTCTTGGGAAAGGTGTAGTAGCACCGTGGTCATCCTTTCTTAAACAAATGTACTCGTCCTCAACACTGAGAATAAAAGTTAAATGAGAACTGCAGTTGAAGAACAATGTTTGCTGCTCTCAGGCGAACAATCGGACGCTGCGTGAGAAGATCCTGCAGGTGAACCCCCTCGTAGAGGCCTTCGGAAACGCCTGCACGGCAATAAATGACAACTCCAGCCGCTTCGGCAAATACCTGGAGATGAAGTTCACACCCACCGGAGCGGTTATCGGGGCCAAGATTTCAGAGTACCTGCTGGAGAAGTCGAGGGTCATTAAACAGGCTACGTATGTGCTGCCTGGGTTCCGTCTAGCTAAAGATCATTTCATCACACTTGTAACTGCAAGTTTGTTTCCTTTCAGGGGGGAGAAAAATTTCCACATATTTTATTATATATATGCGGGGCTTTATCACCAAGACAAGCTGAGGACTTTCAGGCTGCCGAGCAGAACCCCTCCCAGGTTGGGACAGCAGTTTAACGCTTTCCTCCGCCGTCATGTGGAAGCATCGGTATTGATAGTTGATCGTGCATCTGCAGGTATATTGACAGCCAGCACTGCAAAGTGATGCATGACATCGTCTCGAGCAAACTGTATGCGGAGCAGTTTGACGCCATTCAGGAGTGCTTCCGAAATATCGGCTTTACCGAAGAGGTACTTCAATACAGGGGATCAAAGACGCAGTGCTTGGTCGAAGAATGAAACTAAATGCTGTAATATTTTCACTTTTTCTTTTGTTTAGGAGGTCAACTCTGTTTACAGGATTCTCTCAGCCATTTTGAACACCGGCAACATTGAATTTGCTTCCATCACGTCCCAACACCAGACTGATAAGAGTGAAGTCCCTAATTCAGAGTCCTTAGATAACGGTGAGACGCGATACATTATGCAACGTGTGAAGCTATATTCATCTTTTCATATTCGTAGAGGATCCTTATTAGAAAATGTAAAGGTTTTTGCGTTTAGTGTAATATTTTGAGAGATACGTTTCTTTCATTAAAGCAATAAACAATACATCCTTCACATCTCGATACCCAGAAAACAGTCCTCCTGAAAGCAGTTATGAGCCTGATATATTAACAAAAAGTAAATGCTTCGGATATTTTCATGCTCAAGAGGAAGTCCGATGAACTCATTCAGCCGCTCGGCTTTTCTCTCAGCTGCTTCTCTCCTCTGCATCGGCCCCGAGGAGCTCCAGGAGGCGCTGACCTCTCAGTGTGTGGTCACCAGGGGCGAGACCATCATCCGCACCAACACGGTGGACAAAGCCGCCGACGTCCGGGACGCCATGTCCAAGGCCTTGTACGGACGCCTCTTCAGCTGGATAGTCAACCGCATCAACACCCTGCTGCAGCCCGACATGAATATCTGGTGAGCGTCTCACTGGCGATGGAGATCAAAGTGGACGTTTTCTGTAACTCCCCTCCTCTTCGATTATCTTGAGCGATCACGCAGAGTTTCCACGGAGCGCCGATGACCTTTATGGGAGTCTGTGGAGGTAGATGCAAACATGCAGAGGAGAATATTAATGGGCAGAAGACAAGCAAAAGGAGAGCAAAAACAGTTTTAATAAATTTTTGATAGAGAGTTGCGTGCTGTGAAAATAATGTTCAGATGATTAAAAAGACTTCAGAGAGACTGCAGAGAGGCCATTCATTGATCCAAAAGAATTCCTTCATAAATATGAGCGTCTACTGTCGAGGAGTCGTCTCTCAGAGATGTGCGAAGGCCAGAGCGTTCCAGTCATCTCTGCTGTTTCCTCATTGCCATTAACAAGCCCGTAGCGCGGGCTAAAGGTGACCTCTACATGCAGCGGGTGAAGACTGATCATGACAAGTAGCAGCTGGAAGCACCCAACATGCAATGCCGGGCTGCAGAAATAAGCATTGTTTGGACCAATATTGAAAATGAATGGAGGTCAAATCAACAGAAAGAAATAAAACCATTTAAGAAGCACTGACTTTTTGAGAGCTGTCGTTTAGGATTTCTCTTCTCAGACCACACTCTGTTTTCTGGGGTTGAACTCGGATTGTGATTAAAATTTGATCAATTAATATGCCTGCTGGGGATTTGCTGATTCCGTAACACAGAAGAATAAGTTTGTTTGTCCCCTTTTCTTCCTTTGAAGTGCCGCAGAGAGCGGCATGAATGTGGGAATCCTGGACATCTTTGGATTTGAAAACTTCAAGAAGAATTCGTTTGAGCAATTGTGTATCAACATCGCGAACGAGCAGATTCAGTTTTACTTCAACCAGCACATATTTGCCCTCGAACAGGTGAGTTTGACAAATTGGGAGGTTGATGATATAGAATGTACATGTAAATAAAATCTGTTCAGCACGCTGATGAATATCATGTCGAGGGCTTAAAACGAAAGCATCTTCACAACATCACACATCAGTATGTGTATTATTAATATTATTTGTGTTTGTCACATCCATCAGGGCGGAGATGCTGTCAACAGGAACATTTTGCTTTTAGCCAGGCTGTGATTGGTTTTACCGTTACGCTCCACAATTGCACTCCTAATTGATTTAATTAAGTTGTTTAGCCTGAAGTGTGATATTTATTTATTTTCCTTGATGGAAATGAAAAGAGATTAATCACAAACCATTTTGCTACAATGCTTTTGAGTCTGAGGTAACTTTGCAAGTCCTAAATTGGAAAAAAAAATAGATTCGAAATAGTTTTATTTTTAAATTTATACAGCAACACGAGCACCAATGACAACACAAGATACAATAAAAATAATAATTTATTGAAGCAGGGTTTTGCACATTAAATCTGATAATACTCAATCCTTCATTTATTTTTCAAGCAGTCTCCAGAACTGAACACATTTATTACGGCGTGGGATCATCGAAAATAAGGTCTTCTTAAACAAGTGTGAACTGAAGGGCTGGAGCTCTGTGGAGAAGGGATTTTCATTCTGTGTCTTCGGTCCTGCTCTGCGCAGAAACTGATTATTCTGAGTCAATGACTTAAACATGAAGACGGTTTAGATCCTTTGGTTCCATTTTATTAGGAAAATATATATTTAAAACAACTTTTTGATCCAGAATTAAATAGATGCAATAATACGATACGACTTTGGGTCATTTGCAAAGTGAAATAAATTATGAATAAGTAAGTGGCTCTATTTGTTAGTTCAGAGCGGCTCGGTTTTATGCATTCAGTAAAAGACCCTATTATGCTGTGAACTTCAGCAATAGACACACACAGACGGCTTGGTTTTGTTGACTAGAACCCCCCCCCCCCCCCCCCTTAAACACACAAACACAGACACACACTCAGAAATAATCACGGATTGACGAGAGAGGGACTAAAGGACACAAAAAGAACTGGAGGATCCTGTCTCGCGGACATGATAGAATGTATTAGTGCCAGACTTGTTAACTGGTCAGATTTTGGAGGAGATACAATATGTATCTTGGAACTTCACTTGTCCCCATCTATAAGAAATATCCACACAAGAGGGGCGTAGCACCCCTTGTGAGATTGAGCGTAATTAACATTTTCCTTAGAAACTGCTTTGATGAATTGGAGGTACCTCTCGCTCCACAGAAGCACAGGACAGACTCTTCCCTCAGGCCACCGACCAGACGTTAGTGGGTAAGACCGGAGCTACTCCTTTAACGTGCTCAGACAACCAACAAAGACAAAAATCCTAAAACCTGAACCTAAGCGGTCAGAGCCACACTGCTTCTTTGAGCTCCAGCTCTCAGCACACAGGAACTGTTTGTGTAAGGCAAACAGTTCCTAGCCGAGCTGCTGAAATCTCCTTTTACACCTTTAACCTTTTGCACCTTTCTCATTTTGTGTCATCAGATAAATTTGAGGACAACTTGCGCTGCAAGTACTTCTGGATACCGAAACGTGTGGAGCTTTGTTTTGGGATTCAGCATTACGCAGGAAAGGTAACAAATGAGCCTGAGTATTAACAATAAAGATTTCATCAACATCACCAGGGATTGTCTGCTTTTAATGTGCGGCTCATGTAACGTCTTGTGTCCCGACAGGTAATGTACAACGTCAATGGTTTTTTGGAGAAGAACAGAGACACTCTTCCTGCGGACATTGTTGTAGTCCTGAGGACATCAGAGAACAAACTCCTGCAGCAGCTGTTCTCCAGCCCCTTAACTAAAACAGGTAATGTGATGAATGTACCAATGCAGAACAAGGGGGGCATTATTCTACCGCTAACCACAATGGTAATGGGAACTTTTTCTTTGAGACAAACTATTGTTAGCTACACAGGGTTCTGCCCGTTTCACTCTGCGAAATTGTGCTGGTGTCTCCTGCTCCCATGAATGTTCAGGTAAATCTTAAAGACGCGGCTCGCAGGCATCCCCTGGTCCCCCTTCATTTCAAGCTTCTGTGTGCCGTGCTGGAATAAATCTGCAGTCTCCATTATCTCTTGAGAGGCTCAGCTCTCCGCACGGCGCTCTGTTTTTATTTTCACTAAGCTGTCCCTCTTGGTTTCCCACGTCTGAATGCTATCTGTAGATTGTGGGTGCAGTGGGATATTTTTATGATAAGGTTTCTAAATACCCAGGGGATGAAGAAACAGTATTTAGAGAATACAAAAGCCACTCTTCCCACCTCTTTTCTGTTGGTGAAATGAATGTAGAGTATTGTGCTCGTCATTAGCCCTGGCTGAGGCCTCCTGGTCACTTGACTTAGCTGAAATGCTAATAGATGTGTTCAATTATCAGATTCCCACTTCCTTCTTTATTTCAGCTAAGCCACATTATGTGATTCACTTCCTTTTTAGGGACCTGTAAATGCTCTCAGTCCCCGCTGGCATTAAAAGGAGCTTCAATTTACAAAAGGCACCTTAGCAGAGACTCCAGTAGAAATCTGTGGGACGTGTCTGCAGACTTCAATTGCAGGTTGTGCAGCAGGGAGCCTTCAGCCACTTCCTTCATGCAATTAACGGCTTCAGAGGAGTACACCATATAAAAACAAATGTGGCGCACACTTCATTTCAGTGCACAAAGGCAGGTGCTAAGATGTGCCGTAATGTTTACTGCTGCTAATGAAGTGTCAGTAAGAACTAAAAGCTTCTTTATTTCCTTTTGTTCCTCTGTCTTGTCATTCTGACGCGTGAATCAGGTTACTTTGTGACTGCGTGTTGGGTAGTTTGAGCCTTTTTATCCCAAAAAGCTCTAGCATACTGCAGCGCTCGGTAATTCTGTTCTTTTGCATGTCCGTGTAAAGGCAGTGTGACTGCAATACGCTCGCAGTTATTATTTTGGAGTTTGGAGGTCCAATTTTCTTATTGCGGTTTGTGAAACGGCCGATCATCTCATTAGATAAAAGCTATGAAACGCTCCTCTCCGGCTTATCATTCTGGAGAAGATGGAGCGCTGTTTAAAGCGAGATACAGTATAGCATGAGAAAATTATAAATCTATTCTTCAGGGTAAAAATTTGCGCAGGGATTTAATTTGCATTTTACTCCACATTATAGATTCACTGTTAATCTGTGACATTACCATTATCTGGAGGATCTGATGGAAATCTGCTTTACACCAGGGTGGCTTCACACTGTAGGTCACATCATCGCAGTGTCACCACTAGGGGACACCCTCGTAGACCTGCAGCCTGACACTGTGGTGGTGGAAGTAGAATAATAGATCTTGGATGTCAAACTACACACTAACACGCAACATTAATGTTTCTGCTTGCACACATACAGTATCAAACATTTCAGCAAACGCCTCCTCTGTGTTAAACAGAGAAGTCTGAGTATAGATGCAGTTCATTTCCACAACATCAGGGAAAGTGAGAGGGCCCCAGAAAGAAGAAAGCTCCCAGGCCACTTGAGCCCTGCAGAATGTGGGTCCTTGAGGCTTGGACATGTGGTGGTGTTTTGTCAGAGGAAATGGAATGTATTTGCATGGACAAATTCATCAGAGCCAGGAAGTTTCCCAGATCAGGGGGATCACAGTGATGGAATTGGATGGGCTCAGTAGGGCCGATACCGGTGCCCGGGTAGCCTGCGGTCCCAGTAGGGTCTCCCTTGGTGGCTGGGTGTGTAGCCACTGGGTGGCCTGCCACATCTGCACAAACACACACACGCACACACACACACATACAAACACACACGCACAAAGCACTTCAAGACTGCAAATCCTTTGTCAGAGCAGAGCGGATGAAAGTGGAGGATATGCAGAGCGATGTGTGTCCTGTGAAAAGTTCATAGACGGCGGAGTGTAATATTTGATCTTTGCCAGGGTTGTAACACTTTAGAATGTATTATGTTAAACACAGAAAGAGGGATTACTGTTGAATTTTTCATTTGCAGGCCAGCTGAGCATTTAGAAAATTCATGTGGTTAAAGTTACAAGCTGTAGATGCTGATGTATTTTACCAAGTGAGGTTTGCGTGCAGCTTCAAAGATTTTACACCTCGAATATAGTAGTTCCCTTAATTTAACAGGACTTTCTGTGACTTCATTTGACATATTTCCAGCCGCTTCAGAAAAAATGTTATCAGGCAGCAATATGGTCTTTGAGATGTTATGAATTTATCCTTTTTTGAAACAGTTAATCTGTGTGCAGACAACCATGACTTGAATCTGTCTCATTACTGATGAAAGCTGGCTATTGTGGCTTTCCTATTTGCTTGCAGGGGTACATTTACTCAAATACTGTACTTTTGAGGTGCTTGTTTTTTTTAATCGTACATAAATCATTTGAGTGGTGCGACAAAATTTGCCATAATGTGCTATAAATAATGTATAAATGAATTGGTACGTATAATGACATAACACCGCTATTTTGCTGCTAGTATTTTAGTTGCAACGGAGTATTTTTATCAGTAAAGGATTCTTTATTTTGTCCATGCCAGAGTTTAATGCCACAATAACGTTTGCACGAGGTTCTTGAGAGTGACGAGATGACTTTTACATTTGTCAAAAACACGAGCTCCACATCTATTCTCCTGTGAGATATCAGTGGTTATAAGTTCAAGTCCATCTGATATATTGAACCATTTCTTTTACATCTTCACGTGAAGCCACAGTTGCGGTTCAGCCGTCCGCAGCGTCTCCGTCTGTCTGCCTTCATGTCAGGAGATGCTCCTGTGTAGAAGTGACGGGTCTCTCCCAGCGATATGACACATTCGGCTCTTTGTTCTCTCCCAGCAGAAGGCTTTTTCTTCCCAGTGGGCGGACACCTCCGCATCTCACCAGACTTCTCTCTCCCCATACCAAAAGAGACGCACACCACCAAGCAGTGCTTTTGTTCAGTTTCATTCCTAATCGTGGAATTGGGGAATGTTTGGAGTCAGCAGTGGGACTTTTTGACGGTAGCGAGGAGCCAGTTTTCCAAACCCGCGTGGTACGCCGTCCTTTGATAAACGCAACACTGTGTTGTGTCACTAAAAGCCAATTACACCGTGCTTTTTATGATTGATCTGCTCTGACAGTAGTGGATGGCATTTAAATCAACGGCCCCCGGAGCCATCTCTAGGCCTAAACGGTGGTGGTTACGGGGGGTGGTGGTAGGGAAGGGTGGCGGGGGTTATGGGTGCTTTAATCTCATTTGCTTGGTTGCTGAGTTGAGTTTCTAGATCACATGTTTTGAAAAAGAGAGCGGGAGAGCGGCGGAGACATCCAGCAAGCCTCTGCTCACTCAGCTCAGGAAGGCTGCTCCCTCTTCCAACTTTGATTGTGCCCCGTGTCGACAGCTCGATCCGCAGCTTCTGAAGTACAAGGCGCACGCTGGCTCTCATAAAGGCGTGTAGGGAGGTGTCATATTGAACGCGGGATTGCTTTTTAATCCCGAGCACATTGACTATTCTTGTCAATAGAACTCCAATACAAGTGCCAGCTTGGGCTTTTTTTTCTCTCCTGCAGGATTCTTGCTGGGCTTAATTTTCAAAGTGAACGCACAGATGCCAAGGAAGACTTTTTCTCTTTCTCCCCCCCCTCACCCCTTCCACACACACACACACACACACACACACACACACACACACACACACACACACACACACACACTGTTTTGCTCACTCTGTGTTTGTCCTGGAAGTCGATGCCAAGAGCAACATGCGTGAAGCAGAAACGATCAGTGGGACGCTCCTCCACCGCCTGTTTCTCAAGACTGAATGACCCGGTGGGAAGTATTCCCCTCACCTGCTACTCTCATTATTATTATTATTGTTATTAACCTCTTAAATGAAACTCTTCCTCTGTATGATTTTTGATTTTTTTATCTCATATCTATTTTAGAGCGGTAGAAAAAAATGAATACTGCCTCGAGCTGCATCTAAAAACATATGTGGCCTACTTTTTTAACTGGTTCCCCCTCAAAGAACAAGTGTTCCCTTTTTCTTGCTCCACTCAGTGTTTGAATAATTATAATCCACATCATTAGACAAGTTCCCCACTACATCTAAATTAGAAGGCCTTCTTTCAGGCCGGACATCACAGGTGTTCCCTTGGTTTCATGTCTCAGGAGAGGAAAATCTTTGAGGATGCTGACTATTAACCCGTGCTCTAATCATCTAGTCGGGAGGGGGCATGAAACCCGCCAGAAGAATGAATTAACACAACCCGCCAAGGAATACATGAAGAAAGCAGCGAGTGTCCATTCGCGAGGGCTTAGGTACAACTGTCATAGTTTCTCTCATCGCGCAGCAGCCCCTTCATCTCCCCTTGATGGTGTCATGGAAGTGAGAGGCGTGAAAGCACAGTGACACTCCGTGAGCTCGTTCCACTCGCTGCCGCTAATTCATCATGACAAATGTGCTCAGATGATCAGGCCCAGCAGCACTAATGGGGAGAGGAGAGAGCGCACTTCATTTGCACAAGACCCACTCCAATTAATCCATCCAGCTTTACTCTGGGCTAATTGGAGCCGGGCCCTGCCTGCCTGTGTGCCGGTAATGTACCCGACACAGTTTAACAGCTCCTCTTCTCAAAGATCATACTTTTTTTTGTGTTTTTTTTGTTGTTGTTGATTGCGCCGAAGGGGCGTTTGAGGATGTAAAATGTGTCCCTGTGATCCTAAACACAAGGCCCTCTCACAAACATGTGTTCGTAATGAGCAATTAACTGCATATGCATATTTCCGTGTTACCATATTTTACACTTTCCTTTCTTCTATTTTTAGGTTGTGATTCCGAACCTGTGGATACTCTTTCAAGCACGTTATTAAGTGTATATTTTAAAGTGACAGAATATCTTGTATTTATTTTGTTTACCAAATGCAGAATGTATTAATGGCATAATAAATGATTAAATAAATAAATAAAAATGAGCAGATAACTGTCAAACGTTAAAAGCAGTATCATCACTAGCTTAAAAGAGTGTATGAGTCCTTTTGAAGTTCTCTCACATCGTATATTTTGGCCTGTTTTGACTACCGCTCTGTGCGTGTGCGTGCGTGCGTGTGTGTGTGTTTGTGTTTGCGTGTGTGTGTGTGTGTGTGTGTGTGTGTGTGTGTTTGTGTGCTCACGTGCATGTTCGGCCCATGAGACTTAGGCTCATTTTAAAACCTTTGGCACAAGTAGGAGGTTCTTTGTCTAAAGTTAGAAGGGGTCCGGCTGTTAATTAATCCGTCATAAATTGATTTTGATCTCTTCGGGGCTTGATTGATCCTTCTAAAGCGCATTTCAGTCATCTGAGCAAAGCGGGCACTGATCCAGTGTCTTAAGTTTTTGGTCCGTTGTCAGACTCACGCCGTCCACGACTGACGCGGCTCTTGAAATGATGCAGCAGGAGCCGGCTACACATTTGCATTTTAGGAGTTGTGTCTGTGTGCGGTAGAAAATCTAGAACAATTGTTGGCCTGTCACTTCAGCTTTATCTTAAAAAACTTACAAAGGTTTTCCTCCTTGCCATACACGGCTGCTTGGGTAACGCTGCCTCCTGTGTGTGCAGACGGATTTTTCTAAAGGTGTGTGTGGCACATCTGTGCAGCTATTGTTTATTCATGGAGTAAACCCTTTGAAATGTGTTAAGATACTTCCCACTCATTATAAAAATCCTGCCACCCATGGATTAGGACTTTGATGTCACCAATCCTGCTTCAAAGGCTTCTTTCACTGCTATTAATCACAGTTTAGCCTCTGAAGATATAGCCAGAGAAAACATTTGGACATCTTGTGCAGAAACTTTGAAATGTTCAGACTGTCTTGCATGTGCTGCGTTCACATCCTTTGCGCTGTGTGTGTGGGGCTGTTGGGCTGCTGTGCACGCAGCTGCACCCCCCCGAGTCCACGGGATTCCTCTCAGATTCTGAACTGCCTTTTGTATTGTGCTGCAGCCTAAACCCTGACGTTAACACCGTACTGTGTCTCCTCACTTTGTTCTCCTGATATCTTGCTGAAAAATAATAGAACCCCCAAAGTGTTTACCGGCTCTCCGTGTTCGATGCTTCCCTCCAATAATAATAATGTATTCCCTGTGTTTCACACAGCTGTCCAAACTTTTTTCCCACCTGACGCGATGCCTTGTGACGGTCGCTTTGGTTTCCAAACAGGAAATCTGGCGACGTCCAGAGCCAGGGTCACTGCCGCCTCCAGGTCCCTGCCGCCGCGGCTCGGCTCCGGACGCTCCAAGGTGAGCGCCCCGGGGGGCACAAGTCATGAGGCTGAGAAACATAACGTGTTTTTATTTGTTGCTCACAGGCATTGCACCATAAGAAACCCCAGTAGAACTTGTGCTGCGGAGCATGGCCACATTAATTGACTGCCCTGTTTGCTGTCTTGCTTGTGGTAATGCAGCGTCGCCATCTGGCACTTGATGTCTACGGCATGAAAGTAGAATCCAGACTCATTAACTATTGTTGCTTTTATTGTTAATGGGCACATAAGTATTTTGGGGGAGAAAAAACTGCCTTTTAAGGTCTTTTCAAATAAACTGGAATAACTGCACTGACACACTTAAGAGGCGCGGACGGTTCCATGAGTTTAATATTCTTCCAACCCTGAAAATGTTCATATTGACGCTCTACATGCAGTTTTTAAGGGTTTTTTATTATGTTTATTATGTGTTTTAGCACCCACAAGCTTTTTGATAGCAGCGACTTTCCACCTTTCTCACTCTTGGAGTCACTCATCATCCATTTAATTTCACTCTGTCTATTTAACTTTGTCTGAAATATTTGAAATTGAATATCTTTGGCCCATTGTAGATGAATTTCAGCTTCTTGTCTTTCCACTCCTCTCTTCCTTTGTTTCCATGTAATTCGTCAACATGTGCCGTACTCAGTCTCCCAAATACCTGTTGAAGGTAAGACTTGTATATTAACAGTAAATTAGTCCAAATATAAATGTATTTCTAAATATCCACTGATCGTCAATGTGATACAAATTCAAACTTTTAAGCTCCCATTCTGCGTTATCAATGTAGACAGATGCTCTGTTACGTGATACACAAACACAGGCACAAATAACTGCGTTGAATTGTTGTTCAAGAAGGGGCTTCTTCTTAGAAACTGGTGTGATTAGTGTGATATTTATGTAAGTCATGCTCTCAGAGTTGGGAGAATTAGAGTTTCTAGTGCGTCCAGACTGAAGCAGTGTGACGTTTGTCAGTGGAAGTTTGTACTTCTATGTGACCTCCTCTGGAAGAAGCAAAGCGTCAGGCATCCGATTTCCTCAGTTTACTTTTGACGTACCTTTCTTTCTCCGCACTACGGTGGGATAAAGAACTAACATGTGCACTTTGCTATGTAGACTCGCCATAAAATATCTATCGCATCATTAAGTTTGATGAAGCCATGAACTGCCAAGGCCATTAAAAGGCTTATATTGTGTCCTCGTTAATCCGTCGTCGGGATGACTGTCTGCTCGGTGACGGCTGGTCTCATTACTCAGGACGCTCTGCAGTTTTCTCATGCCCAGCAGCAGTGCAGAGTTATTCTCTAGATTGTTAGCTTTAAGTGTTTATGAGGCAACGTCGTACAGACGGCACAGCTAGTACAGCTGTGTATTCCCAATCGGCCCATTCGGAGGAAGGAGACTTGCTGTAATAATACCTCCATCTCTACACAGGGCCTGGCAGGGATGTCAAGTTGCAAACAAACTGAGTCTCATTCGAAACTGTCCGGCCGGTTTATGAATGCGTGTTCATTCTGGAGGTTTGTGTGCAGATGGACACCATGGAGATGATGCGTCACCCAGAAGACACCACCAACATGAGGAGACAGACCGTGGCCTCCTATTTCCGTGTATGTTTTTTTGTCTTTTATGCTGCTCAACCTTCCGACAACAACCAGCAGTTTGTTAATGTTGTCAATTATTTCACCTTTAAAATTCTTCAATAGAAAATGTTTTAAAAAAATAGCAGAAACAAGTAGGGATTCCAAAGGAGATTGCATTGAGTTTCATTATGATACGTTTTACTCTTGTCCGGGAAAGTTCAGTAAAGGGAAAATTGTAATTTATCATAATGCATTCAAATATATTCTTGCATTTTCTGAGCATAGAAACCTGAATAAAAATATCTGTTTGAAGGAGATGTGTCCACCGCAATTTATAATAGAAATTAAAAAGTGAGTAGAATTTCCTAATACTAGCTCAAAGTTGCAGCCATGTTCATACACGTACATTTTGCAATTCTTCAATTCGATTTTCTCTAATTGAGCTCACGCCGGACTGAGACAATGTTAACTCATATGACAACTGTCCTTTCTTCTTCTGTATGTCTCCAGTACTCCCTGATGGACCTGCTGTCCAAGATGGTGGTGGGTCAGCCACACTTTGTGCGCTGCATCAAACCCAACGATGACAGGCGGGCGCTGCGCTTCGGCAAGGAGCGGGTGATGGTGCAGCTGCGCTACACCGGCATCCTGGAGACGGTGAACATCCGTCGGCAAGGCTTCTCCCACCGCATCCCGTTTGAGGAGTTTGTCAACAGGTACGAGCCGCGGCCAGACAGGCCGCGCAAACGCTGTGCAGCACGCGCACGTGGGGGCTGCCGATGCAACCCCAGAGATGGTGCAGAACAAGTGAGCCGTGCTCTGCAACGCACAGGAACACGGGTTCTTTAATTAGGCAGGGGAAGACGTTAGGCAGAGCAAGAGGCTGGCTAATTGGCAGTCATTAGTGATGGCGCAAGACAAAATCCTACAGCTCTTTTAACTGGGTGGATACGCCAGTCTGGGAAATATGGATGGAATTCAAACGGGGAGGAACTGTGATTATAAGGGGTGATGCGTTTTAATGGATGTCCTAAGAAAAGAGTTTGTTCTTGAACGTAAGTGTACTGGAAAAGCTCAACTGTGGTCTGTGTCCCATTGGTGTTACATTAAAAACAGGGGTTCATCATTAGGGAGAATTTACATAGGAGTGTTGTTTTTGTTTTACAAAATGTGGGACAGGATAAAATAACACTTAAAAAGAGTTGTTCAAATGTCCAGCCTCATTAATAAAGAGTAAACCTCAACCCCGTTAAGGATAAAGTGCACTTTTGCAAAGTGCAAGGAAACTCATGTTTGATCAATGTTCTTTTGAAAAAATGTTCCTGTTTTCAGAGTTTTTTGAGAGACTTGATGATATAAACTGAATTAACTTGGGCGTGTGGCCTGTAGGGAACAAAAGTTTGAGATGGCTGGTTAGTCTCACTGCTTTAGGAAAGTTTGTGTGGTTATTATTATGCTCCTCCAAGTTTTGGTCCAACTATTACGTAGTGTTCGACTGTTTAAAATCATCAAAAGTGTGTGAATGAGAAGGTGTATTAGCACTTCAGACACCATTTTAACCTTTCTATTGAATCCTGTAATCATATTATGATCCTACCTGGGCCAGGCTGAAATCATACGGACGGACCTGAACTGCTAAACTGCACCTTTACTGAAAACTGATTTAAATTTGTGCTCTCATATCAAAGGCTCGTCTGATGTTGCCAAGCACTGCTTTGTATTTACCATCAAAGAAATAACAGGTATCAACAGGAATTAGAATGAAAGGCTGTAGACTGAGCCTGGGAGTTCAAAGAAGTTTTTCTTCTTGTTGTTCTTCTTCTTTTTGACCAACGCCAGAACACAAGAGATGAACCAGTCGTTTTGGAGCCTCCATGTCCCTGAGCAAACAGTTTGAGTCACTTTGCCCCATGCTGGTATTTTGCTGACTGGGCGGATCAGGGGACGGATCCGGACAACGTGAGCGATAAAAGCGCAGTTGAGCTGATAGGCCGGCGCTCATGGGCATCTTCTGAAATAAGAGACGGCGATGCATTCAAAAAGGCTCCAACAAAAGGGCCTCTGTTGATGAGACGCGTCGTGGTCAGATGCATTTTTCCAACCTGACTGAGCAGTTTTCCCTCTGTGATGAATGCAGCTGGGTGAAAAATGTTCTGGAATTTCTACTCCCTCTGCTTGTTGTCATTCAGCGAAAATGAGCTCCAAGTTTGTAATAAGTTACAAAAAATATATATAAAGTGGAATTTTGTGGGGAAACATTTTTGTAGTCAATAAGTTGATGAAATTACATCAGCGACAGTCAATCAAGAACCACAAAATGAACCCTCAAAAAGGCTTATTATCTTTTTTTTTTAATTTTCTGACCACAAACTCTTGTGGTTTGCGTCATCAGTGTGCAAGTGTTATGACATCCTCACGTCAGGTATCACATTATTTCCCCTCTGCCTGCTCTCACAGATATTACTACCTGGCGTTTCGGGCTCACCAGATGCCCTCAACCAACAAGGAGAACGTTGTTGCAATCCTGGAGCGAGCCAAACTGGAAGCCTGGGTGCTCGGGAAGACAAAGGTAATGTGATTATCACACCAAAAAATACTACAAAAAAATCAAGAAATCTGTGTTCATATTATACATGTGAGCTATAACCAGTACAACATGTACCAGCAGAAAGCTGTAGACTGAGATACTGGGATGTAACCCAAACGCCTGCTCAGGTCTTTCTCAGGTACTACCATGTGGAGCAGCTCAACCTGCTGCTGAGAGAGGTGATCGCTCGGGTGGTGGTGATCCAAGCGTTCACCAAAGGCTGGCTCGGCGCAAGACGTTACCGGAAACAGACGCAGAAGAGAAACCGCGGGGCCGTCGTCATCCAGTCAGGTACACTGGCGTTAATTAAACGCTAAGTGAAGAAAAAGGAAATCCTGATGTATTCTTCTGTCACGTTATGATGAAACAGTTGCAGGTGTAATGTGAATCTTACCGCTGGTTTCTTAATGATGGTCTACTATGTGCCGGTGAGTCTCCATAGAGAAAAAATAAAAAATGAGTTTGATAACCACAGCTTGACCTACCAAGGTTAAGAGCAATGCTTCAGAGCAGACAATAAGACCTCAGAGTTCAAAGGGATCCATCCCTCTGCCACCTGGTTTAGCAGTGTTTTGAAGTGGGATCTTGTGTAGTGTGTGCAGTCTATTTTGTTTCACAGAGGCAGGTCAACAATCTCGTGCACACACACACACACACACACTCACACGGCCTCTTTCTCTTCCCCTGTAGCCTGGAGGGGCCATGTTGCTCGGAAGAACGTCAAGCAGATAAAAAAGGAGCGTCAAGAGGCCGCGATCTGCATTCAGTCAGGTAAAGAAATGTTTACATTTTACTTCTGAAGTTCCTCATATATTCAATTGCAGACCTCTAGAATTTCTCACGTGTCCAATGGAAATACACACCAGTTTTTTGTGCCATTTCAAAAGGGACAGGGATAAAGGCCTGAAAACCTTACTTCTTTGTGAAACACCTTTTTGATCTCAACGAGTGGCCTCCGAAACAGTAATAATTAATTAATAATGCATGCAGAGAAGCTTTTGAAAGTTTGTGCAGCATTTGGTCCCCATGTTTCAGAAGAACAGTGCATACTGAGATCCTTTTTCCTTTCATCTCTTTCCCAGTAAAGGCAAGAGAGGGGCTTATCCCTTCTGTTTCCTCACGACTTCCTCTCTCAAATTCCTGGCCTATTACACAGCTCTCACATACCAGAAACAAGATGCCTTTTTATACTGTCAACCTTTTCATCTGAAATGTAAATTAATTCTTACTCAGTGTGCCTTGACGAAGATCAAAGTGGGCACATTAACCTTCCCGGGTCCCCCCCCCCCCAACCTCCTCCCTTTCTCCCCCCCTCCTTGGAGCCGCTCACTAGAGGACGAGAAGGGTGCCAAAAGGGGCAGGGGAGAGGAGGGCAGGGGGAGGAGATTTGGCATTGTTTCCCCCGGCTCTCCTGAGGGCTGCCCTCATCTGGCACATGGAGCGTCTCAGTCGCCTGCACACCTTGTCCTCCATTAGAGCCCCCGTATGTGGCGATGCAGAATGGGTAAACACGCTCTCGCCTGTTAGAAAAGCCTCCCTGTCGCCGCCGTCTTTCCTCTCAGAGAGGTGTGTTTGTGTGTGGCCGCCAGGGTTCAGTGGTAGAGGGGTGGGGGGGGGGGGGGGACTGTGACCTGACACAAGTGGGGCCTCAGCCCCCCGGCGGAGCACTCCAGCACATTCGCATTGTATGTTCTCTGCAGCTTATAGCCTTTGAGGTGGGCCGCATTTGCATTCTGAAAATAAACAGATGTCTTTCAAATGCATGAGCCTGGTGGCTCCTCAGATCTCGGCGGGGCCCCCGGGGGACACGCTCACCATCGATCAGATTAGACCATGCAAAGTAGAAGCACGGCTCAACAATGTACTCCAGCTTTATTTTCCTGCGCATATCATTTTACAAGAAAAACACAAAGGCCCGTTGACGGAGCGAGTCAGAGGTCTGCGTTTGCCGTCCGTCGGAAACCAAGTGTGTCTCAATCAAACAGCGTTTTTTTCCTACACTAACTCCTCATGTGATCTCAGTGCGTGTTGTTTGGATGAAACGTACCGCGTGGAAGCACGTCTCAAACCCCCGTCCTGTGCGCAGCCTACAGGGGCCATCAGGTGCGTCGGTGCAACGGACGCGGCGATCCGCCCGAGGCCGGAGGGGAGACCACCGAGGAGGAGCACACGGGGTGAGCTCCTTGACCTTCGGGCTCCGTTCTCACTGAAAGATTTACTTCCTGTGGTTAGATGTTTGTTATGTCTTTATTGGCCGTTCTCACAGATGAGCCAGAATGCTTCAAATATGGCCGCCCTTAAAGACGGCGCACAGAGAAAGGGGTCTCACGTAGCCGTCACTCACACTCCGCTGGACGGGCTCCTCTGGCACTGTTATGCACCGTTGTTTCAAGCAGAAGAGAAAACGGCTCCCTTCAGCACCACCTCTTTTTGTTTTATAAACGCAATAAATATCTTTCCACCTAGATAGCACACTTGTCTGACCACAGACGGGGTTGGGCGCTGCGCTGGTCTCCAGATGTACGAGCTGAAGACGTTGTGTTTCTTCAGCATAAGGCCAGTCATTATGAAAACATGTGCTGAGCAGCCAGCGGCGGAGCGGCAGCACACGTGGTGTCGACGGCGGCCTTTAGCTCTCTGCTGAGCTTTTCTCGGCACCGCAGCTCGCACGCATCAGTTATTAAAAAATGATTTCATCTTAGATTTGAGAATACGTGCTGAAAGTTATGAGATTTTATCAAAATGTGCAGGAGCTCCAAAAATGCAGCAAGAGCATGATGATAATGACAAAAAAAGATCTTCATTGTCCATCAGATGTTGAGTGACTTTTGGTCAACGCCGTGGGACAAAAACTCAAAATACTAGATTTACACATCTGAAAATGTTGTGCTCGTGGTATACGCAAAGCGAGCAGAGCCTCATCTGGGATTTTTCTCTGCGTGTTTACAATCATATTCCTTGGTGAGAAATATTTCAAACCTCCACTTAACAATTCTGTTTAATCAGGGTTGGAATCTCTCCATATAGATTTATTTTGACATTATCTGGCCCCTTTTTCTCCTGTAAGATCTATGTTCTGCACCTACACGCTGTTCTTTTCCCTGTTGATGTCCCTACTCTCTATTCTGTCTTTGCATCCAAATAACCGTCCAAACTGGATGAGATTTTGTTTTTCTACACTTGAGGCATAAATGCGACTGGCACGCAGCGTTGTGTTTGCAGATGTTGTCTTATTTGGTGTTTTTTTTTTTAAATAATGCAACAGTGAGGGATCACACACGAATTGCATAATGATCAACCAGAGTTGTTTTTTTGCTATAAACCAAGGAGACAAATGCAATTCACCCATAGCATGAAGCAGATAATAAGAATATGTGTTTATGATCACGTCAGTTAAAGATGCTCCCTACTTTCACAGGACCAAGTGCAACAAGGAACGCGCGGATCACACACATGGAGGAAATGTAAGTAACAGAATATCAATGAGCATGTTCTTATCCCTGGCTTTAGCTGTGTATGTAAAGTGCTGCTCCTCTACAAAGCAGCTTTAACCCAGATTATTCTTTGGGAATTATTTGAGTCCTTGAGACAAAAGAGTTCTCTTGCTCCAACCTTCATCTCAGCGGCGAAGACAGGGTGGTAACGGGAACGAGAGAATCAAAAGGCTGGAAATTCACGGCTGAGAATAAATGCTCGCTCTTCCCTGAGGTGATTTGTCTTTGCGCTCCTCTTTCTACAGATGTTAGACCCCTTTTTTTAGTAAAGACCTGAGGTTCTTTGGTAGCACTTTGATATCCTGCTCGGATTCAATATGTGAAATAGAAGAGCCACTCCGTGACTTGGAGCACATCACAGTCTTTGAAGTCTGATCCAATTTTTGCTGCTCACCATTTGATGTTGAAAGGATGAAATGAGGAAAATGTACAGTTTTTGCCAGTAACTCTGCTGAGCATATGTAAGATTAAAAAAGCAAAATCCTTTGGAGGATGTACTTAGAAATGTTAAGCAGATTAATACTTTCCTATAGCTCTTTTATTCAAAGATAAAAATTAAATATGAGAGGAAGTCTGTACGAGCTGTTTTTCACCCTCACAATTAAGTCAGTGTGGTGCTGTTTGCTAGGAGGTAGGGCTCCTAAAAGGGGGATATGCAATTGCATTAGCATTTGATTAACATTGCAAAGCACATTAATGGGCTGGAGTTATATGAGTGCCAAATTGTAAATAAATGAATACAGTGTCTACACGCCTAAATTGAAAAATTAAAAAAACTAGCACACATTACAGAGCGTGCTTCAACTAGTGTGTATTTATCTGCTGCGTTCGTTGACATTGCTCTTCTGGGTGTGTTTACGCCTCCCCCTCTCAAGGTTGGCCTTGACAGCCGAGACAGACAGGCGAAAGACATCAAGAGAGACAAAGGCAGAGCAGAAGACGGTGCAACGAAGCCTTGCCGGGAGACAGCCAGACTGCGAGACGCGCAGTGTAAACAAGGTAAGCCCGAGCACAGAGCTGGAGGGTGCAGGTAATTACACAAAGAGACAGCCGAAATCCCGCCTTAATGGATAAAGTGCCATTTTTAATACGGGGCCCCTTTCAACCTTTCATCCCAGCCAATCCCCTGCTGCCATTCTCTGTTGACAGCAAAAGGAGAGAAGCATTATGGGTGATCATTTCTCCGGTATTTTAATAACGCAGGTCAGCTCATCATAGATGCCTGATGGCAAGTGTGTGGGGGGGGGAAGGGAGGAGGGGGGCTTTCGAAGTGGCAAGAGCACTTCAAAGCTTCCATTCTCCCACACAGCGAGCTCTTCGCTAAGGATCTCGTCAATGACTCTAATAGACCTGCACAGCAACGGTGACAAGAAAATACACAAACCCTGATTTGTTGAACATATGTTTGGTCTGCTTTTTGCCCCCGGGCGGTGAATTACATTAATTCCGTCTGCCTGGAAGGCTGAGTGGGTGGCTCCGCAGGGGGGCTGGGGGAGGTGGATGGGGGCGGGGGGGGAGGGGGGCTCCGATTACGGCCGTCACCCAGCCCGGGTAATGGGAGGCCGGCCCTTCATTAGCGTTATTAGAGGGGTGCGAGGTAAGAGACGGAGGTGAAATGGCGTTTAGCGGCGCGGCGCAGAGATTACGGGGATTAGACATGATAATGTAACACAGACAGGGCTCTCCAGCAGGCCCGGGATTAGTGTCAGCTCGCCACAGCGGGTCTGGGTTAGATAGCGGCTAATTCGGTAATGCTGCGTACAGGTGACCCCGGCGCTCAGGCATCACTGGTGCTGAAGGGAGGCAGTGTTTGATGAATTTATAATGTCAGAGTAATGAAGGGGAGTGTTGCAGTAAATGCCAGTGTGAGAGCACTTTGCTTCAAAGGTATTTTTTTGTCCTCATTGCAGCTTCCAGTCAATTTCTATTACAGAGTTTAGAACTAACAAACAATCGTCTCATTTTGTCTTAAAAGCTTATTTCTCTTCCGTATAATATTAAAGTTTGAGCTTTTGAACCATGAAATGTAGTAACCTTTTAAGATGAAGTGCTTGCAACCTCTCTTTAGGTGCTGGTGACTCGTTGAGTTGCTCCGCCTGTTTAATTGTGTTTTTAGAGAATAGGAGAAAAACTCGCGTAGGAATTTTCAGGAGAGCAACATTATTTATTTATTGAAAAAAAAAGAATGAATATTGCTGCTACAGAATTAAGACAAAGAAATCACATTAATTTACTTTACAAATGAATATACAAACACTCAACCAGCCCGAAAGAACCGATGTGATCACCAGAGGTGACAGGTGGAGAAATCCACCCAAAAATTTCACTTTGGACTCAAGTTGGTAAGAAGGTGGCTGTTGCAGTGAGCTGTCTGGAGGAACCACCTGCAACCAAAAACGTTGGCGTTCTTTATTTCATTGGCGTCCTTTATTTCAGTGAGTCAAAAATTCAGACGTCTTTTTTTTATTAAGTTACTTAAAGGTTCTCCGACCTGAGTAAATCAGCCTGCAGCAAATGAATAGCATTTCGTATCTGACAGTTGAGCTATATTCTATTTAAATGCCCTGACAAAAAGAGAAAATCCTCCTCCTCTTCTGCCATGGGCTTATTTTATGTGGAGAGCACAGAGATTTTCAGGTATTCATAGTCGCCCCCTTTTTCCTGCCTCGTTTATGTTGCGAAGGTCTGCTTGTGGCTTCGACTTCTTTCAGGAAACTCCATTTGAATATGTTGAGGGAGGCCACGGTGGCTCAGGCACCCAGGGCACACTTTGATCCCTGCACATCTGAGAGTCTTTTTTCTTTTTTCATCCCGAGGTTGAGGGAGTCATGGAAGCCTTGCCCTGCCAGATGTTTGGAGACCAGGATCCTTCCTGTGTCTCCTCCAGCTGTCACCTCTGGTGATCGCATCGGTTCTTTCGGGCTGGTTGCTCGAGTGTTTTAGGAAAACGGTGAAGAAAAAACTGAAAATTAACCACGGAAATCGAATGATCCCACACCTCCAGACAGACACAAAACTCCCATTGATGCCAAAAAACACCGGGGCGTGACCCGGGCCCGCTGGATGTGTGGACGTTGGGTCTTTCCTGAGTGATTTAACACAGATTAGGGAGTGAGATGACTTGGATATGTGTCTGTTTCAGTGTGTAGCTGACATCTAGGCAAAGCAGCTTCTCAAAGCAAAATGCCTGCAGTTTTGCATTTCGTGGTGGAACGAGAGCATTAAAGAACTTTGTACTCCAGGCGCGTTCAGATGTCTGCAGCGCCAGCCTTTGATTTGCTGTGTTTTTCCCAGAGAAAAAGTTAAACATACACAGGGAAGTCATGTAAGCTGCACAAGACGATGTCACCTCTTGTCACCTGTCTCCCGAACCTGAATATTAATACAACATGTTTGGAAATGAGTCGCAGAGGCGTGTGCAAAAAGAAAGCCTTTGCTAGCAAACAGCAGATATGATCAGAGTGCCGCTTATGCTCCTTCAGCGTGGTAAACAGGATGGTGCCGAGGATCAGTCAGAGCTGACTTTATGGTTCATGAAAGCTGAGCTACTTATGTTAACAGGCTTTTTGAAGATTATAGTTGTGGTAAACATACATGTCAAGAGGGAGCCGGTGATAAAGTGGAGCCACAACACGGAGACCAATTACCTCTGAGTGTTGGAAGACAGTTAACCTGGTCGTTTGAAGAGAAAAAGAAAAAAAGTTGAAGTTCATGTTGACTTATTGGCTATATTTATCTCCCCTCAGTGCATAACATGGTACATTCAATAAGGATTGATTTTGTTTGTAGCCCCGAGCTCTCTGTGGGCTTCATAGCTGCAGCTGGCAGAGCTCATTGGAAATGTGGACGCTTTCTTAGCCACGCTGAGGTCAAACCCGCGCTCACCAATACAGCTCACTTTCCCTTTATCCTCCGCTGCCGCCCTCAGCCCTCCAACGTCTTCCCACATTTCCGCCCACAAGGTTTGCAGCCACCAGGTGCTCCTCCGCAAACCACCACCACCACTTTGAAAGGAGCATCGGCATCACCACATCAACATGCATCTGCTAGACAAATGATCCACCCTCTGCATGTTCTCCAGACAAATGTGCTCCCACCCTCTCGCTGTCTCTCGGTCTTCTGAGTGATCCGTCTGTCTGCGCATATCACAGCGTCTCAACCGGATGCCTTCCGTTTTAGGCAAATTACAGGCTCGACGTAGCGGCAGCAGAGATTTGGAAGGGATAGGAAAGACTCAACTTAACGGAAGGAGTTGCCTCTGTCTGACGCTACCTACGTAATCCTCTTAATGTCAGTGGGAGTAGTTAACAGGATGTACTTCCAAACTACTCATCATCACAATTCCAACAGAATAATCTTCTCAGACGTAAAATCGAGGTGGAAAATGATACTTTTAAATTCACTGTAATTTTTGCACAAGGATTGACTCATTTGATGTAGTTTAAAACAAACTTTTTCCAAACACAAAACTATACTAGTTTGTTAATATAAAAAAAAATACAGTGTGAAATGTGAAATAAAATTACAAAGGATCATACCAGAGGTTTGCATATTAAACTATTTTTGGCTTGGTTTTCATATCATTACTTTTTGCTCCTTCTGCTTATAAATAACATGTTTTATGCCTGTGACAAATAAATGGCCATTAAAAAGTTCAGACATTTCTCCACAAAGACATTTCCAAAGTTCCAAATCTTCTGTCAAGGGAGATGATTGATTTCAGTGTGAAAAACGAGTTATAAGTAACAACATCCTCTGTTCCATCAGTGAAAACAGATGCAGGAACTACTCTTTTCCAACATTATCTGTCGTTCTTGACCAGTCTGTCTCCTAATTTAAAGCACACGACCTGCTCCATGTTCAAAATGACAAGAGCGGCAATCAATCTCGGGATTCAATTTCAGCCTTGAAAAGTTCTAGAAATTGTTTTTTACCTTCCATATATTCATTCATTTGGAGCAACTGAGGAATGATGTCTGCTGTAGTGTGCGTGTATGCTGCGTGTGTGTGCGTGCGTGTGTGTGTGTGTGTTTGTTAGGGGGGTTGTGGTCTGTGTTGCACATGCCTCATTTAGACATCAAAGGCCCCGCTGATGATTCTCCCTTATAATCCATGCCTTTTGGTGCCTCGGCTCTCTCCATCTGAATAAACAAAGGCCATGTTCTCTGTGGTCTGAGAGAAGTCAGGTGATTGCAGCACGTGATTCGGGAAGTAAATCGATACATCTCTAATTTATTCCACTAAAATCCCTTTTAACGGCTCTTTTATGTTGTTTTTGAGGAGCGTTCGGATTTTCAAGGGATTTCAAAGTGGTGTTTAGAGATTTAAAACAAGTCATCTGCTGCTCTTTGAAAATGAAAGAAATACCTTTAAAAAATATTCACCAATCTCAAAAAGCAAACCTGTACAATATGTATAAGTTTCTCACCAAAAAGAGCAAACTCTGTTTGGATTTTCTTTTGATATGGAGGAATCAATATTGTATGAACCGACTCTGTATTCCCAGTTGACCGTTATTCCTCCCCACCCAAAACAGCAGACGTTACCCACGATCATTTAGCGAACCCCCCCCGTGTGAGCCACTGACTGACCCCCATCCCGGCGCTGCCTGCTCGGGTCCGAGCCACGCTCCGCTGCTGGAGGCCAGTTTGGCAGCCTCCTCGCCCGTAATATATCTGCAGGAGCAGCATTCCTCTGGGGCCCGCCTGGATCAAATGGCAGTGATTTCCCAAACAGAGGCACAGAGATGGGAGTTCTGACCCATCCTCTGATCTGCTGCGCGCTCTAATCGCTGCAGGTCAGAATAGATAAACGGTGATGCTCAACCCCCCCGTGTGTCATGTTTCGCTCCGCCAGGTAAGTGCAGCAGCTGAGACGTTTTTAGGAAAACATCTTATTGGGAATTTCTCAACCTTCGCTGTTTTGTAAACAAAATTACAGCCATTTAATATATATATATATATGCAAAACTATATAGAAATATGTAAAACTATACAGAAATAATATATTGAACTAACCTCAGTCATGAATGGAGGTCAAACATGCAAATGAATGGTGTTCAGTTGAAACACTTGGCCTGCTAGCATGCTAACATTTGCTAATTGAGTGCTGTTCAGCATAATTAGCGCCTGCTAATTCGGCTAGTCCCTGCAGTGCGGCCGTGTCCGGATTCCAGCTCTGAGAAACTCTTGTTAGACCCGCTGCCAGATGACCTTTATGTGTCAGCAGAACCTCTCAGCTCTACTCAGGGTTACTGGTACCACTAGATGTCTTGTTGCTTCCTCACAGCACATTTAGCGATGACCTCAGCAGCCTTTCTGCATGCGCGCCATCTGTGAAGGCTGCTTGTGGAAGTCAATGGAGCTTGAAAACGCCCGGTGACGTGTTAATGTAAACGCATGACAGGGCACATTTTTACTTATTGTATTGGACTATTGTCCACTGTGCAGCAGCTTCAGTGTTTGAACATGAAACTTTTACATGCCGGCTACATTGTTCATATTGCATTTAAATTTCCAAATATGATTTAACATTTGAATATTGTTCACTATACAGAGGGCGAGATTTTTGTGAAGTTAAATGTCAAACCGCTTTTCCAAACAGATTATTTATCTGGAAAGAGACATAACTCATTTTTTTCTTCTTAGCTAGCTTACAAAATTGTGCAAAACAGTCGTCATTAAAAGCTGTGAAATCTTTGAAACAGTTAGTTTGGATGTTATTCCATATTTAGATTATGGCACCAGTGGATTGGAAGATTCTTTCCAATTGCATTTTTGATGCTCCGTCCCTGAACAGACCCTGTCTCACTGGCTTGCTGCACTGAATGCCAAATCCCTGCAAAAACATTTCTTTTTTGTGGAGTTGCTATTTTTTAAGATAAACAAATCATTTTTATTATATTACTTTACAATTCGATTGAATTATGAAACTTTGTTCAAGGACATTAGGATTCATTATTTGTGATTGAGTGCTTTGATGCAATTTCAAGGGAATAAAACATTTGCTTATCAAATCCATTACGGCATCATTAGCTAAACAACGTCCTACATACAAATAGCATTATTATCACAATTAAAATGTAAGGTGCAAAAATTGTAATTAGTCTATTTTGGTTTCATAATACATTTCATGTGGATACAAAAGCTTCTTTAGTTCTCACAAAGCTAAGCAGCAGAGTTGAACAATGTAACTAAATGTACTTTAATTTAATATTTCACCCCAAGTGCGTTTGATCCAGCCGAATTCAACTTCTTGTTTAGAAAAAATACACACAGCCTTTTTTTACATGGCTATTTACTTCAGCGCATGAGATTCATCCAAATACCCTCTTAGACTCAGGGGTGACAAGGATTCACACCGCGCACGTTTAACACCTCTGAGGCACCGATAGATAAGATTCACGGTAAAAGTTAGCTAATATCTCAGATTTGACAGGAACTTTCTGGGCATTTACAAAGTGTGACTTTAGTAAACCTGCATCGGTTTGAATAACATCAAGAAAGCTGAGGAAATATGGGGGGGCGCACGGGGGGGGCTTGCTCTTTGATGTATAGGATTGAGATGTGATGAGGTCTGTTCAAAGTGAGTACAAAGTAGTGTTAAGATGGAAAAAGCAAATGCTGCTTTAGTCAAGGTAGAGGAGCCGAGGTAGCAAGACATGATGAAGAAATGTCCCGTCTCACCCGAAACTTAGGCAAAGAAGATGAAACGTTATCTGACATTAAATATAGATGCTTACTTGAAAAGGTGTCTCGGCTTTAAAACACACTTTTGTAACCTGTAAATGTTGAGAAGCCCGGATGTGCTGCAGTAAGAGAATGTAATAAGCCTTCGTAATTATGTTACAAGGTTATAATGGAGCTCGTTGTCTTTGGTCAATATCCTTTCTGTGGTGCAATGAATACTTCATTGTTCACTACACTGTTTTGAACAATCCGGGAAAACAAAGCTTATGCTGGCAAAGATTTGGTCATCTGCTGCGATAAAAGCAACAGAGAGGAAAGAAGTCTTTCACTGGATGAGAATCATACACAACTTACCTCAACATTTGAAACCCAAACTATCTTTGATGCTCGACACCACAAGGCCCGTGTAAAATAACATAATTTGGAATCAGGTGAACTGATGATATGTTGGTAAATACTCATTGGCTTCTTCTGGCTAAGAGTTAGGTAATAATATTAATACCACTTTTATTTGTGTACTTACAGTATCGACCCTCGTGCGCTCGTGTGAACTGGTTCGATTTCTCAATCTGAACAACTCCCTACAGATCGTCACACCTATTTATTAAAACAATAAATTATCGCAACGCCGTTTACACATCTACGCAATATCATGATAGCTGTTACATCTTACAACAAAATACTGTAAATAAATGAGTTTATCTGCGCTTTGTAGCGTAATCAATTAATCAGTCTGTAGTCACACAGTTAATTTTTAGCAAATCATTACATCAACTTTCAAGATGGTCACAGCTGTCATGTTAATATTGCCATATTCATTTTTAGTAACCAGAAGTGACGTAGGAGGGTGAAGCTAAGTACAACTTTAGAGGCCTCTAGTTCGCCTCCTGATTTTTAGTGTGAAGGAATACTTAGATCCGATCTGAGCTCAGTGCAAACACGTTCCACATCTCTTTATGTGGGTTTTAGTCACAGGAAAGGAAAGAATTATTGAATAAACACCACAGTCTCTCCTCAGACTCCTCCATTGTAGTGGTAACTATGGTCTACTGTACAATTACATGTTGTTCATATGTGTGAATGTTTGTAATATCAAACCCTTATTGAGTCAGCCCATCAATGTAATTACATCTTAATCCTAAACCCACGTACATTTTAAATATGTTTCTGCTACTTTGTCACACGCGGGTTCTGATTAAAGACGTGGAGGCCAGAAACGGTTTTACGGCTGCCGACATCACCATCAGCCTCGTGTCGGTGCTTGTTGTTGTTTGCTCCGTTGGATCACTGCCCTGGTTTTTTCCTCTGTTGCAGGTCCAGTGATGAAGCTGCAGCAGAGGACTCCTCGCCGGCGGGGCCAGCAGCCCAAGCTGCTCAACAGCCCCGAAGATAGCCTGTACTACAACCAGCTAAATGTGAGTTCAAAGTGCCGATAAAGGCCTTTGTCTGACTTTGGTTCCACATGATAATACAATTAAACCTACCTGTGCCAGACCCTGGAGCCCCACCCCCACGCTTCTCTGCCTCTTGTCTTGAACATGTGCTTATGCTCTTTATCTGTTGCTTTCATGTCAGGATGTCTGCCTTCACGGTGAATAATTGATGCGGTTTATCAAAGCTGAGCAAGATGCATGCTTCATCAGACTCACTTGAGCCCTTTGATCAGAAAAAATTATGCTGTGACTTCTGATATTATCAGCATCTGCTCGCATTCAACACAAAATCACTTTGAATTAAAAATTAATGACTCTCTGCTCATCTTTTGACTGTGTGCTCTCGGCCCTTTCCTCAGAGAACTCTGGATTACCAGGGGAGCAAGAGGAAGCCGAGAAAACTTGGGTAAATAACTGCTTTCCTACTTACAGCAACTCTAAACAGAGCAGGCCCTTTGTGGAATAGGAGAATCCAGAAATGGAGTTGTTTTCTTATAATGTAAATGCAGAGCCAAAAATAACGGAGCTGTGGCTCTGCGTCATTTGAAAGGGGGGGGGGGGGGGGTTACATATTAAGGCTTTGTCAGCATGCTAATTTTAATTGTTGAAGGTCTGACTTGTATTTGTACTATAAATTACATCCTGGTTCATGTTGGTATACTTAAGATGACGCATGCGTCCCAACGCGTGCTGTTTTGCGTTACGGTTACTTCTCACCCCCTTTGTCGTCTTCCTTCCCATCACAGTCAAATCAAACTGCTGGATGGAGAAGATGAGTACTACAAATTACTGTCAACCGCCGAGTCAATCCCCGAGGAGGAGACAGACCGCCCCCCCTCCCGCCCTTTCTAGTGGGCCTCTCGTCAGTCAGAGCTGAGCCTTACAACCATGTCAGCCGGTAAGGCAGCAGACGCACCAGACGTGTAGACAGACACTCCAAAGAACATCGGTAGCGTTAGATGTGCTGTGGTATGTGGAGCAAGTAGCAGCAGGGCAGAATGAGCGACCTGTACAGGCGATGCCCTCAGCTCTTCATCCAAAATGGCGGGAAAGTATTCGCTTGAGCGGCTTAATCGCGAAGGGGAATTATCACAACAGCGTTATGCTATTTTCCGTTAAGTAGGCCAACCTATTTTTTATATCCATAATGCCTGAATTTAGTAAGAGATATTGGCAATAAGAGTGGATGAAGACATCCATGCTTGACCTGCTGCTGTAATAATATCGTGCTGGTGTATTTTCAAGAGACTTGTTTGGTTCCTCAAAAATCACGCCCTTAATAAGAAATGATCATTCAGCTTACAAACTGCTGTGAAACGGTACAGATGTTGCATCAATAAATGAATGAATGACAATACGCGTGACTCAAAGAATACATCATCGTGTGAGGAAAAACTGAATTGCTTCCGGAAAATGCTGCATGCAGCTTAGTTGGAGCACGTGTCTGTTTGGAAATGAAGCTCGCGGTTGTCGAGAACTGGCCACTGCTTGGAGTGTATCACGTGACCAAATTACGACACCGTGTTTCATTGGGTCTCCATCAATACACCAAGTGTTAAGTAGATGGATGAAGAGTTCATAAGAACCCAGACAGAAACATGCACTCAATTAAACATACAAGGATCCTTTGATTTATAGTTGCAATGACATCAACAAAGGAAAAATGAACATTTAATTTTTAATATTTCTGTTCCATCTCAATGAATGACAATAGCTTAGAAATACAAGAGTCCTCCATTATTTTAGTCTACCATTTATTGTTGCTTCACATTGATTCAAAGGAGCACCTCATCTCTTTTAAATTTAGTTAACCTGACTCGGTAATTTCCACCTATTTCTGAGCATGATGTCTGTTGTCTAACACGGATCCAGAGACAAATCCCTCTGAAATCCCAAACTCCACCAATGAGTTTTCCCACAGCGAGACGGCTGTAGTTAGAGGGGCTTTGTGCTGTCTGAGTGCTGGAATCATCACATACAGCCTCACAGAGGCAGAGCCAGACCTCACTTTGAATTTCACCCTAAATACGGGAATTCTCTCTTAAGATGTGAAGGGTCGGAAATCCAGGGCTGGCGAGTTGATTTGTAGAGCTTTTTTTTTTTTTTTTTTCAATTTGCATATCATTTACTGCATCTCCCTTTGTTGACACCCGAGGGCCTAAGAGGAGATTTTGATCTTAATAAGAAGAGTAGGGTGGTATGACTGAGGATCTCATCCTCCCTCCACTCGGTGGGGAAAACATTAGAGCTCTGCCTCGATAGCGAGACGGAGATAGCGGCTTCACTTAGCTTCAGGTTCAGGCGAATCCTGGTCGGTTTAAAGAGACCCAAAGTGTCCATCAAGTCCCACCGCTCGGCACCGTGAGGGTCAGACTCTGGTTGAGATACTGAGGATGGACTCTGCTTGTAGTGGAACTATGGTTACTCCAAAAAAGGAGAAGTTAAACAATGTTGAATATTCCATTACAAGTACAAGTCTTGCATTCTTGTTAAAATGGTGTTATATCATATCATATCATATTATTATTTTTGGTCATTTAATCAGCATCAATGCATTTTATTCTATAAGCTCATGGTATTTGTATAAACTTCATTGTCAACTGTCTTTTAAAAAAGACACAACTGTTTTCACAATGACATAATTGAGCAGCATCACTAAAAAAGTATGTTCAAATCATTGTCATATATAAGGAAAATAGAGGAAAGGCGAATGGCCCAGACCACTTGCAGTGATATAATGTGGCGTCACAGTTCTTTCAGAACAATTTCACCTCCGGTTGTAGCCAAGGATCCTGCAATAATTAAAATTTCCGTTGTGCATTACTCCCTTGCTGGGATAGTTGGTTCCTCTGAAGAGCAGTCTGAAATAGGTCACCCCCAGCACCCTGTAGTGAGTCTTAAAAGTACACTGAATCAATTAAGTGTGATCACGCTCCCTTGATTATTTTGGCCCTGTTTTGCCACAGAGAGGAATTTCAAATAGGCTCACTAGTTTGAATAACAAGGTTGGACTGTGGTGACAAATGGTTCCAGAGTGGGTGTTTCTTCCCCTGTTTTTCTCTGGCAAATTAACTCCCTGGCTGATTGCCTGCTTTAGCATATGAGAGGAGGTGAGCGGAGGTGTGCACGTAATTACCCTTTGGTTAGCTGATTATGCGTCACAAAAGACATATGTTATGAAATACTGTCGTCAGTCTTGTGAAAGATGTTCTGACCACGTAAACTGAGGCTTCTGTGCTCCCTTGGACTCCGGGTCGTCTTGTCGTTGAGCAGGCGGGACGCTGAGGGACAGACGCAGTGTCAAGTCGCTGTTGGAGGCCTGACACCTGTGTTTTCTTTAATATGTCTGCGTAAATCCAGCTCCCTCTTGTTTTTCCTCATTAAATCTCACAACATCTGGTGTGCGAGAGAGGACTCCTTTAATGTGGCTAACATTACTGCTGGTGTTATTCTTGCCATTTTAGCTTTTTGCTTCATGCACCGCACGTTCATTAAAGCAACAGCCATGGTAGCCTCAAACACTGTTATCCAAAGTTTTAAACCACCTTTATGAAAATCGCTCGAGCCGCAGCCTTAACAAATGATGAAAAGCTTTTATTTTCTAAAGAGGCATACTTACCTCTTCACCCAATAGTGATGTCTCACTTCAAAGAGAGAGCACGATTAGGCCAACAATGTCCTGTTTCTATATCCTTTCAGTTCAAAGGGAGGGTTTGAATACCAGTATTTCATGTGCAGCCTTTTCAAATACTGTTTTAATGCAGTTTACGTCCTTTTGATATCCAGATGTGTCTGATTTTCCCCACAGTAAAATACAACACACTATTTTGTGATTGCATACCACCGTTTTTGAAGTAAAGATTGAATGCCAGGCCTTGTATTGTTGTAGTTTTGGTTCCCACCAACTGCACCGACGGGGAACAAATCTAGAATAGCTACAAAACTAGCATTGTGAAGCCCTTCATGACGGCTAATGATTGGTGCCAAAGAAAGCGACATGAGCGTCAACCAGATGTCAGATGTGTGTCGAGGGCTCTGAGCAAAAGAACATTCCCTAAAGACGGCATTAATAAAGAAACTGGTTGAGCCGGGTAGAAACGGAGAGAGGGGCATAGAGGAAGAAGGAGATAAAAGAGTCTGTTGAGTGGCTGCATACATCAAAGGTCTCTTAATGACAAGGGATGCCATTAGGGTTACAGTGGCTTTTGTTTCAGCTTCCTCACACCTGCAGTTTGTTGAGGGCACTTTATGCACTGTTTTGTTGTTAACATTTGCATGAGTATAAACTGCATGCATGAGGAGATAAGAGTTGGTTGCTGGCTGCTAATCTTGGTGATGACCAAATGTTTTGGTCAGAAAGAGCTTCCTTTACATTTGCATACAAGAAACGTAACCTTTCAGATGCTCCCTTGTATAAAAGCAAATATAAAACTGCAAAAGGTTCACATAGAACAATAAAAACAGAATGGGAAAGACCTTATCATCCATGCCGTGGAAGATACTGACATTAAAGTTTTCTCGGTGCCTCCGGTGCTGGAATGGGATTTGACAAATCAGAGCGTGAAATTGTGATTAGCCTCTCTGTTTGTAGACGGACTGGGGCACTCGCAAACTTGGCATGGCCAAAGGTGTAACCTGTTTTGTTTTGCCCTGGTGCTGCTTTCCCAGATGGTGGGACCAGCTGCCATTGAATACACGCTGGACGGGTAACAGTGTGAGAATTACCACGGCCTTGTTTCACTTTGGGAGGCATTACAAAAAGCTTGTCTTTTACCACTGCCAGGAGGAGCAGGGAGCTATCACCTGGTGTTCAACCAGGAGGAGCCGGGAGATATCCCCTGGTGTTCAACCAGGAGGAGTGGGGAGATATCACCTGGTGTTCAACCAGGAGGAACAGGGAGATATCACCTGGTGTTCAACCAGGAGGAGCGGGGAGATATCACCTGGTGTTCAACCAGGAGGAGTGGGGAGATATCACCTGGTGTTCAACCAGGAGGAGCGGGGAGATATCACCTGGTGTTCAACCAGGAGGAGCAGGGACATATCACCTGGATATCACCTGGTGTTCAACCAGGAGGAACAGGGAGATATCACCTGGTGTTCAACCAGGAGGAGCGGGGAGATATCACCTGGTGTTCAACCAGGAGGAGAGGGGACATATCACCTGGATATCACCTGGTGTTCAACCAGGAGGAACAGGGAGATATCACCTGGTGTTCAACCAGGAGGAGCGGGGAGATATCACCTGGTGTTCAACCAGGAGGAGAGGGGACATATCACCTGGATATCACCTGGTGTTCAACCAGGAGGAGAGGGGAGATATCACCTGGTGTTCAACCAGGAGGAGCGGGGAGATATCACCTGGTCTTTAACCAGGAGGAGCAGGGAGATATCACCTGGTGTTCAACCAGGAGGAGCAGGGAGATATCACCTGGTGTTCAACCAAACAACCTTTGGGTTGAGGTCAGACTAAAGTAATGTCCGGTACAAAAGTAAATACAATTAAGATCTATTTCTATTTTTTGTGAGGTTGTCAATGAAGAGCGTCATACCGTCATAGAATAGAAATTTCATTTCATGCCTCTTCGGATCACCTTTTCCATGCTCCATGCTCTCATTTTAAGCTTAATTTTATTGCTATTTTTAGGCTATGAGTAGGTTGACGTGAGCATAGCACTTGAAGAGGAACAGGGTTCTTCACTGACGCAGGAATCAATTGATCTCATATCCATTTACGGGCATAAGATTTGTGTGTATATATATAAACATACATATATATTTCTCCTTGCTCTTTATTCCCTCAAATTATAATCTTTCATTTCTTATTTTAACACCCTGATATTGATTATTTAGCCCACTAAAATATGCAGTGTTAAATGAAAATTACAAACCTGAACAAATAAGGTGAACGAACATTTAATAACATGTATGTATAAAAAAAAACTCCTAGTCACCTGTTCTTAAAGGGTGACGACCACTGAATATCTGCGGATCATTTGGTTCAGGATCACAGCATATACGGTGATTTACTGTTGTAACAATTATTTGGTGAGCGGGCTGTAACCTTGAACTTCATCATAGAGGGGAGGGTTTCGCTCTTTAGGGCTGGATTAACACGTTCAGGGTGGGCTAAGAGGAGGTAAAATGACCTGTCCCGCCTTTCGTGACCTCAGGCCATTCCTGCACATTGCCACGGCTTTGCTCTTTGCTCTTGAATATGCAGAGATCCCCAGCTTCATAGAGGGTCGGAAGAGAGGGTCGGGGGGGGGGGGGGGGGGTTGTATCGCATTGCAGGGAAAATTAGTGAGACCAAAGTTGGAGTTTCCGTGTGTTGGGGGCTACGAACAATGGCAGCTTTCTGTCAGACAGCAACTTCAAAGGTCTGCAGAGTGACTGCTCTGAGTTATACATTGTTGTAGAGCACTGAGGAAATTCACAGATGTTTTCTCATACGAGACACCATTATAGCGGCTCAAGTACCCAGTAGCCCCGAGCATTTCTCCCTCTCTCTCTCTCTCTCTCTCTCCCCCACATATTCAAACTCAAACTCACTCTCACACATGCAGCCTCAACCACCGCCGCCCCCAATCCTCTCTGATATCTTAAGTATGAGACAGATATGGAACCTGTTTTCTCTCCAGCTGTCCAGAAAATATGGAAAGTTATAAAAAAAATGCTCGTATTGTGGCGTTGCCCTTTGACAGGTTTCTAACTGTCAGTTCGGTCATAATGTCAAGATCACAAGCAGCTCCCTTTTCCCAGATCCATTTGGGTTCAATGCAATTATATCAAGTAGCATATCACTCAAATAAAATGTTGTAATTAAAATCTTAAAAAAAACAATAGTAAACAAGTGTATTGTACTGCTTATTCAGAGTTGCCAATGTAGTTTTTCTCTCTTCTGCAGATTGCCTTTGTCAACTTTGAACAGGATCCAAACAAAGCTCCGCACTCTGTTGATATATATTGTAAATGCATATTTATTTCTAGTAAACAGAAATTTTATATGAGTCAAATAAATGGGTTCAAACCACTGACTTTTGAGAATTGTGTATTTTTCTTTTTCCACTGTTCACCTTTTGGTAAATTTGGTAAGATTATGAGCCAAACTTGCAGAACACCAGAAACTGGCTTTCATGTCTGTATTAAAATACCACGTTCACTTTGCTGCTTCATATTACAACTGTGTGAACTTTGTTTCCCACAACCTCTCTGAGGCTGAATCCTACTTTTAGATATTCTGCTAATCCTTAAATGCAGCTTCATGTACACGTCCAGGCATCTCAACAGTACTGCTGTTGATCGACTCTGATGCTTTAGAGTACTCTATGACTAACACGCATGAGGGCCACTTCAATGTTCAAACCTTTGAGACAGAAGCTATTTCAGTGGGGTTTCCTCCCAAATTAATTTTCCCATCAAATACCCCAGGAAACTTTTCTGTCAGCCAAACCATTGCTGTGGTGACCCTGTAAAACGTGCAGCGTGGCCATAGGCTGGTAACGGCTGGGAAAAAGTAAATTACCTCAGGACGTTGTGTGAAGCGCACGTCATGAATTTCTTACAACCTTCATTCTAATTCCTGCTGAGCCAAATCCATCTCTCAGCTGGTCTCATTGAGATGCATGTAATGTAAGAACTTATAGCATTTAGAGCTGAACCGAGTATCTCAAAGGAAGATATCAATAATTTGGTAATTCCGATGGTTTACAAAATTCATGCAGTTGTCACGTATGTCTGAAATGTGCCTTTGCAGAGCTTGACAGCTGACATGTAAAGCTGATTTAAGTTTAAATACACCCTAAATCAGAATTGATATCTACTATTATAATGTCCTGGTGTCTGCAGCTGTTCAGGATCGTGGTAAATTGTACTTCTGTTTCAGGGTGGATTTCCCCTTTACTTTAGCAGTTGTCTGGTTTGACATTCGAGAGGAGATTACAACGTTTGACATTTATCTGACATTTAAACCTGGATGTAAAACCAACCGACAACACTTTTCTCCCAAAAAAACAACTTAGTAGAGTGTAAAAACATTTTACGGCAGTGATTGATTGGTAACGCCTGATTAACTAAGTATACAGCATTTAGTTATCATACAATCCACTTTTCACCAATTTTAAGCTCCACTATGTAAAATCAAGTATTTATTACTAATTTATCAGATAAAGGATTACAAAGGATTTTCCCAATTTGGCAGCCTAAAAGTCAATGTTACTTTTCTAAAAAACATTTGGCCATTTGACAATTCTCTTTTAACCTGCATTGGTCTTATTTGTGTCAAATCTTTCAATCCCTAAATGCACAAAATCGATAGTACAGTTGCCATGTAGACACCAAGGGCTTTATTAATGGTTAATAAATCATGATAATTTGCCATTCCTTAATGTGAGCAAGTGTTGGGTTGCCAGGTCGTGGAAATCTCATGGCTGTACCTCATCCCTTCTGTTTGGTCATAATTTCATTAGAACACATAAATGCTCGCGGGTTCGTCATCTTTTTTTTCTTACAGGAGGATGATGAACATCCGTTTATTAACCATTAGCAAATAAATAAGTTACAAACTCCCTTAAAGAAAGGTGGGACAAATACTTCTTGATCATGAATAACTTCCATTCAACATTTAGAGTGACTTCCGTAAAATGATTTGCAACTTATAAAAGTACACGCTCTTGTAAAAGGCTGATTTAACACAACATTTCCAAGGATCCACATTACACTAAATTTACAGTGCATTTCTAACGGTATCTTACAGTATGTCATAATAACTAACATACAGTTAAATTTCCATCCCTTGCTTGTAAATTAACGGCCAATGTCATGACTAAACAGTTAAAGCTGTCAATTTACAGTAATAGCAGACTACCGAAATTCAACTGCATGTTACATATATTTTATGAAGTGGTGGAAATACACATACAAGTGCAGTGAATCACAATCCATCTACATCTGTTGTAGGTTAATGTATGGAAGCCCATGTCAGCCACTGAAAAACAGGTCCTGTAAGTCATCATAATGAGATAGTATCTCATGAGATATGATGATGACTTTGACTTACAGGACATTACTATACATGCAGCTGTCACTTTTATCCAAAACGCCTATGGTTTGACATAAACTTATGTGTAGTATTTGGGGGTTACGTGTCTTGCTCAGGGACACTTTCAGGATTCAAACCACTGACCTTGCGCTACACAGCACACCCTCCCTATCCCATGCGCCACCTTCGCTGTCATTTCAGTGGCTGGAATGTAAAGATTATAAATATTTGTATTATTCAAAGTGTTCATTGCCTAATAGTCATTTGAGTGTTAATCGACTGCTCCTGAACGTGACGTCAGACGCGTAATCTCAGTTCATCCAGAACACCTGTCAGTGCAGTTCAACATCGGAGGAGTTTCTCATTGCCTCGTCTCTCCAAGTAACGTTGGTAAGTGTTATTTGCCTAGCATGATTAACATTCTCCTTCCTTACATCTTGTTGTCTTCCTCATCTTTGTAATTTTTATATTTTCCAATGACCGTGTTTCTAAATATTTTATTTTGGTTTGTTTTACAGAGGCTCTGGATTAAGGACGCCAGCATTTTGCTGCAGTCAATTGAAAGTGTTCCATAGCGTATTGTTGCAGTTAGTTTACCTTGTTCCTAATGATTTTATGATTCATTTTTTTATTATTGTATACATGCAGCATATTTTATGTTTTGTTCTTGGTTACAAATGCCTAACATTTTTGTCTTAAAGGCATCTAATAAACTCCAACCACTATGACCGAAATGAGTTTGGTTGTCTTTCTTTAATTTGTGGGGAATTAAATGCAAAAGTATACGGTTATAAGTTATAAGTTATAACTTATATAGTTATAAGTAAATGGTAACATTCTGGTATTTATAACACAAAAAGAGTAATCGTATGGTAACAAACTGTAATCCAATATACGACATCATAACGTATATTACGGCAGGGAACTGTAAATAAAACAGTAAGTTGCTAGCGTCGACTGACAGTAAAGGGCAGTTAATTCACAGTAAAATTGGTTCAAGTTTACGGTAACATACAGTAATCCATTTTACGGTAACAGTGTAAAAAAACATTTACGGTATTATACCGTAAAAACTGTAAATTCCTGCCGTCCTTGCTGCCAGTAAAATACCGTTAATTTACGGTGAAATCTTTTAGAGTGTAGTAACCTTCTTGTTTTCTGATTATGTTCTGCACAATAGACTTCATCAGCAACTGCTGCCATACGTTGATGTAACCACGGCCAATCTCCACTACTTCTTATTTTTAATCAGGCAACGGTGTGAGTGCACCACTCCTGTAGCCAGTTTTGTAGTATAACATGGCTCCAGTGAAGCCCAGCAGGACTCCCCCTTCCCCTCATGACTGTGTGTAAAGCCGTGGGAGAGGACTGGGAACATTAATCCCTTCAAAGGAACAGATCTAATTCAAAATCTGCCGCTCCAAACTAGTTGAGAGGACAGTGATTGTTTCTTCGGGGAAGCAAAGATCAGAGAGTTGATATAGAAAACTACAACTTCGACCGCTCTCATACAAAAGTTTGAATTTTATCTTTAGAAAACTGCATACATTTAATGTTCCGCAAAAAAATCAGGACAAAATATGTTGTTGTATTCCAGTTTAGACTTTGTGGTAAAGTTTGGTTTGGATGCTTCAGTGCACGAGATCATTGTGCTCGACTTCCTCTCAAGACCCAATGAAATGACAACTGTGTGAGGAAACATAATTGAGACATCCCCATTTCAAGTGCTGCTTTTGTCACCTGATTTAAAACAGAGGTTTCCCCTTTGTACCGTGTTAAGTAACGTGTTATAATTTGAATTAGCTGATGGGAATTTACCCCAAGGCTATAAGCTTACAACAGAGACAAAAAACTAAATTAGGAATAAGGTTTTGATAGAACAAATGATTGAAACGAGTGAGGGAGAATTAGGTTTTTAAATAATTCAGACAGGGTATAATTAAGCGTTTAATGCTGTGTTGTAGTTCAAAGGGACAACAAAGGCAATTTAATTCAAATTAGAAATGTAAAGGAGACGCAGATTGTTGGGAGATGAGAACTTTGTGTTGAGTCACTCGATTTGGTCTCTTTCCTCCATCAAACAGTCAGGCAACGCTCTCAGAGATCTCCAGAGATAACAATGTCACATTGTCACGTAGGGTTCTGCTACAAATCCTTAATTACAAAAAGAGGATCAGATGACTACAGCATCCAATACCGGGGTCTCCAGGCGGCGTGGGGGTCTTTGATCAAGAAAATCCAATTATTTGTGTATATACATTTCCCACATAGTGATTACTTCATTAATTGTCCCGCCTTTATCTCCTCCCTTCCCATCCCCCCTAATAATCAGCTCCTTTATCCAGACCAACAAACACACCATAGGAGCTTTGTGGATTCAAAGGATTTGCTTTCCCCTCTCAAAGAGCCGCCATTCTTTGATGATTGGGCAGCGGCGAACTTCAAAGTAATAAATCTTAGTTGTGACTGGCTGGCGGCCCACCAAAGTCCTTATCAAATCCTAAGAAGTGATCCCTCGCGCTCCAGATACACCGAGGAGATCTCGGAGAGAGGAAGCACCGCAGAGCGGAGACCTGCTCGACGCGATATTTCACGGCGAATGCGCGTATTTATCTAAATTAGTGCTTTTTTTTAATATATATTTAGTATTTTGTATTCGGAGCCGAGAGGGAGGAGGAGGTTTTTCACCATGGCAGCAGTGGCCGTACTGCGCAATGAGACACTCCAGGCTTTTCTCCAGGTTTGTGCGAGAGTTTTCTGTTTACTTTGACCACTTTAGAATAACTCGTAAACTTGAGTTTGTTTTTGCGCGCGCGAGGCGGGAAAACGAGTCCTACAATTGTCTAATGTCTCCTCGTTTTAATTGCCAACGCTTATTGTTTGCGTCTGATTGACTTCTGCTGCAACGCGAAGTCAACTTTTAATGTCACATCGCCACGATGCAGCCGGCAGGGGATCGATGGAGGGGAGATGCCGTTTAAAACTTAACGTTGTTTGGCGAAATTAGTTTTTAAAATACTTCGTAAAAGTGTATTGAATAATGATTGTAATATAGAACAAAAAAAATGTCTCGGTTTTCCCAGGATCGCACCCCGAACTCCTCTCCAGAGAACTGCAAGCACTCTCCGCTGGCTCTCCTGGCCGCCACTTGTAACCGGATCGGGCATCACCACGGATCGAACCCCGCCGATTTCCTCCAGGTCCCTTACGACCCGACCCTGGGCTCCCCTTCGCGTTTATTTCACCCGTGGACTAACGAGGGGACGCCTCAGAGCAGCCTGGCCGGAAACTCCACGTTCGGACTATCGTCCAAGCCCCAGCTGTCCGCGCACATCCAGAGCTCCTTCAGCTCGCACCACGAACTGCCCCTCACCCCCCCGGCGGACCCCTCGTACCCCTATGACTTCTCCCCCGTGAAGATGTTGCCCTGCTCCATGCAGTCTCTGCAGTCCTCCTGCCCCCCCACGTACGTCCCCGCCGTCAGTTACGCGGCCCCGGCTCCCATCCCGTCCGCCATGCCAAGTTTTGTCACGGGACCCTCCGGCCTCGTGCACCACCACCACCACCACCACCACCAGCAGCAGAGACAGTTGTCCCCGAACCCCGGGGAGGACATCCCGTGGTGGAGCCTCCAGCAGGGGAACCACGTCGCCCACTCTTCCTCCCTCGGCCCGCACCGCTTCCAGCTGCAGCGGGGCTTGGTTCTGGGCCACACGGACTTCGCGCAATACCAGACGCAGATCGCGGCTCTGCTGCACACCAAGTCCCCCCTCGCCACCGCGCGCCGCTGCAGGAGGTGCCGGTGCCCCAACTGCCAGTCGTCCACGTCCAGCGACGAGCCCGGCAAGAAGAAGCAGCACATTTGCCACATACCGGGCTGCGGGAAGGTTTACGGGAAGACGTCGCACCTGAAGGCGCACCTGCGGTGGCACTCCGGCGAGCGGCCGTTCGTGTGCAACTGGCTCTTCTGCGGCAAAAGTTTCACCAGGTCGGACGAGCTGCAGAGACACCTGAGGACTCACACGGGGGAGAAGCGCTTCGTTTGCCCGGACTGCTGCAAGAGGTTCATGAGGAGCGACCACTTGGCGAAACACGTCAAAACTCACCAGAACAAAAAAAACAAGTGCCACGACAAGACGCTGGACCACGTCAAGAGGGAGGACACGAGGAATATGTTGTAACACGCGTTGTGGTCACGTCGAAGCAGTAGGAATCACTAGTGCAATACAGGCGGTTGCCCACGTTAGTTTTAAGTGCTCAGTGAGCTGCATTCTTAGTGGGGATGTTTTGTTTATTCCGTTGATATTCACACACCTTGAGGATTAGTCTCTGCCATCGCTGGTCTGTGTAGCACATTTTTTGTATATATATAAATATATATATAAAGTTTCATAAGTTAATTTGGGACCACGGAGAAGGTAAAGCTCATAGGTGTGAATTCACTGTCTATATCATGTCATGGAAGACAAGTTTTCAAGTTTTGGCCATTGTCTTCGGCGGAAGATCTCACTCCGCTGTAAATTATATTTAATAGCTTTTGTTGACTGAAAGTGTCAGTTTTTCGCTCCATAAGGGGTGTTTTTAAGCATGCTCTTGAAAAGATCTGCTATTGTTGATATGACCCAAATACTGTGTGAGAATAAAGATTATAACATTTTCCTGAACTCTAAACTTGAATAAGTCATTTGATATCAAGTCATTTTATAAGACTTGAATGCAGGATGAGGCGCTCAAGCGTTTACGTGTAAGGAAGCGGATTCAGGAGGACCTGGATTTGGTGCCTTGTGTAGAACTTCATCTACAGCTGTTTTGTTTGGTGCAATTTGAGTGACTTGAGGACTTTAGGTGATATGTGTGCTAATATCTAGCCTACGGTTGTTGGTGATGGCTTAAAGAAAGGTTGAATTTCATCCAAAATAAGACAATACGTAATCGTCCTTGTTTAGTCTGAAAATACAAACTTTACCTTCTGCTGCTCAATTGTTGTCGCTGCTCAAGTTGTATCACAAGAAGCACGATGCAGTGACAGTTGAGTTGGTCGTGGCTGTATTTGAAAATCTTTACATTCACTTAAAAAAAAAATGTACAGTACAATGTTGAACAATGAATTATAGTCTTGCAATTTGCCCGCCAACTGAATAAAAACTGACATAAAGCATGAAAGAGATCCATCAACCCTAAATTTGAGCGCTTTAAGGTGCATACAGATGCTAATATCTTGAAACATAGTTTTCTATGTTACATTTTCTCAGTAACTTCTGTGAATTATGCGGCGAGAATTGTCGCTAAATACGTACGCAGAGATAAAAAGGCAGACAACCCTCATAATAAATACAATTTTACTTGTTCTTTGTAAAATATCACACGTTTTCTTCACAGTCGGCGTTAATTGTCCCACTGTTAAACTCAACTGACAGCTCTAATTTGTTGATGCACTCTTAATGGATGTGGCCTGTTTGTCCCGTGCCTTTGTTTTTGTATTTTACATTTACCTCTGAGGACTTAGCAGTGACACCGCAGGCTGAATGAGACCCATTAACAGAGAAACACTCTAAGCTGGGAAATCACTGGGTTCATGTGGCATCGTGCAGCATGTTTAATGTCTCTCCTGAGTCACTCAGCCTTAATGGACAGTTAAAGACAGTCCAGTTTTTTGACCAAACTAATTGTCAAAGAACACAGACTTTTAGTGGAGAAATAAGTGCACCTAACACCTACATTAACTTTCATAACGTTGACTTAAAGTGCAGTAAACTAACTACGACTTGAATATCTTATTGTGTATTCCTCCGCCGAAGGTGTTGCCGTGGCAACGAGGGATTCAAAGTAACCTGCAGGGGACTTTGTTTTCTAACCCCCTACTTCCACATAACTAATCGACAGAAAAGTAGGGGAACATTTGAGTTGCTAATAAATCCGAACGGCGATACAAACATTAAATGCTGTAACTCATTTCTTGGAGAGTCGCATCAGCAGTGACTTTGATGCTTTCACGCTTCTGTCTTATGAGGAATCAGTGCAAATGTCACAATGAAGAGAACTACTGCGGCCATTCATCAATGTTTTTGAGCTGTCAGTTATCTGCCTCAACAGCGCCCCCTTATGTACGTGGCCTCAGTGCCTCATCAGCGCAGAGAAATATCGTGATGAACATAATCGACTAGTATGGGTTCATATGTTTTCAGAAAAATACAACTAATATGAAACTAATTCATACGTAGTAAACGAATAACACCAGACAACAATTAAATGCAAGTTAGGTTTTCAGGTGTTGATAATATTTGTTTACATCATCTACACTTTTTAATGATAATTAAATAACAAATAAAAAACAGAGTTTATATCCCTCTATGTCAATTATATTTAATAAAATTAATGCACCTGTAATTTTATGTTTTAAAGAATTACTGGTTGGAGATTTAAAACAAACAAAACTTTGTCTCCAGTTTTTGGACCAGATTTTTTTCACATAACTGTACCTCTTTATATATATAGAGCCTACAGCTGCTATAATAGATGTGACTTTGAGACTTAGAGCCAGTTTGACCAAATCCTAAGAATGTAAATCATTAACATTTATTCATCACAAAACGAGGAGGATATGAAGGAAAACCCTACAGTAATATAATGAGATGTGACCATTTGAACTGTTGAGTCGTTATCTGCAAATATTATGATCCTATTATGAAACGATAGCTGTGGAGGGATACGTTGAATGCAGCAGACGGGCTCCACACAAAAGCTTTGTTCGCCTCTGATTCGGCATCATTGTCCAGGAGGCAGTCACCATACTTTAACATCGCCAGGAGGATACGATGCTTAATTAGGAATATAAAGGATATCGTATGTTGTGGCTTATAGGTTTATGAATGAAAAATACATTAAATGATTTTCCAACCATTTGAAATAATCCCATTACGAATGGCTCTCCATGTCTGATTTGAAATTATTTTACGTCTACTGTTAAACGGAAAGAAAAGCATCATTAATATTATAGAATTGTTGTGTGTTAAATGATCATTCCTAATGATCTCATTCTGTTAAACATTTATTTTAGTTTACACTCATAAAAAAACCTGCATGTGTATAAACCTTGGGCTGTACAAACAAGCAATCAGTTGTTTAAAACAAATTTCAAAGTGTCTATAACTCTTAACGAATCAATTTAACTTGTTTTTACACACTAAACATTTTGTTTTTAAATCAAAGATTAAAAACAACATAGACAAACAAAAACACTCATAGTCATACAAGATATGTCTGCATATTCATACTAATTATTCAAAATGTTTTTCCTTTAATTGATGTCTACTAATATATATTGCTTAAGTGTTTATTTATTGTTAAATTCTTTTTCTCTCACCACTTCAACAACCCCGTGACGGAGACCACGGGATGCAACTTAAAGCCCCCGGTATCAGATGAGTGAACCGTGTATAAAGAAATTGCTGAAAGAGGAGTGTAGTTTGTTATGTGTTGACTGCCGTCTTTTAGGAATCACGCCGACGACTCGGACCCTGAGATGTCAAATTGAACGATTCGTTGCAGTCAGGTGAGCTTTGGGGATCAGGTTCAGTCAGCGGAGGGACAAACTCTTTCATCAGACCTGATCCCTCCTCACTGTGTCGTTGCCACTGCAGAGGCTGCTCAAAAGGAGTGACGGACAAGCGCTGGCATGAATCAAATCCCTGATGTCAACAGCTGCGGCTCTCTGTGGAAGGTGGCTGTGCAGTGCTGATGTTACTCTAAGAACGGCAAAGGTTTGTCTGGGCGTTTAGATATATCATTAATACATCTGTGAGGATGGATCCCTGCCTCAGTGTCAGTTAAAAGCCACCGGAGCATTTCAGTAATACATCCCGATTTGAATGTGTATCACTAAATGGGCCACGATTCATTTTAAAGTTCAGAAAGGTGCAAAATAAACAAACCTTGTGTGTGTTTGTAGAGATGTTAATGGTGCAAAAGCTCTGGTTGATGCACTGAAATAATAATCACCTCTTTTTCCAAACTTCACAAAATCAAACCATCTGAAACATTTTAGATTGACGTACAAGACAATATGTGGACTGTTGAGGTGTCCTGTAATGGACCCTGATAAAGTAGAAGGACGACAGACATGCAAAATGCAAAGAACACACGGCGTTAAAAGAGCAACTTCTTGTCTGGAAGTGTGCGGTATGTGACATAAAAGTCAGACAATACTCCAATCGACCCCTTTAGGGCCGAGCAACGGCGAATGCACCACAGAAACACACTAAATACAAAATAGATGTAACACAAGTTAAAGCTATTTATCAGGTTATTAAAGGTTCATTGTGCAAAGAGATTAGATTAGATTAGATAAAGAGGATAAAACCTTGATGCGGATATTTACACTTTCTCACGTGATGGACGGACTTCGTGAAGAACACCATCTCATGTGAGGTGGTTGATTATATATTATTACCTTTCACAAATCGAGGCAGTTTCTTAGGTTGAACTTTGCTGTCTTCCTTTCAACTTACCTCTGGCACCTCGGTCGCACCCGTATACTTCAAACTCGGCCTTCGTTTGGATCTCAACTACGCAGCTGTGAAGTTTTGGCACTGAAACATTTACGGATTTGTCATCATCGGTTTGACAGGCACACAGAACGTGAACACTTTGTGAAGTACCTGCTCCTTTAGACGTCTCCAGGGCAACAATTTGCGACTCACAGAGACTAACGAGGTGACAACAACACAAGCCGGTAATGATGTGATGTCATCAATTAACTTTGTTTCAGCAGCAAGTCGCCCCAAAACAACATGCACGTACCTTCCACTGAAATTCAGGTTATACAATCTGCACAGCGACTGTGTGGGAGGATGGAGGACTTTTAACCAGGTTTATTTTAGTTTCCACGACGATGAAGGTCCCCTAACCTTAATAAAGTACTTATTTCAACCATCACAACCCAGATGGTTGAGGCTGAATCTGACCAAACCTTTAGCAATATCATCCTCACCTCGTTAAACTGATTTATTTTCAATGGTGGTTTGTTACAGCAGAATATGTTATGATTATGTCATAAAGGAGATCATAAAAACACCTTTGTGTCACGGCCAAAAAACAACATCAGCTAAGTTCCTGATAAAATTGAAGAATGTAGATAGTGAGTAAGGATGAATCTGAGTCTTCATAGACAACCTTCTCTTTAAAGGACACTTTGTGTAGGAGATGCAAGCTCTGCTCTTGTGTGAGTTTCCACGAGATGGCAGGTTTTCATGACGTCCAGTTGAATCTGCACCCGGTGGTTTGGACAACACAACACACCCTCAGTCAAAGACAATGTACCTTGTTTTGTAGCAAGACGACCTCGTATTGAATCCCATCAGGAATCAGGAGGAATCAGGAATCAGGAAACATTTATTGCCAAAATATGTCAAACATACAAGGAATTTGTCTTGGCGGTTGATGCGAAGCAAAGCACCAAACCCGTAGAAAACCCGGTAGCTCCTCAGTTCATCGGATGTAGGCTACACGTGCTACTTTACTTTAGAGATGTCATTGCTTTATAATTTCACGGAGACACAAAGATTTTTTTCCCATTAAGCTATTCCTCTGATTGTAAGTAGCAATTTTGAGTCATTTACATTTTTATGAGAAAATTAAAGGATTGCACTTTTGCATATTTTAATTGGTCATTTAAACCATGAAAAATTGTTAAATTAGATTCTAACTTTGACTTGTTATACATCATTGTTGTGATAGAGGGCACATTTCATGCCACTGCCAACTTTAAAGGGTGGAGTGATTGAAATGTAATCAAAACGAGTATTCTTTTTACAGATAAATACATACATGTATATTTAAATATACATGTATTCATTTATTTATTTTTGTTCATTTTAGTTCAAATTAAAAGTTAGAGGCAGATACATATTTACATGGCCCAACAATAAACCCACTCAGTACAAGTGTTTTTATCCCTGCAATAAGGATCTGACCTTGTTTGCTGTCTGACTTCTTTGAGCTTCCCCCTTTGTTAAATGGAGAGGTAACATCCGGTCCAAAGCTTAATATTTGAAGTACAATTAAGTCCGATTGGAATTCTGTGTTACACCACTGTCACATTCACGTCACTTGTTTTTTCAGTGGCCCCTAAAAAAACTGAATAAAACGTCCCTCTACAAAACTTCCTTTCAAATCAGTCAGGTCGCAGTCTTTGTCTCAGCAACGTCATGTGACTTTTACAGGAAGTGAGTGTTCACCCTTTCCAAACTATTACATGTGTTTATAAAAGACCACCTGTATGTAAAGTTTGTGAAAAACGGTCAAAGCAGATGTGTGAAGAGGACAGAATACCTTGATTGATTTGAAGTAGCGCAGGGTTACCATCCAAGTGAAAAATTGACTCCAAATCACATTAAATGGGACAATTAGTATCCTGAAGGAGTGTTAAAATGGAACGCGTATTGTTGATCTCATAATACTTAAGGTGTTCTAAAGCAACACAGCTCTACTCTAAGTAGGTTTAGTGCACTTGACTGGATTAAATTGGGACGACTTTCAGTACATCAGATACACTGCAAAAAATCTTGCTGCATTATGTAACAGACTTGCAGTCCAATTAAAATACACTATTCATTATTGCACTTTGAGCATACTGGAACCAAATAGTAAAAGATAACTAATATATGAATGTAAAATGAATATAAAACTTGCACCAATAATTAGTCATCGTCTCTAGCATGTAGGGGACAATTCTGAAGAAGCCAGTGATTTCACTTCATTTAAATCAGACTTCCACACAGAGAAACATTAGTGCTTCTGCCACGTCATCGCTGAAAATGTTATGGAATCAAACGGACAAATGATCTCTGTTGAACCCTTGTGTCGTTTTTTGTAAAAAAAAGTGCAGCGTTTCCCTTTTTCACCTTTGGTAGCAGCACCGAGCTCTTGGTCGAGAGTTGGTCGTAACCAGCACCGTCTTCTCTCAGCAGGGGTCTGCAGTTTTTCAATGGTTGTCTTTAGACTGATATATGAAATACAACTTTTTTCAGTTTTATAGTGTTTGATGATGGTACTATTTGGATAAATGGAGACAAAACATACAAAATGGAACTCCAAAGTACTCTTTTTAAACAATTACTTGTATTTTAATTGTATAATCTTAGACCTAAAAACAAAATGACACGTTTTCAGAGTGCAAACCCAATAAGTCAGATGTTTGCATGGGTGCTTCTTGACGAGAAGCTGGGACGAAAAGAAGTAGAAGTTTACAAGATGAGAGGGACACCAGTGAGACGCCATGTGACAGTCAGGGGAAATTCACCCGACAGCCCAGAAAGAAAACAGGAACAGGCGAGGTAATGTTTATCATTTCAAAGAGATTTCTTGTATCTTTTCACTGCCTTACGATCAGCCACAGGACATCTACACTTCTTTAAGTCAGAATCTGCTTTCATCGGCAGTGAAATGACAGACAAACACAAATACAGAACTTCTCTGTTCTCCCTGACACTCCTCCTCCCCACCTTCTCTTCCTCACACTCTACATTTTGATTATGCCCCATCTTGTGGGCAGTTTCATACAGCCACTATAGGAATAATCGCACCCTTTCCCCTTTTGTTTTGACATCTTTTATTGTAGTTTTTTACATCACTCCCTTGCAGCCGAAACACAAAAAGGCAGAAATAAAATCATATTGTGAGTCATTATCACTTCAGGGTGGCCTCTCTTCAAAGACCTCGTGAACGATATTAGCCAGGGACACGTGTGCAATACTACCTGCAAGGAAAAAAATGTATTGCAAAAGAGCAATGAATCAAGCTGGAATATGAAACAACAATTAATATCAGACCTTTAGGCCCCCAAACCCCAGGTCCTAAAGCCAACACTGACATGCATCATGTTTATTTCTCCTGTTTCTTGTGAAAAGACAACATCCAGAGTCTTTATTATGTGCAGAAATCTAAAAGTCTTGTGAGTTCAGTTGAGGCTAAATGAGTCCACAGCAGTCGGTCTAAGCCAAATCAATTGCGTAACTTTAAAATTACACTAATTTTATTATGCGATTCCCTGTTTTTCCACAGACAATGTTTATTTGCTGAGCGGCAGTATAGTGATAGTATCCTGAGAGATGGAAGAAACATTGTTAGAAAGGACTAATTTACTCTTTCAAAGTATACATGAGAATTATTGCCTTATGATAGATTCTAGAGACGTGAATAATCGTCTAAGGCAGATCCTGCATTTGTTCTTGATCCAGCCTGTTCAAAATCAAGTCTTTTTTCGTTGAATATTTGGCATATTCCTAAATTGAATTATCTTTTGTGAAATGACCAAATCCTAAACAGGAAGTCAGTTCCGCGCCATAGCTTTATAGACAAGTCAGTCGTGGACAGCAGCCTTCAGAAGCAGGAGCCGACTGGGAAGCTGCTTCATGGTCCTTGTGATGTGCAGCGGTTTGGTACCAACTGTGTCTCAGCGACAAACTGACCTTCGATCACGTTCATGACACAAGAGATTACACATCTCACAACAGATGGATGATTGCCTGTGCGTCTCTTGTGTGTCCACTCGTGTTCCACGTATGATGGTGGCGTGTTCCAGGTTAATGGGTCGGTTTATAATTAGCTGCATGAAGTGTATATCTGGAGTGGCCCATTTGGGCCTCTGCTCTGCGCGAGTCATTCTTGGTTCCCCACTGCCACCTCGTGCTTCCTTCCCATGCGTCATGTCGTGGGTTACATCTTCACCATTAAAGACCCCCCCCCCCCCCCCCCGTGTGTCCAAAAAGTGGGAGATCGAGATGTTTGTGGCAGATGCACGTTGTAGATGCAATGACCACTAAGATCATCTTCCGACGTTTTGAAAAGAGACATATGAGTTTAGAATGTCGCGACAGAAAGGCAGAACAAATATTGTTGCGGCGCGGGTAATAAATAAATAAAAGCAGTTAAATGCGTATTACGCCACGTGATCGTGTCATTACGGTTGTCCTCTTGTTTTTTTCCACAAAGAACAAAACCTGCGACCCCCTCCTCTCCCACTCGCACCCCCTCCCCTCCCCTCTTATCCCGATCCCTCCTCACATAATGTGTTGCTCATATCATCAAACTTCGGGTCCGCGTCCGTGACCAGGACTCCGACCAGAACCAAACCCACCCGAAGGCAATCAACACCTCCCCAGAAAGGAAAGAAAGAAAGAAACAGAAGTCCCACTTTAAGGGGCCGAAAGCGGCGCCATTCAGCGTGAAACCCCGCAGACTCGCCTGCAGGCGGACCCGGCGAGCAGCACCTTGGGAGACGCTGGTCCATTCGCGCGCAACGGACGACAAGCAGACAGGGCTCGATCCGAGTGTCAGGGAATCGAACCCGAACGCACAAAACCAAAGCAAGGTCACCTTGTGTGGAGTCCAACACAGCTGAGGCTCAGGTCTTTTTGTCTTCTTCTTCATCTCGGAGTGGTTCAAAGAGTACCAGCAGTAGTCTCTCCTTCCGGACAGAGGATTCACTTTTTATTAGTGGGGAACAGCACTTCACCTGGACCCACATTATCACGGTAAGTGGCTTTATTTCACCCTTCTGGTCTAACAAGTCCGCTCCAAACCATCTTCTTAATTGTCGTTGGAGATGCTCTAACAGGTGTTCAATGGGGTTTACAGAGTCAGTCGGTATATTTTTTGAATTATTGCATTATGTTGCACAGGTTTAATCGGTCATTCTTTTAGCCTTTAATAACCGGTTGGTGATTTTAAAAGAGTGACACGAATATGCCGTTGTTTCTTTTCTGCGCTGGACTTTAATCCGCATTACGATCAGCAAAGCAATATTCACCTTGAGCTGATATTTGTCACCTGTGTGTGGGTCCAAAGCTGACCATATAGGCCATATTATGAATTTGAATCTTGTAGGAAATATTCTGCTCTTTTGTGGGATTCTATTTGCATTTTTTTTCTCCTGATATTCATTCAATCATAGCATGAGCTTAATACCAATTAATGCTGTGCTATTAATTACGTGGAGGACAAACATGAAGCGGTGAGGCAGCATCAGGATCCAGATGTGGTGCTGATATAACACGCTCCTGTTATTGGCTCAAGGGAGGATTTCTTCTGTCCTCTGTGAAATGAACTCTTCTTAGATTTATGATCATCCTCTTTTTTGGGGGGGTCATTTTTATGCAGACTGTATACCTGTTGTCTACAGGTCTGTGTCTACAACTTTAGCATCTCTTCATTGTGAAAAAAAAGAATGAATGAGGCAGCTATTTACAATAGTTTTTTCATGGTTGATGGGCTATAAAGATTCATTTTGGGGGGAATTAACAAAAAAAAGTGAGCATGCAGGCTTTCTGAAGTGAGGACTTTGGTACAGGCTCGGGAGTGATGGCGGCATCTGCACCCTCCTCCTCTGGCGGCGAGCCGGATCCCAACTCCACCAATTTACGACCACCGGGCTCAAGTAGGTCCATCACAGATCAAATGCTATTCCACGTGTGCTATTTACTTTGTGGGCATTGCCATTCATCATTTCATTGAGGGAGAGAAAGGAGTGGAGGGGGTGTGGGGGGGGGGGGTCGCTGCCATTTGAAAAGGCTTTCTTTGTCACAAATCATCGCTGCATCTGCGTGGCAGACGGATGCTGCTGCCAAAGCCATGGTGTCCTCCACTGTGGTCACACTGAAGGCAATGAGCCAGAGGGACAAGACCCATAGGCTGCACCACCACCAGGATTAATAAATATCTGCAAAATGTACAAATGGTTATTATATGTCTTTTATTCTAATTATTATTGGCTTATTACTAGGATGAAGGATTAATTCATTCCTGTTCTTTTCCCACTGCTTCGGCTAAATGTGTTCTGGCTGAATAAATAAGTGCCTGCAAGGAAAAATGTAAATTGCCCCTGAAATGCCGAATAATCAGCCATATTCAATGGTACACTTAAGCATTGTATTCGTCGAGAAGGGGCACTGTAGAAACCTTCCTCCAACAGCTGATTGAAGAAGAAGAAGAAGAAAAAAGAGCCTGGTCCTTTCAATGAATAGAGATCTAAAGCCATGTTGCAGGTGCTCCAGACACAAGAAATACACAGATACTGGGGTTTCTACAATATTGAATGTAAAATATCATTACATTTCTGTGCAGTGCAAACATGAGCTATTTATCCTTCCCAGTTACTAAATTGTATTAGAATAGCTTTACGTCATGGATGAGCTTTGAGATAAACAGCATCATGTTAGGCCCATGCATGCACCTTCCATTTTTGTTCTTTATACTTGTCCCCTTTTGTCGTCTGCCTCTTTCCCTCTGCAAAAAAGAAAGCATTGTGGGTTCCGAATTGAAGTGCGTCCTATAAGCTGAGCACGGCAATGATTTATCTAATGATCCGGAGCAAGGGGTTGAATTAGGATGTGGGAATGGGACCCCCCCCCCCTCCACCCTAAATAGCTGCTTTTAGAGATTTGGTGCGTACGCTTCCCCTCTGAGGTGCCCCCTCCCCTCTCTGGCTGGAAGCCCTTGATAACGCAGTAATTCTCTATCTGTCACTGACCAGCCGGCTCGTGTCTACCGACGCTCGCGTTTTAGCCACGCGTGAATTAAAATGTTTAGCCTGGCGAGGTTCCAAACGGCTTCCTAATTCATCTGAAGTCCTCGCTATAGGCTGTGAACGGTGACATAATAGGCGGATCCAGGTCCAGGGGCCCGGTGAGGGCCGTGTGGGAATAATCCCGTGACAACCCATTTTTTGTTTCATCATGGGATATCACTCGACTTCATATGTGTATGTTTTTAACATTCACTTGTTCAGAAATGGCTGTGAGGGCCTCTAATTTTAAAATAATGATTTTAGGCTATGATGCCTGGTGTGGAGTTGCCCATGGATGTACTAGGAAATTGGGAATGAAGATATGTGGTAAGCTACAATTTATTTTTATACACAAAGGGTGTGAATTGTCAGAAAGATGTAAGAATAATATTGTTTTAGTGGAAAAAAAATAATGCATGACTGTATGGCTATTCATGGCCTTGCTTCACACGCAACAATACAATTTACTTAATTTAATTTAATCAGAATAAAAAATGCAATTTGGGACAACTGCAATAAAAAAAATCAATTAAGTTGAAGCTGGTGAAAATTATGCAGAATGGATTTTCCGATTTCGGCTCCAGTTTCTCTCCAACCAAACCGAGCAGGGCGGGCTGACACCACCCTGACGGTGGAGGTCACGCACTACTGCGCGCTTCCATTTTCTGGTATTTTTGACCGACACGTTCCGCTGGTTTCATTAAGGACATGTAATTACCCAAGACCGTATAACGCTTCAAAACACAATGCGGAGGAGAGCCTGTTGTCTGCTCGGATTAACATCAGGGAAAACAGGTTTAATGTCTCAGACGTGAGAGCGTTGCACGCTTCTCCCCACTTGTGGAGATCTGTTCTCCTCACCAGGGTGTTACGAGATAAACCTTATGGGACCCCGTTGTTATCGGCTACTTGTGCAGTTTTATGAGAAATCCCGCCGCTATGATCATTTGTTTTCACTTGATTGGAGTTAGATGTTGATGTCACACGCTCACCCTCCCACAGAGACCCCCCGAGCAGGATGAGACCCCCTTCTAATGGAGAGAGACAGAAAGAGAGAGAGAGACAGGATCATTATTAGCAGGCCCAACGCGTCTGTCCTCAACATGCATGGGGGGGCAGTCGCCCTGCGGACTCCTCACCTTCTTGTGATCCTTCAGGGTTTTTGCAGAAGAACAACAGTTTGGAGGAAAGGAGCCGGATTGTGAGTTCCTTCAAAGAGCGCGCGGCCAGGAACCTGATGTCCTGCGATAACGCGGGAGAAGATGCGCATTTCAGACGCGCGGAGAACGACTTCTCCAACATGTTCGCAAGAGGTAAACCGAGAAGAAGAACCCAGCGGATTTTATTAGTCCGGAATTAAAGTGTTAAACACTTACAACTTTTTAAAAAAAGCCAACATTGCGTGGACATTTTAATCTGATTTCTGATGAGCAAATATTTGAGAAGGAGCTAAATAATATGCTGGTGAATCAGATTACTAACAATCATCCAGTAGTTATTAATGGAACCGTATTCATACTAATTCCTTAATCCTGCTTCTTTTGAGCTTATTTTACATAATACATTAAATTGATTGTAATGAAGTAATTCGCAACTTGCTGAGTTTAACCGTGAATGATGAAGGACTGGATTTAACCAGAAGAGACTCTGGTTATATTGTAGATCTGTTGCCTGCCAAAAATGGAGAGGAACCGACCATGCAGTTTCTGCTGGAGGTTGTGGAAATCCTCACCAACTACGTGCGGAAGACTTTCGACAGATCCACCAAGATTCTGGACTTCCACCACCCCCACCAGCTGCTGGAGGGCATGGAGGGCTTCAACCTGGAGCTCTCTGACCAGCCCGAGTCTCTGGAGCAGATCCTGGTGGACTGCAGGGACACCTTGAAGTACGGAGTGAGAACAGGTGAGAAGAAAGAGGCCTGAAGGCGTGCAGCGAGGCCTGCAGCCATCAATAACTCTCATTAGCTCACAGGCCACTGTGATGATTACAGAAAAGCCATTTTCTCTCCCGCCTATTCTCAAATGATTACTTGCTTTCAGGGGCGTTATGTTGCTTCTGTTTTTTTTCTTTTTCAAACGCAGGTCACCCCCGGTTCTTTAACCAGCTGTCCACTGGATTAGATATCGTTGGCTTGGCAGGGGAGTGGCTCACCTCCACGGCCAACACTAACATGTGAGTACTGTGATAGCGTTATTTAACAGTCCTCTTTTTCAAAGGAGCGGGTTTTCCCTCCATTTAAACCATAATGCTGTTTGAGATTCAAGCAATGACAATTAGATCCAGTTTGGAGCTCATTAGATTTGTTGTATTCTGAGGCTTTTTGTCATTGTGTTTAAACAGCCCATGCAGAAGAGGGTCTCTCACTACGAGGAATACGTTCGGTGACATGCAGTAATTACTGTCGCACAGCACCGTGTTGGCTCTAATGGACTGTCCATCAAGCGGGGGAATAAAAAGACATTTGCACGGCTACAGTTTTGTGAATGTTGGCCTGTGAGGCCGTGGGCGCATAACTCAACCCTCGGCAAATGAAATTATTGATTTGCATTCACGGTTTACATGCGGGTCTTTGTTTTCACTTGTTCTTGTGACATAGCAATGCCAGCAGGGCGGAGAGAGCCTCTCCCCGTCAGACCGTCTTCATAGGGCTTCATATAGGTCGCCACCGGTGGGCCTCAGTGACCAGTTTGGAGCACTAAACGGTCTGGTTTTTCATGACTGCCCCTCCCCGGTTTGTCTATATTTATCTTCCGACTATAAATTCCTGCTCTGAAGAAGAAAACCTTTGAGTAGCCTTCATCCGTGACTTTCTACGTGTGTCAATTTGTCTTCTGCTTCCAAGTATTATTTGATAAATGTCCTGTTTAATGATTTTGCTCCGGTGTCGAGTAGGAAGTATCTCATGTGCTGACACTGGCAACACTGAGGATGACTCGAACCGGAGGGTGGAGGCTGCTTTGATACTTGTAATTTACCTTTATTAATTACTGCATCAACCCTAATTACCCCTGGCAGATATTGACTGACACTAATAGATTGACAATCACATCCAGGTCTTACATAATGATATAATAATACATGTGGTGGAATGAATGTGGGACATCTGCTAAGTGGCATCTGACTTGTTTATTTTCCTCCCCTCTTCGTATTATTGTGTGCATACTGAAGATGCTTTGGGCACAATGCAAAATTCTGCGTATCTACTACTGATTAATGTACTTCCTTTGCATGAATAGACAGTCACTTATGTAATTATAAGAATATTGGTCAGGAGAAGATGGATGATCCTTCCCGTGCTGTAGTTCCAAATCGATTGCGCTCTACTCTGAGGCGGAGGGGTTTCATCGCAGTTTGATAAGACCGGGACAAATTAAATACATGGGCGGATAAAACATGAAAAGACTTTCTCGGAAAGTCAAATTCAAAGACACCTGAAATGGGTTTCTCTTGTGGTTGCACCTGCAGACTTTATTACAGACCTAATGTGACTTCACTATGACTGTGTGGTATTTGCTGTCACTTCTAAAACAACCAGACGGTAATGTCATTGAAGTGTGACACAATACTTTATCTGTTTTATTTCCATTGAAAGAGCCGCATGCTCAGTAACCGTGAGAGTACAAATCCATGTTGTTAAATATCAGTGTACAGTATTTCATATTGATCCCATCAGTCTCCACTACAGCCTGGAGTTCACATGGGAAGTTAATTGAATGAAGCAGAGAATATTTATATTCTACTATTTGATGAACACACAACAAAACACACTTTTAGAAATAATATTCTACTGTTTGTTCATTTAGGCTTCCATTACATATTAAAGTGTTGATTTATTTTGTGTCTGTTCAAGGTTTACCTATGAGATCGCCCCTGTCTTTGTGCTCATGGAGCAGCTGACTCTGAAAAAGATGAGGGAGATGGTCGGCTGGCCTGGTGGAGAGGGCGATGGGATATTTTCTCCAGGTCAGAGTCAAATGTGTCCCTCAATAACTCTGAGGCCTCATATTTTACTTTAAGTGTCAATACCACGGTGTAAATTGCCAGAATAAGTGTTGGCATCAAAATTGAATTAAGTACTCATTATGCAGAACATACATTTCAGAATGATATTTAAAATCTCAATATTGTCGAGTTAGTCTATAAAAATGCACACAATTATGTCATTTTAATCATCTGAACCTGCAGTATTAAGTAAATGAAATAAATGTATTGATAGTAAAACATATATTTTGTCTTAATATTTGAAAAAAATAAACATTTTCTTGTGTAAATGTGCGTTTGATAACGTACTTACTTTGTCCCACTATTGGTCTCAACAGGAGGAGCAATCTCCAACATGTACAGTGTGATGATTGCCAGATACAAGTTCTTCCCTGAAGTTAAGACCAAAGGCATGGCAGCTGCACCCAGGCTGGTCCTCTTCACCTCGGAGCACGTTAGTCCGCTCCGCCCTCGTGTTGCTTCACCATTATCACATCACTGTGAACATTGTGTGCAGATGTTACATCCTGACCTCCCAAACTCATCACCATCCACAACTCCCACCCTGTAACAAAGCCTGATCCGTTCAGCAGAATTATTCTATCAACGAAACACAACGAAGCCATTCGAGAGCTTTATCGTCACGTTCTCGTCTCGCAGGGGAATGAATGTGATTAATTCCCACCAAATGGATCCAACTTCTGTTCTTGCAGAGCCACTATTCCATCAAGAAAGCCAGTGCCGCTCTGGGCTTTGGGACTGAGAACCTGATCCTTTTGAACACAGATAAGAGGTTTGTTTCACATGCTGGACCCACATACTGATTTAAAAAGGTAAAGGATCAAATATATTGATATTGTATGTATTTTGCTTCTTTTTCTAGAGGGAGGGTCATTCCTGCTGATTTGGAAGCCAAAGTAATAGAGGCCAAGCAAAAGGTGAACGTCCGCAAAAGTCCACTCACACAATGTTTCCTCTCACTTGCTCACTGCTTCGGTCAGAGACTCACCAGGTACAATGAGACACACTCTGCAGAGCAGGGTAGTACTTGTTAACTTGTATAAGACCAGCGCTGCTGTTTCAATGGGGTTATTGCTTCTGTCAACAAATACAACAAAAACATGTTTTAGTCCGTCTCTTTGATGTCGGCAATCACAGGACAGGATGAACATAACCACCTGAACATAGCTCATAGAGTTTCAACAGATGTCTTTGTGGTGTTTCTGGTTCGCAGGGCTATGTTCCAATGTTCGTGAACGCCACCGCCGGCACCACCGTCTATGGGGCCTTTGATCCCATCAATGAAATTGCAGACATCTGTGAAAAGTACAACATGTGGCTTCACGTGGACGTAAGGCGACCTTCAATGCAGGAAAATACCAACATCAGCTGTCCAACTCATCAGATATTATTGTCCTTACGGTTGTGAATGTGTTGCGTCCTGTGCAGGGAGCCTGGGGAGGAGGCTTGCTGATGTCCAGAAAGCACAAACACAAGCTGAATGGAATAGAGAGGTAAATGAGCATATACGTAACAAATGACGCATGCAGACGGGAAAAATGATTGCTTTTAAAACGGGGCTGTCCACCTATTTTGGACACACAAGCATACAAAACTATGTGTACCGCTTCACCATCCGTGCAGGGCCAACTCGGTCACCTGGAACCCTCATAAAATGATGGGAGTGCCGCTGCAGTGCTCTGCCGTTCTGGTCAGAGAGTGGGTGAGACTGTGTTTTTCACTTCTGCGCCGGCGGGACAAGATAACTGCTTTCTGCCCGCAGTTGATAACCTTACTATTTCCATTGCAGGGATTGTTACAGGGCTGCAACTCCATGTGTGCCGATTACCTCTTCCAGCCGGATAAACAGTACGACGTTACATACGATACGGGTGACAAGGCCATTCAGTGTGGACGGCACGTCGACATCTTCAAGTTCTGGCTCATGTGGAAGGCAAAGGTGTGCATCTGGTCACTGAGCCTTGTTTGAGCTTCTACCACATCTCCAATGTGATGGTGACAACTTCAATCTTCTTTTTATCCACCTAAAAGGGAACAGTAGGGTTTGAACAGCACATTGACAACTGCCTGGATCTGTCAGCGCACCTCTACAATAAAGTGAGGAACCGAGAGGGCTTCGAGATGGTGTTCGATGGAGAGGTGAGTTCATCACTTCACCGTGCACAAAAATGTCTTAGTCAAACACTAAAGTAGCCACTGTGCTAATTTGTCAGATTAATCAAAATCTTAATTCGTTGGATACCGATCAGCTGCAGCAACAAAGATGAATGGTCCATATTACACTTATTATCTGAGCTGTTCCGCTTTGCAGGACACCATCTTTCTTTTGTGATAAACAACTGCAGCACTGCAGTATATTTCATATCGTAACGTGCTTCTAGGATTGATCGGACCGTTTTGCATTGCTGACAAGTTGACAAGAGACGCCCGAAATTGCAGAAGGTGTTTTTTTTAATCGTCGCTGTGCACAAACGTTGTTCCTGTTTTCTCTTATCAGCCGCAGCACACTAATGTGTGTTTCTGGTACATTCCACCGAGTCTGCGCGGCTTACCTGACGGCGACGAGAGGCGGGAGAGTTTGCACAAGGTGACGACTCATCAATCTGTTTGTATGAAGATACACGTCTCGTTCCCCTGAACCTCTTCAAGTCGCATGTCGTCTACTCCGATTATTCGGATGCACACAGTGTAAATTCCAGATCCCATCTGCTGGTGCTCGGTGGAATTTGGATGTTGACGCGGTACGATTTCCCACCACAGGTGGCCCCAAAGATCAAGGCGATGATGATGGAGTCGGGGAGCACGATGGTGGGTTACCAGCCGCAGGGAGACAAGGTCAACTTCTTCCGCATGGTCATCTCGAACCCCGCTGCCACCAGGTCAGACGTGGACTTCGTGATCGAGGAGATCGAGCGACTGGGCGCCGACCTGTAAGAGCCGCACCGAAAGCCATTCAGCCGCCACTCCGCAAAGCACTGAGCCGGGCGTCATTTCCCTTTTGCCTCATAAAGACGTTGAATGTTACTTACAGATCTTCTCTGGCAATGTACAAGAAATAACATGCGCTGTGTGTGTGTGTGTGTGTCTCTTCTCTGTCTCTTCTGTCTGACGTATTGTCAAAACATCTGCACACAAGGTTATCTGAGTAATAAGGACACATCTGTGAGAGAATCACACCAGCACACTGGTATTCTTGCTAGACCCTGTTAACTAGAAATGAACCCGTATAAAATAGTTACATGAGATTTACCCAGGTTACTTTCTCATAAAAATATAGAATAGCAACAATATCCGAGCATTTGAATGATTCTTTTTCTAGAGGAGCTATTGAAAAAGACTTATTTCACTGTTCTACAATAAGATGGTCAGTAAAAACAGAATGAGATCAAAATATTTTTTATGAGTATGAGAGCACAATGTAGGGAACGTTATAGCATAATGTAAGTACTGACTGTGGGTGCTTTATGTCGTCTGTGTCATTATCAAGCCAGATGCATCGCCACATTGTTCCCTATCTGTTATTTCCTTTTGATATTACATAGGTGGAAATATATAACACAGTCATTGTACTTGATCGCTGTGTTTCTAGAGATGTTTGTGTAGATTGTGTATAGTATTGTTCTATTGCCTTTGTGCCAAATGTGTCCTAGTTTTAGGGTGAGAAAACCTTATATCTGAATCGACCATAGAGTATAGTATGTAATAGATGAATCACTTTATTTGTATTCAGAGGTTATAATTGTGAAAAGGTTACTTGCTGTTCGGTTCCAGTTGTAATGTCTGCTTCGTTATGGGAAACACTGCTGTACAACATCGGCACAGTGTTTGGAACGCGCTTAATAATTTTAGGTGTTTGTCACCCAGGAAAGGTTCAAGTTTCTATAGGAACCCCCCCCCTTTACGCTCCTTATAGATGGGCTAAGAGTCCTCATTAAGTAGCAACTAATCTGGGGGGAAAAAACTAAACTTTTTGCCCACTGAGATTTCTCGTGAGAATTCTGGACCACTTTTTTTTACTGGTACCTAACGCAACCGCCCCCCCGGGGGGGGGGGGGTGGGGGGGTGGGGGTCGAAGTGTGCGTTCTGCTGTGATCTGCTCCAGTTATTATGTGCAGGATTGTCCTTCTGTTGTATTGGAGCTTCTCTTCTCACCAAGAAGCTTGGTCCTGCTCCTCTAAGAGAGAGGGAACTCTCCTGTCTGAACTTATGGCTCGTGTTTGAAGATGTGCGTATTCTTTATGATTTTTCTATGTGTTAGTTTGTAAGAAACGACTTAATCACGAACGAGCTAAAGATACTTTTGATTTCTCACAAGGACATTGTCCACCACACTTAACTTACCGCCCTTAACTTTAGTGCAATATATGTTGTGTAACTGTGCAATGTCGTTGTGACTCACTGACTGAATCCCGTCCAGACACTTGGCTTCATGTGGGAGGAAGCGCGACTGGATTGGCGGCTGCTTCTGCCGGTGCCTTGTTCAGGATAGAAAGCACAACGCTGAACCGTGGCGATGGCGCAGCTTTTATTCTGCAGACCGAATGATTGTCTGTATTATAATGTGTTAAGTGGAGTAAAACTATAATAAGCCACATTTTGTTTGTCTCAAAATGCTCAAATGATTTTGACATTTTAATGTTGAGAAAAACTATGTGAGAAATTGGGATTATTTATTATAAAGAATTTAGCTTGAACCAGGAAATGCACAATGTTGCTGCTGTACGATTTGTTGAATAATTTAACATTCCTTAATTAGTCGGTTGTAACCCCCCCTTGTTAAATTCAATGTGGGCACTTTAACTTGCCATCATTTGCAGAGTAGTATCAATAAAGCACTAATAAAGACATGAGCTGTATGATTTATGTGTTTATTTGCAGTTATATAAGGACATGCATATATGTCGGCTGAATATTCTTGCTCGTTAAGTCAATAAAATGCTATTATATAAATTCATGTTTTTCTATTCTTCTGGACTTTAAAATACACATATAGAGTACACAATTCTTTAGCTGAATACCCTCCACTTTGCCACAAACTGGTCTTATTAGAAATAAGCATGAAGCATTATTACTGTCAGATATTTCCTGTTTTACATATTGAATATGCACAAGCAAATATTTATTCTGTTTGATTGCTAAAATATCTGTCACAGAGAAAAGAAATCTACAATATCCTACATGTTGTTATTTGGGGGTCATCGGATGATGAAGTGAAATCCTTTCTGAACAAAGTAATATTCAGATCCATTCTCTGGTATTTGGGGGATGCTGCTGGTTAAGAAAGACCTGCCAACACTAAACAGTCACAGAACATAAACAGCATCATGTCACCTTTCCAAAATCACGATTAAAGGCCATTGTCGTAAAAGAGAAGTTGTGGAGTGTTAGTATGATGAAACAATGCTAAAGATGTTTGTTTTATTTTACTTCATGAGCTGGTAAAAAAAAGGCCTATACGGTCTCCAGGACGAAAATGACAACATTTGAGTTCAAATCCTCTGTAAGTTTAGATAAATTTGCACATTTTCCTTTTTTTCTCTCATACATCTAAACCAACCTGGCTGTCACTCACCACTGGTCAGATTAATCACCCATTGAGTGGCTTTTTATTGGCTGATCATCTCACAGCTCAGATCTCCTCTGCCAATTCCCTCACTCCCCTCATTACTCACACCTTTAGGATATTTATCATAAAACACATTAGACTGTGCTCTCCTAACATTTCTTTCGGAGGCGCCCATTTCAAGGCTCTGCCTGGCTGCGTTTTATTTCGCCACAGCCGTAGAGGGACTGGCTGTTCCACCCGCTCTCCTCCCATCCTCCAGCCCGCACGCTGCTGCTTTGTTTCACGCCTCAGTGCCGCGATCATTACAGCAGCCGGTGCCACCGGTTACAGGGAACAGAGGATTAAAGGCATAGTATAATGTGGAAATAGAAATAATCACCCGTGACTTCTTCCCGCATCTGAAGGGAGAGTATTTGTTGTTTTGTTTTTGACAGTTATAACAATTGAGTGAAAATGGAACTCGGCATTCAACTCTTATTATTTGTCAAAATTTAGGAAATTGCTATAAATGCCTGATGTTAAAGAATAGTCCCTTAAAGATGTTTGACTGAGTATGAAATTGGTGTATAATAGTATTTTAATCAAAAAACAGTATCTCCATCAATTGTAATTACAAGCACAATTAAGCTTTGGTCAGGAGATCAGTGAAATAATAAAGTCTTGCAGCAGCTCTGTTTTGCCGGATGATGAGTAGCTCTGGACACCAGACTGTGAAACACTTAATGTCCGTCTCCGCACCGGCCTGCTCACCCTCCTTTTCCCACTATCCCACAGACACAGGCGCAAATCAAACAAAGAGCATCACATCCGTCGGGCCTGTTGCATCGCCGTTTTCTCCTGTATCTCCATATTGAATATTTTTAGGTGGAGGCAAAGTTCACTCTCACGCGCTCGATGGGTCGTTCAGCCATCTCTCCTCTCTCGGTTGTGCTTCTCCTCTCTCTCTTTTGTCCGTGAATCTCGTCAGTGATTTCCAGAAGTGCCAAATATATCAACCGCCCCACGGGAATCACTGGCACATTAGCTCCCTGACAGATACCGACGTCCCCATTGTGTAGCAGCCGTCTAATGAAATGATGATGATGATGATGATATTGACTGGGGGCTGCTCTGCTGCCCCTCCCCCTTCTCATCTCCACACACCATTAAAATACACATCCACTATTAAGCCTGGATACAATCTTTAAAACATAATTTGTAAACAATCCACAGCTGAACATGGGCGGCCCTTCTGCTCCTAAACCTCTAGTGTGAAAGGTGTGCCACTGCAATGCTCAGCTTATTCTTAAATTCAAACAGAAAGAGCAGCTTGACATTAAAAAACAAATCAATTGTATCACATTAAGGCCTCTGACTTCTAAAGTAATTATAATGGGTTACACTTATCTAAATAGCCTTGTCTTATTGACTGCGTCTCCGCGGCTCCATTCGTCTTGGCAGAAAGTGCATTTTAAGCAGGAGATGAATTGTCCAGACGCTGTAACTCACCTGTCTCTTTGGCTGCGGAGCGTCAACCTAATGTGGCGCTTGTTAAATGTCTCTGTTGGACATGTTTCTAAAGGAATAAGCATGAGCCCAGGAGCAATTACACTGGCCCCGGCCGTGTGTCTGTGCGTGCTGATCGCTATCACGCATGCTAAATGAACAAAACAACCTCTAAGCGCATCACAGTAATTTAGTGCTGTAAAGCTTTCAAATGTGTTCTGCGGCCCTTCCTTCTTTTCTGAATAGCGCTGCGGGAACGAGCACGACAGGAAACAGTTGTCTGACGTTGCTGGAATGAAGATGACAAACAACAACAATAATGACGCGATAACTTGAACCGGCGTGTGGTTCTGCTGCTTTGTCATCTTAACGCAGGCTTTTCTAATTCGCTCTAGCATTTTTTATCTGTGCTTCCCAGCAGAGCGGAGTACATTGTGTCAGCACGGTGAGGCCTGCAGACATTAAGCAAATGACGCTGACAATAACAGCTTTGGATGTTTGTAGGTGGGACTTTGCTTCCTCTTTAGAAAAGCAGGGGGACACTTAAATGTTCATCTAATTATGGAGACTTTCATTTTTGGCCTCTGCTTTGTTAATGTGTTCACTTTGCAGCTTTGGTTGTATTTTACTGGAAGGACTGAAGTGTAAATCCGATCCAGCACAGTGATGCGTCAGCAAGCTTCTGCTGAAATACAGTTTATTTCTCATTGCTTGTAGCTAATAGAACAAAATATTCCATTTATGTTTGAGATTTGTATGGTATTATTTTCTGTCATTTCCAGAAGTCAAATATATTTGGTGATTTTCTTATTTTCCAGTGAATAAAAAAGCATTCATTAATCTTTGTCGGTTTTTGCACATCTTTGTGCAGAATAAAATAAGTGTCAAGTGATCATTATTCTAAAGGGAATATATGAACCACATTATTGGTTCAGACCACAATGTCAAGAATATAATCTTCTTGTCAGAATACATCACAATGATGCTTGATCTCCTCGCTTTAATGGGGATGCACTTTAAGCTTAAAGCCTCATCCGGCACAAGCTGCAGAGAGAAGGTGAGCTCCAGCAGATTCATAGACTGACAGGATAACTGAGGATTGATGAGAAGAATCACAATGCCGTGCAAGTTTATTTCAAATTATTTGATAAGAGGTGCTGCACTGCAGAGATATTCAGCTACGTTTACATTAGTTGACTCCTTGTTCTTTTTAGCACTGATGATGTCCTTTATTATCACTGTTGGATCAAGGAGTCAATTCCATTCTCTCACATCTACCCGGGGTGTCCTTTGAGCTTTGACATGATATATCAATCAAATCGGAAGCAGCTGCCATCTCAATAAATAAATAAAAAACACTTTTGAAAGTAAAGCTGAGGTTTCCACGGATAACACTTAATGGTTTAATGGTTATAAGTGGTTGCAAGAATGTACTGGCAGAGAGTCTTGTTACTCATCTTTCAGATCATTTAAGGTCTGGGCTCTTTATTACATCTCTAGTTTATAATGCAAGCAACTAATCTACATTACAGATAGTCATTCTATTGTTGGTTAAGTAAGAGAAGGTTGTGCTTTGAGAACTAAGAACTAAGAAGTAGCCAACTCATTATGAAGGATATCATTAAGTGTGTTGATTCGTTGATTGACATTATAATTGTATAATTGTATTGTATTTATGTGATATGTAAAAGTTATACGCACAAAGGAATACGCACCATGTAATCACAATGCACAATGAGTTTCACACAAATGCTGTTGTATCAAAAATGCAGTGAACCTTTTGGCCCCTGAGGATGAGGGTCCCCGAGGATGAATTCACAGGTTCCTGGTTATTAACATGACGTCATGGCCTCGCAGTAGACGCGCCTGCTGTCGTCACACAGCTCCGATTGGTTCGCGCCAAAGGCGGAAGTGCTGGAAACCAGGAAGCGCAGCAAATAACGCGGCGCTGTTACCACGGACCCGCTCTGCTAAACACCGACACACCCACACACACACACAACCGGACACACAACCGGACACACGCGCCTTCAGGGGCCAACATGGGGGGGACACAGAGTGTGGAGATACCGGGTGGAGGGAACGAGGGATACCACGTCCTCAGGGTAAGAGCGGGCGTATTTATTGATAAAGGGCAGAGGGGCAGAGGATGACGGAGTGTGTGTGTGTGTGTGTGTGTGTGTGTGTGTGTGTGTGTGTGTGTGTGTGTGTGTGTGTGTGTGTGTGTGTGTGTGTGTGTGTGTGTGTGTGTGTGTGTGTGTGCGTGCGTGTGTGTGTGTTCTGCAAATATGGACATGTGTGTATTGATTCGGTGGCTGTTCTTTTTAGGGGTTTCACTATCGGCTCATCGTCTGTCTACATGTATTGTGTTGTATCTTTGTAAGTCGTGTCTACTTGGCTTTACTCCCTCCGGTGTATTTACTCACCGTTGTATAGAGCCGCTACGTTTAAAGACGTGGTGAATTAGTATTCGTACATGCGCAGTAAACAACATCACGTAGTTTCCTCTCGGTGTTGCCAGAGAAACCGGTGTGTCTGCTTCCTAAAGAAACAGGGTAGAAAGGTGCCTTCATTCACTAAAAACCCTATCATTGTTTTTTTAAACTAAACGCACCCTTTCACTGGGTTTTTCTCAATTAATTGCATGATACAACGAACCATGACCATAACTTGTCCTTAAAGCCAGTTAAAATATTGAGATCAATACAAAAGGTTTTACATGACGATGAATGTGTTCTTTATACTAAACTTGTTGCTGGAGTTTGGACCGAAGAAATTCTGTTATGGCAGAAAACTGACCCAGGTTTAATTGCCACAAGATGCCCTCATGGTGTGTTGCACAAAACTATGGGGCGCCGTTTGTAAAATGTCGCACGTTCTAAAATCCTGCGCAGTTTTGCCACATTTAGCATTATCATATGAACAAAAAAGCACGACAATATTCACATGTCACTTTTTCAAACATTTAGAGAGAAATTCATGTACATTAATGCAAAAACTTTTCCAAGGATAATGTTTGGCAGAAACAAAGATGTTAAATAATCTAAATGTAAATGTTAAATCTAAATCTAAATGTTAAATCTAAATCTAAATGTTGAATCTAAATGTAAATGTTAAATATAAATGTAAATGTTAAATGTAGAGTCTACATTTAGCTCTACATTTAACATTCAAGACTTGACGACTGAACATTACAATAATGTCGGTAATTCGCAAGACAAGCTGCTAAGTCCGGATGAATTAGCTCTTGTTATAGAGCAGGGGTGTCAAACTTATTTTAGGAAGGGGGCCATTTACTGTCCTCGTTGAAATCATGCAGGGGGGGGTCACGGGCGCGTAACGTTGCGCAACCCCCCTTGACCAGACCATCGGCGAGGATTTGACCGCGAAAACCCGAAAAAGTGACATGTGAATATTGTCATACTCTTTTGTTCATATGATAATGCTAAATGTGGCAAAACTGCGCAGGATTTTAGAACGTGCGACATTTTACAAACGGCGCCCCATACGAAACGATTACATTACATTACATGTCATTTAGCGGACGCTTTTATCCAAAGCGACGTATGAAGAGTTGCATACAGCTGGGTATGCACATGCTAAAGGTAAAGAGAGCACCAGTGAGTTTTTTAATAGTTTAATCTTTACTTTACCATACGTAATACCACTATGTATCGGTATAAAATGGCGGTGGTTCCCAACCAATAGATGGACTACTGACAGTAGACAAGAGCAGGCTCATTGCAATTGGGTTACGTTGATGTTGTCATTTTCTAAGTAGGTCTGTTGAATTCAAGTTTGGGAAACTGCTCCAGCTAAATTTACGGCGTTTCTTAAAATGACGCTTTCTTTAAAGGTGCAAGAGAACTCCCCCGGTCACTGTGCAGGACTGGAGCCGTTCTTTGATTTCATCATTTCCATTTGTGACAATAGAATGGTAAGTTTACGATAATCGCGACAACAAAACGCACTGTGGCGAATTGGACCAGGTTTAACGCCTGCGGCTACAGACGACTGCATGTTTTGATCTGTGAAAGAACAAGGACAATGACACCCTGAAAGAGCTGCTGAGGGCCAACGTGGAGCGGCCCATCAAGATGCTGCTGTACAGCAGCAAGACTCTGGGCGTGCGGGAGACGACGGTCACGCCCAGCAGCGTGTGGGGCGGCAACGGGCTCCTGGGAGTCAGCATTCGCTTCTGCAGCTTTGAAGGAGCAAATGAAAACGTTTGGCATGTTTTGGTGAGTAAGGCTCATGTGACGAGAACATACCAGACGCATTTTACATCTTGCGTGTGATAAACACGAATGAGCTTATTTTATGATGTCTGTCAGCTAATGCGTTCATACCAGAAGTTTTTGTATGAGTTCAGGAAGTGGAGCCAAACTCCCCCGCGGCTCTGGCCGGTTTGAGGGCCCACGCTGACTACGTCATCGGGGCCGACGCCGTCATGAGCGAGGTACTCGCTTTGCAGATCGGCACGAACGGCGAGCTCACGTTGGCAACGGGTTGACCTGAATCTCCTTTTTCCCTTTCGACAGAGTGAAGATCTTTTCTCCGTGGTCGAAACCTACGAGGGGAAGGAACTGAAGCTGTATGTCTACAACACGGACACGGACAACTGCCGCGAGGTGGTCGTCACGCCAAACTGTGACTGGGGCGGAGACGGCAGGCGCGTCTGATTTATTTTACTTCTGTCGCCACGTGAAAGGTTTCTTGTTTTCTTCCAATCTAAGAAAACGAGTGTATATGGGAGACCCTTTACGAAGGCACTCTGCAGTCCTTTGCATTATGTGGAACAATGTGGCAGCTACACATCTGTCCCTGTACCTCTGCTTCTGGACATATACCCCATAAAGCAGGATTTTAACAATAAATCTTTGGTTTTGGCTGGTCAGCACAATTTTCCCAGCTAGAATTTAGAAGTATTGGGTTTTCAGGTATTAATATGCCAATTTAGTTTGGTTGTTTTGTAAACATTATTTTCAGTTGTTGTTGTTTTTAAAGCTACTAGCTGTATTCTACATTTAACATTTAATAAGCATTTGGTAAAAAAAAAAAAAAAAACGGGAATGTCACATACATATATATAGATATTCGTTTTATATTAATGCATTGTGTGTGTGTGTGTGTGTATGTGTATATATATATATATATATATATATATATATATATATATACCCAAGCTAGTCTCAATTTATTTTTTATTCTGGTTTAGATCCCCTTTCCTGGGTACATATTGAATGTAGACTTAAAATAGTGGCAGGATATCACAGCTCTTACACCAGACAATTGCACAGCGTTGATTGTTTTTACCAAATCACATTTTGCATCTTCCAAACAGGACATACGGGTTAAAATCAACCTTATTTTTGCAATCAACACTTGAAAGCAGTACAAAATGGAAAGCAAACATCACATGGGATGATCCAAAATGTTATATATTTTTCTATCTACCCAAGATATTCCTTTTTGATAGTTTTTTGATAGATACATACCAAAGTATGTATTACATGTAATACTACCATGCCATTTTGCAAGTGCCTTAATAGGTTCAAGTGCTAATATAAACAATATAGAGTCCGTTCTGTCTCTGCAGTCTAGGGTGTGGGATTGGCTATGGCTACCTGCACAGGATTCCTACGCTGCCATTCTCAGAGAGCAAGAAAATCCGTTTCTCTGCACGGACTCCCGGGGGAGCAGCTACTTCACCTAGAGACGGCTTCACAGAGGTAGCTCGGCGTCTCGCCACGAACAAATCCTTCCTTTCGGATCTTGACAACATCCACTGAGGTATCATTTTGGTTACCAGGTCCATCTCTCTGCCGTCGTTCCAACCGTCCCTGTGGCCGTGTCTTCTTCTGCCTCGACCGGATTTGAGGAGTCTCTGGCCAGCGTGTCGGTCAGCTCTAACCCGACCGCCGTTGTTGGCGATCTACGCACCGGTACACCATCATATCAGATCAAAATATCCTGTTTGTGTTGGTGTACGATTGACCTGTTGCAGATCAAGTAAAACATATGAAGGGCATAAAAAATAACCCCAAAAAATGACAAACTGTGGAAGCACACGGGGAATAACGTTGTTAAACTCTGTTTCAGGAGCTGCTGCCGTTCCGGCGCTCAGACACGCCTCCTTCTCACAAAACGCCCCTTCGTCTCCCGACCCTGCTGCCACACTACCAGGTTGGTTGAAAGTACTTTTTAAGTTACAGCTCCACTGCTTTGTTGTACATTTTAAATGATTTTTGCCTGCTGGTTTAGCATTGTCTAATATAGATATATATTTTACGACACAGGTCTTATTCCCTGGCGACCTGGAGGTCTTCCGCCCTTTCCTCATTTACCAAATCTAAATATCACATTGCCAGATGTGGGCCCCGTATTACTGCCTGGATTTGGTGGATTTCAACATGCAGGTATTATGCTGTTCAAGGTGTGCTGGGGTTAGTTATAACGCTAGTTAAAGGATACTTCTGGTGTTATTCCATATACACTAACTTTATTAGGTACACCATGCTAGTAAAAGGTTGGACCCCCTTTTGTCCTCAGAACTGTCATTGTCATGTGCAAGAAAGCAGTTTGAGATGATACAAGCTTTGTGACACGGTGCGTCATCCTGGTGGAAGTAGGCATCATGAGATGGTGCACTGTGGTCATAAAGGGATGCACGTGGTCAGCATCAATACTCCGGTAGGCTGCAGGATGTAAACAATGCTTAACTGGTACCAAGCGGCCCAAAGTTTGCCAAGAAAATATGCGTTGATACAAGGCAGGATGGATCCACGCCCCCGGTGTGGTCTCAGGTCTGCTGCTGTAGCGCGTTTTCTTCAAGGTTCCGCGTGTTGTGCGTTGAGATGGTATTGTGTATTCTTTGGTTGTAACAAGTGGTTATTTGAGTTACTGTGGCTTTTCTATCATCTCCATCCAGTCTGCCCATTCTCCTGACCTCAACAAGGCCTTTTATCCACTCAAATCACTTGATATTTTCTATTTGTCTAGTTTGTGACGTACTCAGACCGTCTGGCACCAACAACTCTGCCACGTTCAGTCACTTAAATCCCTTCTTTTGCACTCTAATGCTCTCCTACATGCCTAAATGCATTGAGTTGTGGCCATGTGATTGGCTGAAAAAAGTAAAGACTTGAATGTTGCACATTTGTTATTCTCCTCTCCTGTGCTCCACAGGTCTTCCTGGTGTCGTCCCTGCTGCATCGGACTTTGTTCTTCCACCAATCGCTGCTAATGCATCTCCTGCTGGAACGCTGAACAGCAGTGCCGCGTATCCCTCCTCCACCACACCAATGAACACTTCCCTGACAAGGACCCCCCTCCCATCCTCAGGGCCCACCTGCGAATCAATAAATATCACAATGACTGCAGACTCTTAGCAGGCGCACCGATTGAGGTTGTCGACACAATGTAACCCGTTAATAAGCTGCATAACTCTTAACTTAACTTTTAAAAGTGTGCCGGTCTTCTCCACGTAAATGTGATTGTCTTTGAGCCAAGCTCGCGTGCAAAGTGTAAAATATCTGGGTCAACGGTTTGCTAATGTGCAAGGTCTTTCTTAAGGAGTCAACGGGAATTTATTTCCTGAACTACTCATGTGATGCCGTATCGAATTCACAGGAAATTTGTCGGTCCAGTTTATTTCGTAGTCACAATCAAAACCACAGATGTGCGTCTCAGTTGGTGGGTGAGCTCTATTTACCAGCTACAATGATGGTTTTGTGCCTGAGCCACACACAGCTGACCCATACTAGAGATTTCTTTAGAAAAGCAGGTTTGCTTGCTGCAGCCATTAAACAAACGGATTTTGGATTTGTACAATAAGCAAACATTGTAAATTGAATAAATGGATATAGTTTCTCTATCTGGTCTCTGCTCTGGATTCTTCAGGATGACGTTGAGCATCTTGGTAGACTAACTGCAGTACTGAACTCCGCCACAGGGTGTCAGGGTAATCTCACAATGGGGACAAAAGCTAGCAGATTGCAATAAATCCTGCAGATGCTTCAATTAGGACCAAACAACTGATTCCACAGTAGCATTCACTGGGAGGGAAACACATTTTCTGGCATTTATTGTTCACTATTAGCAGAACTGTACAATGTGTACCCAAAGTGGAAGATGCCACCCTTGAAAAAGTAAGAGCAACAAAGCAGCAAAAGAAAATACTAGTCTGCATGGGCAAATTGCAACTTTTTTGTACACATTTGTTACAGCTCAATTCTGAATTCACCTGTAGAGCATATACAGTTTCCAATTTATTAATTAATATTCCTGCATAGGATTTTATACATCGTCATTTTCTACATTTGGTTATTTTGTGCATTAGACGTAAGTACGCTCTCCCAACCTACGTGTCACTAGATGCCACTTTTATGCTACACAATACATCGTCATGGCTAAGTAACTTAAATCAAAGCCTAAGATTGTGGATAAACAAAACATTTAGCCAAATTACTCAGGAAAACCTTTGTAGTTCTTCATAACAACTACTGTCCCCCTTCTTCCCAGTACATTAACTTCTAGCAGCTGAATCATTTGCACTGTAGCGGGACCATGTTATTTTATCTTAAACGAAGTGTCCCTTCGGCTCTTTCCATCAGCAGCATCTGAACAGAGAAGCCAGTCACATTTTCTTCATGGTACGTCGCCAGTATCAGTGCTTTAGTCAGACCCTCGAAAGATCCTTTCACCCATGTCCTTTTAAAACCGTGCCCTCACTGTCCCTCCACCGATCGAGCGCCAGTAAACAAGTAGAAGCCTGGCGCACGTCCCAGGAGGCCGGGCGAGATCTCCCCACCAGTGTCCTGCTCCTCTTGTCGCCGGCTCGTTCCTTCTCCCACAGGCCGGAGCCTCGGAGGAGCTGTGCGGGTGTGGGAGCTTAACCTAGTTGCCTTTTCGTCGCCACGGTACGACCCTGTCAGTATGAAACGATGCTGGAGGAGGCCGGTCCCAGACCCGCCGCGTTTATCTGCAGATTTCCAGAGGAGCTTGACCTTCGCATGTGAGGGAGCAGGTACGGGTCGCTTCCCATCTGGTGAACGTCGATCCGGTCCTCCTTCCTGTATGCCAAGCACCGCCTGATGAAGGCCTAGAGGGGGAGGGCGTCAAAAATGTGCCCGTCAATTGGATGTTTTAAAAAATGATAAAAATGATTTTGTTGACAGCTCATGACTCATTTTAAAATGGCAGTGTCCTTTCCGGAAGCACGTTCCCCTACCTTTGCCTCATTGCTGGAAACAGGCTTGACAGGGAACTGAACATCCGTGGCTTTCAGTATGGTGTTCTCTTGCAGGATGTCCTGTTGGGACTGATTGTGGCCAAAAGGCTGAAGAAGAAGTTGGAGCAGTTGTCAAAAATGATTCAAGAGATCGAAAAAACATCCAAGGGTAGAATTTGCATTGTTTTCCTCACCTTCCTTCCATACAGACACTGAAAAAAGATGACACCCACAGACCACACGTCCACCTTATTGGAGATCTTTGGAGGTTCTTTGCCAACGACAAAACATTCAGGAGGCAAGTACCTGGACATAATAATTTAATGGAAATCAAAGTTATCGACTGAAATTAAAGTACAATCTGGGAGGCAACGATTCTTTCTCAATCTATGTACAAAGATGCATAGCCAAAAAAAGCTGACTTGGCGTTTAGTGACCGTATCAAACGGATAAACAGGATGGAGAGATACGGAGCACTAGACAGTGATTTGTATCAGATGTGTTTGTGGGAGCTTTAGTCTCACCAATAGGTGCCTGCGCCCTGTGATGTCAGGTCCATCCCATCCACGCCGTAGTTGTCATCATCCATGATTTTTGACAGACCGAAGTCAGTGATTTTGATTTCCCCACAGGCCGTGCCATCCACCAACAAGATATTGCCTTGAAATCAAAGTAAAAGCAGTCAGCACAAAAGACCCGACTGCTGCTGCTGCTTGAACTCGCTCGACTGGCCTCACTGTGCCACCGACACGTTACATCGGCGTGATGCGCCGCTAGTCCAGAGGCGTGCGTTTACCTGGCTTAAGGTCGTAATGGATGATGGGAGGTTTGATTTCATTCAGGTATCTTAATGCGTTCACAATCTGCATGACGATAGACCGCGCCTCCTTCTCGGACATTAGCTTATGCTGTTTCAAGTAGAAATCCAAGTCATTGCCTTCGCAGTACTCCATGACGGTGCAAAACCTAGTGAACGCAGGAAAAGAAAAAAAAAAAAAAAAAAAAAAGAGTATTTAAGGCGCACATCCAACAGAAACCCTCAACAGAAAGTGTCAAAAACAATGATTCAAGTGCACTAACGTGTCGGTGTCCAATGAGAAGTAGTCATAAAGTTTCACTATTCTGGGGTGGTCCAGCTCCTTGTGTATTCTGTACTCTCGGCACGCATGTCTGCGGAGAGGAAGATGGTTTTGCTTCTATTAGCAACCACAGCGTGAGGCGTCTGGGCTTATAAACGGGAATAACTAAACTATGCAGGCAAAGCACATCAGAAACGCTCAATTAAGTTTGTCGAATTTCAAACACTTGTAAACTGCAGGTGAGGTCACACATTTCCACATTGGCCAACATACTTGTGATAGTTCTCCTTTTTCTCCTCTCTCCAGTTCTTGTTAAGTTGATGGATTTTTACAGCAGCATATCGTTGCTCAATCAAGTCAAAGGCCTGCAGAGCATATGCACAAAAACGTTATTACATGAAATTATTTCAGCTTGACACCTGTAACAGTCAATGACTCACCTTGTAAACTTCACTAAAGCCCCCTCTTCCCAGAAGGTGTAGGAGCAGATATCGTTCATTCAACGTTGGATGATCTTTAAATCTTTGGATAGAGAAAAAAATATATAAAATAAAAATGGCATTTTTAAACAAGCATCATCCATTGGGCCGTAGCTCAATATGACCACTATGGATGAGGACACGGCCCTTGTGTGAACATCATGTTCCAATGTCAATGCAGTAAGTGGGAAAGAGATTGACTCAGACTCACTGTGAACTGTCCTCATTATTTATTCTCTTCAGCTCCCGAATGTGAAGGTTGCGCACTCTCTCCAGACGCTCCAGCTCCGCCTGGATCTCAGCCTCTTCCTATAAATGATTCAAGCACACAGAAGGAAGTTAAAAACTCTTACTAAAAGGAGGAGAGTGCCTCAAAAACCCTCTCGTACACAGCAGACTAGTTGTGCACTCAGTATTTAAGGTTTTACTTAGGGTGAGATGTGAAAATAAATGAATATTTTAATAGCGGCATTAAAAGGAATGTGGGGAAAACCTTCTTAAGATGTCCGAGTCGCAGTTTGAAGATCTCTTCCTGTTCGTGGTATTCTGCTAGGGTCAGCCTTTCCAACAAAGAGATAAGAAACTTTTGATTTTGTGCATAACGTGTTGTTAAAGTTGCTTCGCAACGGCCGAATATAACAAAGGATCAAGCCAAAATGACAACACATTTGCCTGGCGATTGACAGGTGATTTACTTACAGCTGAGGTAGGCTGGGTTTTAGAAAGGGGTCGCTCTCTGCGCCATTCACCGCCTTTGTTTTGCGTTGCTTTGGCTCAGAGTTTGTGGTTGGTGCTTGGGCGTTGGTAGAGGATGGAGGTTTCCTCTTGGCTAGAAGTTTTCTCTGCCTCTCAATTTCCTCTCTCTGTTGGTTTGTACACTCTTGCTGTCTGCAGATGGAAAGAGCTTTTTGTTGAAGTACACTAGAAACACTTCGATACCCCTTCTCAAGGTCTGCTTTAGAAATCAATTAATTTGAAACCATGAAACACCATGATTAAAAAAATAAATAAGCTGATTTTTTTGACACACACGCACACACACGCAGCAAGAAGATGGTCACTAAGAGTAGAAAAGCTCCTTACTTCACAAGGTTCTGGAAGGCATAGCCATCAGTCCACTGCTCTGTGAATGACGCTCCATGTCTCACTGTAGTGAAATGGCCTAAACGAAGTCGATCTTGCATGCTTTTCTCCCGGCAGGCCTGCTTCTCCTGTGTGCTCTGAAGAACATCACAAGATAAAAGTTTTGCATAACAACCTGCAGACATATAAAAAGGGTATATTGGGTGTTAATAAAGGGTTAAGAAAAACAATATTTACCTTTTCTATGAGCAACTTCTTGCTCATAGTAATGCATTTATTCAAGCGTTCCTTGTACTTTTCAAGTAATTTTTGTTGTTCATCTATCTGTCTCCTGAGATCACAGTTTGCCTAGAAAGCAAAAAAAAGATAAATCAATTTATTAAATTATGCTTTTAATACAATAGTTTAAAATCTTTAAAAAAAATACCAATCATAATGTAGAGGATTAAAACAAATTAGTTGGTTCTATTATTAAACAATGCTTTGGCAAACATGGACTGATTAGTTTTGCATTTAAGTGACACATGAGCTCAGTCAAACCTTTCTGCAAAGCAGTTAACAGTAAGGCTTCCACCTTACCCGAAGCAAGTCATCTATTCTCCCCTCCTTCTTTTCGAGGTCAAGGTTCTTAGTGCTTTCCAGGGCAGCCAGCTTTAACACTGTGAGGTCGGTCTGGAGCGGAATACAACAAAAGAAGTTTATTAAAAAGCTGCCAAGAAGAGAAAAAAAAAAAAAGGAGCGACTACAAAAGAGCTGCTGAAGTCCTGAATGGTCACAATCCCTCCTCACCTGAACAAATTTGACTGCTAGTTGCTTTGGCTGCGTCAGGTGGTCCCCAAAAGACAGACTAGTAGGAGGTGAACTATTTTGTCCAACCTGCAACAGGAGAGAGAGACAGATAGTCCTTTAAAAAGGAGGGGACAACACCAAAAAAAGAAGCAAGTACACGTTTGGCGTTTCTTACATTGATACCCTGAGCGGAGAGGGAATGGGAGTTCTGGGG